ATAAATTCTGTAGATGAATACAAATTTTATGGAAGATGTCGAGTGCCGGGTAAGAGAGAGAATATGAGAAGAGTTGCAGATCGGTAGAGTTTTGGCAAAGAGAGAGTGCCAGGTAATACTCAAGAAAAGATCTAGATTGTAGGTTTCAAATGTAACATTGGTCCCTTGGCCCAGTTGGTTAAGGCGTGGTGCTAATAACGCCAAGATCAGCAGTTCGATCCTGCTAGGGACCATTTTTTTTATTTTTCAACAAATTGCCTTTCTGAAACCTTTCCTTCGAGTCGTTAATTGAAAGAGTAAAGAGACTTTCATTATCATTCTTGTATATAGCATCATATATTTTCTTTGAGATGTTAGTTTATAGTGTACAACTTTGTTGAAGTTTTTATGGGTGAGTAATTGTAGAACAAAATCTATGAGAGTAATATCGCACATAAAAATGAAACTTGAATCGATTCAAGATAAACTTCTCTTTTGTTACGAGTGTGGGGGGATTGTAATTTGATGACCGGTATGGATTTCAACTAACCAGCTTGTGTAAAAAATGGATTGGTCTGCTGGCAAAGAAATGATTTTGAGTGACTACTTTAAAGAGTACATTAAACAGTTGGAAGACATTTCTCAGTTTTATGCCAATATTGACTGGGATCAAGTGATGAGCAAAGTTGAAGTACAAGATTTAGAGTTTTTGAAATTGAAAGCTGATGCAATATTTGATACTCATCTCTTGATCAATAACGGTAATGCTAACATTGGCACTTTGCTAGAGCCATGGAAGAATAAAACAAGGCATATTGATATGGAAGTTTCGTCTTTAATCAATGAAATCGGGTTAGAGGCCTTTACAAAACAACAACAACAACAACAAGAAGAAGAAGAAAGCAAAGGTGTAAGTGTTGGTGCCATTGAGACTCAACCCGTTAGACAACATTACGACATGCCAAAACTAACCAAAAGGCAAAAAAGGCTTTCATTAGAATTGATACAACCCAAAGTGCTTGGGGGCAGTCTCGGCACTAATGACAGTCAATTGACAACAGCTGTAGCTGCTACTAGTACTACAACTGTTCACGTAACAGCCAATTCGAAAATCAGTTTTTCAAATCGTAAGCAGAAAAACCCAAGACCATCAATTAATCCAGGACGACCAGTGGGGAAACAAAGACGTACTTCTATTGTTGGAGAGAAATTACCGCCATATATCAAGAATCAGTTACTTGGTAGTCAGCAACCTCAAAAAGAGGTTGCTTCCAAACCAACAATTCACAAAATTTTCAAGAATCTTCTGCCGTCTCAATCCAGTTTGGTTGACTCTACGAGAAAACTGTCGTCAAGGATACAAACTTTGCGTGCTACTAAATCTCCATCGTTGCATGCGCATTCCCATGATGAGGAATCAATCAATGTATCAGATATAGACCAAAGATTACTACGATATGACGCAAATGATGACGATAAGGAGTATATTCTGCCTGAGCTGTTAGCAAAACTATACGGGTTGATGTTTGAAGAAGGAGAGGATGAACAAATTGACGATGACAATAATGATTATGTGAATTTAAAGGATAGTGCTGCTCTGGAGCAAAATGAAGAAGAGGAAGAAGAGGATTATCTATTTCAAATATGAGTTTCTCCTATTTCTTTTTTTTTTTTTTTTATTATTTTTAATTCATTCACTTGGTTAGTGGTTTTGCATTTTGATACTTTCTCATTGATGTAATCACGATTTCAAAAGTCCAAAGTGAAATAGCGCTAGTTGGCGCTGTCTTCAAAATGCTTATACCATAACCTCTATATAATCCAAGTATTCCTTCTTTTTCAATGATGTTGAAAAACACATGAGATGCTCTTGTATATCTCTTTCCATGCACGATTGGATAGATTTGACACCTCTTTCGTAGTGTGTCTAATGGGAACGTTATTCCTTTTGAAAAAGTTCCAGCTACAAATCCGCATATGCCTTCAAGAAACGGGACGTGCCCAAAATTTGTCAGAAACTCTCTTGCTAACTCATAAGACCAAAACATGAGTCCAGTAGTAGGGGCTATTGCTAACATTGCTGGTGCCATACCTACGAATAGCCCCCCTGGACCATCAGCTTTGATTATACCACGCGCGGTTGCTGTCATTCCTAAAAGGTCTTTCTTTGTGTTTGCAACAAGTCTTGTTCGGAGAAGATCAAAAGGGTAGGTAGCTAGAGTACTTGCTACTCCTGCACCAACACCAGCAATTAACGAATGAGTCGAACTGGATAGTTTCACAATATTGAGATTCTTTTCCAAAAGTGATAAATTCGCGTTCAACATAGAATACGAAGTAAATTGTACACCTCCGTAGATAATATAGAGCATTTCCGCAGGTACATTACCTTTCCATAACGCAATCACCCCTTCATGTTGTAACAAGTCCTTGACCAATGAATAAACTGGCCTTCCATGCTTGAAAAATTTAGATTGCAATTGCAATCGTATCTTTATTGTGTCTAACGGTGCAGTGATTCCTCTAGCAACACCTCCAGATACCGTCCCTGCTATCAATGCCTCATACGGTGCAACCTTAGACCCTCTTTTCAAGTGGTCATCCCTCGGAGTAGGATTCATTCATGTATGAGCAAAGATAAAGAGTCGAGTAACTCCGAACCCAAAATGTATTAATTTTTCACTTTTTATTTTATTTTATTTTTCTTTCCCCGCCCCCTCAGGCCGCGCGATGAGCAAGGACGGGTGAAGGGGAGATTTGAACCGTTGTATCTTTTGACAGAAGACTTGTCTACTGGTAGACAACAGGCTTTCTTTTTTGTAGATACTTAGAGTGGGGATTACTGACGGCGATTACTGACGGGGACTACCAAACCAATTGAATGAAAAGGCTACGACTAAGTTTTTCGAGGTGGGCGAAGGAATAGCGGTAATGCGTTCTAGTAGCAAGACGCGCGTTATCACGTTGTCGCGTCGTCGCGTCATCGCGCGCGTCGATTTTTCAATTCGTAGGTCGATTTTTATTTTTCACTTTTCTCTTCTTCGTTATATCAGTACCATTTCGTTATCAACTTAAAAAGGCTTTTTAATGAATATTACAAGTCACCAGAGTATACCGCGATATGTTTTTCAGAATATGGTTTCAAATGTCAAATCGATAGATAGTGTATTAATGTTGCATTTTGCTACGTATTCTGCTAATCCACCACTTTACAAGATTCTCGAACAAGCATCGACACTAGGCGGAAGGCCAATTGGTATGGTTGATATAGAGCAGATTCTTGCCATTTCGCCCCTTTATAAGATTGTTCGAGTTGATGAATTGTTGACAATTGGCTTTCAGACAGCGAGGAAAGACAGAGACCGAATAAGTGCTTTTCTAGAGGATTTGAACCATTGGATCAAGACAAATACCAACAAGTTGGAGATGAGCAAAGTTGAATTATCAACAATAATGACGCGACATACTTCACCACCGCGAAGAATTATGAAACCCCGATCAGCAAGGTCGTCACCAGTTAAAAAGAAAAAGTTTGACGAGCTAAAAAATATGAAATCTAAATTTGAATTCCTTGAGAAAGATGCTCAGATAGAACGTAGCAATAACCAGGGATTGTCCCTACTTGATAGAATCAAACTAAAGGAATCAAAAGCAAAAGAAGAAGTATCAGCAAAATCCTTGGAAACAAAATATCAAGAGTATCTTACTGGAAAAGTATGCGATGTGTACGATATAATTTACCAGTTATACAAGGCACAGCCTGACCAATTCAAATCGTTTTCAATGGCCCGGATTATACAAGTTGTCAAGGATAGCTTAGAGCATCCTTTGGATGAACAAGAAATCAGTGATATTGTTAAACTAATTGCATTGAAATTGATAAAGTACAACCTCATTGAGAAGAACAACATTCAGATATTACGAGTGCGTGATTTAAATAGAGAAGAAGACTTGAAGTTATTCGAATTAACGCCTTCATGTGCATAAGCAATGATAAGATGATGATAAAATACACCCACCCATACAATTAATAGATAATAAAATAATTAAAAATAAATAAAAAAAAAAAAAATCTATAAAAAATCTACTACTTAACTTCAGCTATAATCGTCTCTTCTTCATCTTCTCTTAATGCAATATCAGCAGGCTTAGAATTCATAAACTTGTATTTCAAAACATTTTCAATGATCCAAGTAGCTCCTAAATCTACAATAATTGCACCTGTAAGTTTCACTTTGAAACCAGTTGACATTGGAACAAACAGCATTGCCTCATTGATTTCAGGAATGAACTCAGTAGAGCCTGCAAATGTTAAACCAGCAACTCCCAACAAACCATAGTACATCCCCTTATTATCAGAAATACTTTCTCTAAATGGTAAACCTATGTAATTGACAGCAAATGTTGAAACTTGTTGAGCTAATTGTAACAAGAACATACCTGTATTCAATAAGGATGGGTTGAACTTCTTTTCTAAATCCACTTGGGGTTCCTTTGGCTCAACAAGATAAATCTCTTTAGTGACATAGATCAAAGTGACAATATGAATGAAAAATTGGCCTAAAATAGAACCCATAATATAAATGTTGAATATTCCATCTTGTGGCCTTTGTTTAGATAATTTCTCCAATGGTTTTCCACGAGATACGGAAAAGAAACAAACTGATAACAAGATCCCGGAAATAGTGGATTGGGCATCTCCGAATTTCATACCGGCCAAATACAAAACCGAAAGCGAATACGACGAAATTAAACAGTTCAATGCCAAAATCTTGTACATTTGAATAGTGGAGATTAAAGCACAACGACCTTGACGGATAAGATGTGTTACGGCACTGACATTGGCCAACTTGGAGGTAAATGGTGCTGCAACAGAAGCATCACCCAACTTCAAAGTAGGAGCCTCGTCTTCAGCCTCAGCGCTGTCCATTGCACTGAGAATTGCATCGGCAAATTTACCACCATCAGCAGCAGGACCTTTCGATTGCCCATTTGGTATAATTTGAATAGGCTCTTTCATTGCTGCAACAACGGCTTTCCTCATATCATCAGTAATGGTAACACCTTTTTTTTCCATTGCTTCGAGATATTTTGGGTTGTTTTGTCCAGGAGGGTACAAATGGGCAATGATTGGAGGAACATTTGGAGGTGGTTTACCCCAATTGATAAACAACTGTGCTTGTTTTTCATAAACCTTCTTTGTAGCTTCAATTCTACGATTCTCAATTAATTTTTTCATACCTTCTTCAGTACCGTTCAATAAAGCTATTCCAATATGAGCTTGCTTCAAAGCACCCACATCGTTTGTACCATCACCACACATTAATGTACTGTATCCAATATCCTTTAAGGATGTCAATATAAATTCCTTTTGAGATGGCGACACTCTAGCATAAACCCATGTTTTCTTCAATAAGTCTAATAATTGCTCGTGATTATTCAAAAGGTTGAGTGCATATCCAGTGAGACAAATATCATACTGTGACAATTTTTTAAAATCAATTTTATCACCAACGTTAAATGGGACAATAACTGTTTCATTTACATTTCTCCAAACTAAGTCGGCATTTGCTTCTGCTAAATGGTGCTCTTCTGGAGCATCCAAGATCAATACATCTTTAGTGGTAATGGCAACTTCTTTAGCAACATGGCATGCAGTCAAGGCATTATCACCAGTGATCATAATGGAACGATGAGACGACTCGTTTAACATTTTGATTGTTTCAATAGCGTCATCTTTAAGTGGACAATGGAATACAATAAATCCAGCGAAAAGCAAATCAGACTCAACTTGTTCTCTTTTAACCTTGTTGACGTTGATATTTTTGTCGATATACTTATAAGCAAGTGCCAATACACGAGAACCAGATCTAGTGAAAGATTTATAAATATCTTCATAATTTTCTGGAGCATCAACAATCATCTCACGAATAGTTTCAGGAGCTCCCTTAACAGCCACGAAATTCGTATTTGATGGTGCATTATTGTTCTTATTACTATTATTTATCGATGATATAGTTGATGATCTTTTGAGGGCACTAGAGAATTGGAAACGACGCAATATTTTTATTTTTTCAACTTTACCATTTTTGCTGTCGTTTCTTTCAACAGTATCATGAGCACCAACAGTCCAGTGAGCAGCTTTCAAAGTAGCCTGTTCCATGGGATCACCAACAACTTCTCCATTGTCTAATTTGACCAAGGCATGAGCAGACCCCAACACATACAAAGTTGTTTCAGGTGCATCATCCGCTTTATACAAGTGGTGAATATCATCATTTTTGAAACCCGCTAAACCTTCAAAAACCAAATCCTCTGCAGTTAAAGTACCTGTTTTATCAAAACAACAAACATCGATTCTACCGGCTAATGGAATTCTAAAAGGTTCAGTACAGTAAACATAATACTTTTGTAACTTAGCTAAAGATGAATTGACAGCCATGGTTAATTCCATTGGTAATTCCGGTGGCACAACAGATGTAATAACAATAATACAGTCCAAGATCAATTTTGATTGGATTCTGCCCATCCTGGTACCTTCCACCCATACATACCATGAGGCAGCAATAGCAAAGACTAGTAAGAACAAAATAAACAAAAATGCTTCTTTATTACCCACGGAGACACGTTCGCTAGAAAAAATCATCATACGAACCAATGAACCTTGAGATGTTTCAAATCCGGTTTTAGTGACAACGGCAAATGCTCCAGAATCAGGGGCAACTGGAACGATTGGGGTTTCGGGTTTCGTGACTTGTAATGCCATGGTACCTCCATGCAAAATTGAGTTTTTGTCAAATCCCTCAGGCTGTAAATTATCTTCAGCTGGTCTGAGTTTAATTGATTCTTTTAATAACGGTGTAGATTCACCAGATAACATGGCTTCATTAACAATGGCTGTTCCGTCAATCAACAACAAGTCACATGGCAAAGCGCTATCGTCATTAGTTCTTGTTATGGAGACTAGATCACCAGGTAACAAGTCAATAGTGGAGATTTTTTGCCAATTGCCATCTCTATAAACATAAATCTCGTATGGTTTGATACCCATACTTTGGAATTCGGACATTGTAGTTCTTCTTTGGAAAACAGTAGTCATTTCAAATGAAACCAACATAAACAATGAGAATAAGGAATAGTACCATTGTTCATCCATGCACCAAAGTGCTACGCAAAAGATTTGAAAAACAAAAAATGGAGCTACGGCGTGTTCTTTAAACAATTCCAAAAAGGTGGGAACTGGTATATCAAACTTATTCAAACCATAGTTTCTAATTTTTTTCTCCAAATCACCGGATAAACCTTTGGTATTTTGATAATATGATAATTTAGGTAATTGATCAAATGTGAATTCTGGAGGCGAGAATTTCTTTAATTCAGTGTGATAAAGGTATCTTCTTTTTTGGTAAAGAAAACTCGTTTGCCTTTCCCCATCGTGGAACACTTCACGATTTATGGGGCAAATCTCACCAATACCCGAGTTTGGGGCCGGTGTAATCTTGATGTACGAAGCATCTTCAATTTTTTTCACTGGCGAATAGTTGAACTTGGCATCGATATTTTGATTCCAATGGGGCATTAACCAAAACAACAAGTTGAGGGAGACTATGGTAATAGTGTACACAAAAGTCCATTCTTTTCCAACAAAGTATCTCTCATATTGCGTAAAATACAACTGTAAGAAGATTGGATATATAATGGTGAATGGCCAAACATAAGGCTTTAGAAAAAACGGTTTGGGGACCAATAGTTGTGCCTCTTGGATACTCAGACTCAAGACAATTTCCGACATAACTATGAAAAAAAAGGGTCAAACACACACTTTTACAAACAAACGTTGTCTTTTTTCTTCCTTGTCCCTCTTGCTTTCAATCCAAATCGGTATAACAGTTTTATACTAAAAGAAATAGTTTGCAATGAATAATTTGAAAAATCAAAATTTTTTTTTTGGCACTGCGATTTTTTTTTTTTCTCACCAACAAAATCTTAAACTGTTGAAGACACGATTCTTAAATATCGACAACCCTTTGGCTCATAGGTAAAATCAAAGTGGTGGATATAGTGTTGATACAGTGAATGGTGAAGGGGGTCATACTTGTATTATTTGGCGATGTTGGGCAAAGTTTTGATAGAATATTGTGAGAAGAAGTAACTAGTTAAGAGACTGAATCTACACTATATCGTTCGATTTTAATGATTTTGATGGGTTGGTGTTTATGGGTTTGTAGATGGTTGTAAAGATGAGTGTTGATGTTTGCCTCTCGCAGAAAGGAGGGGAAGGGATGGGAGGGGGGACGATCGTATATGTCACGTGATAGAATTTTAAACGAAGATTCGCACCAGGTCACGTGATATCACAACACGACACTATCTGCCATCCACTATCGAGCATAGCGAGATAGTGGAGCACAACAGCTTCCACCAACACTTCCGACACTAGTGGACTTGTATTAATGTATGTGCTGGACTTGATGTATGTGCTGGATTTGTATTAGTGCTGGAATATCTCGCTTCACACACGAGTTTAAACAAAACACTATCTCGCTTCGCTCGATAGTGTTTTCAAAAAAGGTCTTTATTGTAACAAGCTAAAAAATGCTGCTCCACTAGCTCACTTTGTCGTTACAAGGTACCAAGTGTTGCTCCACTATCGAGCAGAGCGAGATAGTGTCGCCCTGCTCGATAGTGTCGCCCTCTGCTTGTCTAGTATTGATAACCTTTATTTACAAACTTGACCAGATAAATTCTCTTGTGCATTCTAGGCTATAGCACGTGACCAAAATAACAGTTGCCGTTTGATGAGAGGACCCGCCCCGCGCGTGCGCGCGGTATATGAAAGATGATTGAATCTCATTACATTGTTTCAACTGTAAAGAGTGATTTCAGTCAGAAAAGGGAGGAGGGAGCAATAAATGCTTTTAGAAATAGAAATAAACGCTTTTGGAAATAGCGACATTTTTCTAACATGATCAAGACTACGAATAAATGGTTTATAGACAAATCCGTGTCAATGGACAAAGGTTAGACAGAAGGTCTATGAAGAAAAACATAAAGAAAAACATAAAGAAAAATATAAAGAAAAATTCATAGATTAATTCACAGATTAATAAAGAAATACATAGATTAATAAAGAAATACATAGATTGAAGAAAAATTCAGAGAAATTCATAGAAAAGGTTTAAAGATTTATAAAAAATGTGTGATTTATGTATAAATTAGTTTGCTTCCGAGACTTGCTTCTCGTGACTTTTGTTTCAAAACGAGTTTGAAATCAGTACTACTCTCCACTATCTCGCTCTGCTCGATAGTGTCAAGCCGTATCAACACATTTCGCCTAAGTCTTGAGACATTAGGGGCGTTATTTCCCTCGACTCTGAGAAAATGGTACGAAATCTACTCTATATTTCATTAAATCCACTTTTTTCCTAATTTGATTGAAATTTCACCTTTGTTGATATTTTTATCTAAAACTGTAACAACATGCACTTTAATTTTGCACTCTAAAACGCAATTAGACCTACCTATAGTAAGAGAAAACTACACTTTTTGCTGGTTATGAGATGATATATTTCATATTGTCCTTATTTGATGACTTCGGCGCTACCATATGCGAAAATTGCTACTAAAAAAAAAAACAATTGCCCATTAACGATAAAAGGTGTATATGTATGAATGGATGCAAAAGAATATAAATAAAATCCCCAAATTCCTTCATACATAAAACACTTGTTGACTTGCGCCCACCACAATTTTTACTCCTACACATCTCTCCCTCCCGCGCACCCTTTTGTTTTATCCTTATCCGTCTTAATCGAAACTTTTCTATGGCGTTTTAGCTCCAAATTTATTAGTGCATTTTTTTTCTTTCTTTTTCTTCTTTTCTATTGCTTTGCTTTCTCGAGAAGAAAGAAAAGATTTCAACCATTTAACCAGATTGATAATTTTTTTTTTTTTTCTACCAACTACTACTAGAACTACTACTACTACTACTACTACTACAATAATAATAATAATACTTTGTACACCACTTAACTGCTACCAATAACCATACAAGATGCACAGAACCTATTCCTTGAGATCTACAAGAGCACCTACTGCTTCTCAATTGCAATCACCACCACCACCACCCTCATCTACCAAATCTAGGTTCTTTGGTAAAGGCTCAATCAGTCATTCTTTCCGTAAATCTGCTGCAGGTGCCTTGGGCCCAGAGTTGGCCAGGAAGTTGGCTATCTTGATCAAAATGGAAAAGAACTTGATGAGGTCCATTGAAATCACTTCGAGAGAAAGAAAAGATTCGGCAAAGCAATTGTCCTTATGGGGTGAAAGCAATGATGACGATATCAGTGACATTACCGATAAATTGGGTGTTTTAATCTATGAGATTGGTGAGTTGGAAGATCAGTTTATTGATAGATATGATCAATATAGAATTACCTTGAAATCAATTAGAGATATCGAAGGTTCGGTTCAACCTTCAAGGGAAAGAAAACAAAAAATCACCGATCAAATCGCCTACCTCAAATATAAAGACCCACAATCACCAAAGATTAATGTATTGGAACAAGAATTGGTTAGAGCAGAAGCCGAATCTTTAGTTGCTGAAGCTCAATTATCAAATATCACCAGAGAAAAATTGAAGACTGCTTTCAACTACCAATTTGATTCAACCAGAGAACATGCTGAAAAAGTTGCTTTAATAGCTGGTTACGGTAAAGCTTTATTAGAATTATTGGACGAAACGCCTGTTACTCCAGGTGAAACAAGACCTGCTTATGATGGTTACGAAGCTTCAAAACAAATCATCATCGATGCTGAAAATGCCTTAGGTTCATGGACTTTTGACTCAGCCGTTGTTCGTCCAACATTGTCATTAGCAGCTCATGATGAAGAACATTATGATGAAGAAGACGAATTAGAAAATGAAGCTGAAAATTTAAGAATTACTGAAAAGAATTTTGATAATGCTCAACCTGAATTAGCTTAATTCAAACACTATCCATTCAATCAAATCTTCAAAAAAGAAAAGAAAAAAAAAAAATTTCAGAAGGTTTATTAACAAAAGTAGTTTGATTTTTGAAGTTCTTCAACCATCAATAATAACTTGAGAAAAATCCTCTTTATTTGGAGGTTTTGCTTTAAGTTATCATTTTTGGTTTTTTTTTTTTTTTAATTTCTAATTAATCATTGTATACTGCTATTTAATATATTGCTTAAACTACTATAAGAAGAAGAAGAAGAAGAAGAAGAAGAAATAAATACATCAGAAGAGCGAGATAGTATTGTAACAAACTACTGAATGTTGCTCCACTATTTCGGTCTGCTCGATAGTGTTGTAACAAGCTACTGAATGTTGCTCCACTATTTCGGTCTGCTCGATAGTGGAATATCCAATTGGTGGTGTACTTGTCATCATCTCTTTCTTCAGCCCCATCAACGTTATAGTTTATCTCATCTTCTTCAAACGGCTGAAAACAAAAATTTAAAAACAAAAGAAAAGAAAAAGAACGAATACAAAAGCCCATCTTGCTTTCACATTTCTTCTGTTCTAATTATCATTGCTAGTTCGCAATTATTATTGCTGTGTCAATTGTCATAAAATTTAGTTGCTGGGAAAAAAAAAAATTAAAAAAATGGTCATCATTGCTAATCATTGCTATAGGGAAAAATTATTGCTATAACGGAAAGGTGGGGGGTAGAAATTCGCAAAAATGGGGGTTAAGATAAGAGATATCATTGCTACTACTACTACTAAAACCTTTTGAAAATTGCGTTTTGATGCAAGTCAGTAAAGTGAAATTCGTAATGGGAATTCTTCTCTAGTTCCATCGAGATTTCTTTACTCTTGGAATCAGGAGATTAGGTGAAGTTGTGCATCATCAATTTGCTTGACTATTATCTTTGTTTGGTTGACTATTATCTTTGTTTGCTTGACCATCATCTTTGTTTGCTATTCATTTTTTGGGTCGTGTATTTGCAACCGTATCACGTGCCGCTATTTACACTCTCACCCAACTAGGTTATTTAATAAACAATGTCATTATTTCGGATATGCTTGGAAGGAAAGCAAAAAAAAAAAAAAAATCAAACCTCTATTCCAAATATAGCATGTGTGCGGCTCCTGCCAATATGGGACATTGCTACTACTACTACTACTTTAAGTTAGTAGCTAATAAATCAAGATGGTGAAAAACATTCAAAACTCCTCAGTCCATAAATTTGACAGGTTTCTATTTCGATAAAAACATCGAATTGAAAAAGTCATATAGATATGCCTAACATACCATCTCTGCCACAATATAGTCATTACTAGAGCAGAAATATAGCAGTATACGTATTCTGTTCCCAATTAATAACTACAAACTAGTAATGGTCCAGAGTGTCACCAGTCAGTGGCTACTCCACTATCTTGCTTTGTCCGATAGTGTGCTATGTGTAACACAATCCTCCTGGGATTCTCACTGTGTTTTTTCATTTTTTTTTTTTCAAAGCCAAATTGGATTTTAAACAGTAGAGTGTAGACATTACACAAAAAACGCGCTTCTTTTCCAATGTCAACAAATAAAAGTTGACTTTTCAATTTAAAAACTTGACATGACAAAAATATAGATTTCGAAGACAGCCTTTTTTTTAGTCAGCAGTAAGTAGGTGGGGAATGACGGGAGAAGAGAGAAAAGAGTTTGTTTAGAAAGTAAATAGAAGCATTGTAAGATAGTCTCTAGTCACTGTTTTTTTAATTTTTTTTTCTTTCTTTTTTTCCCCCTGATTGGCCCGTCGCATAATCTTTTCGACGTTTTTCAACTTTCTCAACTCTTAGCTTCCTTTTTAAAATCGCAACAGGCAGAATCCGGAAATCTTGGAGAAACGCAACCTTGATTCCTCAGGCAATTAAGTACTTGTCAAGAATTTTACTTGTGTTTTATGAGATAGCAACTTAAATATAATCGGTTTTTTAGTAGACAAAAACATATCAAGTAAGAGACAAACAGACAAACAGACAAACAGACAGAAGAACAGCCAATCGGTTAGCCCATCAGTCCATCAGTCAATAAGTCAATTAGTTAATCAGTTGGTAAATCAGCTGGTCAATCAGTCAGTTCAACAGACAGACAGCCAAACAGCCAAACAGCCAAACAGACAGTCAGACAGTACATCCCAGACAGACAGAAAAAAATAAAAACATTCAAGGTGAATGAAATTCTCAATTTTTTTCATAGAGAAAAAAAAAAAGAGACAACTAAGACAGTTGAAAAACATATCGTTATCAAGATAACGAATCACCATTTGCCATATAAGGTCAACTTGCTGCCACTTACAGCCAAGAGCTGCCATACAAAGTATACTGCTACATAATCGATCTTTCAACTGGGCCTAATTCCAGCCTCACATAGTTTGGTTTTACATTCCACTCGTTTAACATACACCCCGTTGCACATCATTTAGTACTCTTCTTGCACATCATTTAGTACTCTTCTTGCACCAATCATTTGCTAGAATAAGGTTGTTTCCAAGAGATGGCCAGTGAGTTTCTACGCTCATCTCCTGCAAGGGCTGAAAACGATGATTTTAAGCTAAACAAAGCCATTTCGGCAACCCAAACACCGGCATCCCATAAACTCTCTTCAATCGCGTTTGCCAAATCGTTAACATCTTCAACATCTTCATCATCTGTAAAACATCAACATCAACATCAAAATCTGCAACTGCAACTGCAACTGCAGCAACATCCGTCACAGGCAACGTTTCAATATTTTCCTCCTTCAGCATCCAAGTTTCTCAACTATCCAACTAATTTAACAGGATGGACACCACTAATATCCAAGACTTACTCTAATGATCAAATCTTATCGTTTAATTCGACACCTAATACTAATAAGTGGTTCACTCCATCTTCACTTATCCTACCGCAGAATAATCAAAACGTATCGGCAGCACCGCTTACACAGCCCGCCCCGCCGTCAATAGCACAACCACAATCACAAGGTGAAGAACTACTAAATCAACAAACAAGCATCAACGTTAGCAATACCACAACATTTTTACCAAGTGCCGCGGCAGCAGCGACGACAGCAACAACAGCAACAGCAACAACAACAACAGAATATGAATACCAAAGTCTCGGACTAACTCCATTTATGAACAACAATTTCAACATTTTAGGAAACACATCTGGTAGTGGTATCACTCCCTATCAAGAACGTGTCTTTCGACAAAATTGTGAATTCTATATAGAATCGCCAATTCGAACGAATAACAATATTGAAAACTTTGCAATAACACCATCTAAATTCAGCTTAAACAGTATTGCTAGTAAGAAATTAGCACAGGACCCCATGAAAAGCGCAACAAAGAGAAATATTGCTTTAGTAGATACGCCACCTAGAAAACCTCATAAATTGAGTATAATTACGAGAGCAGAAAACGATGGAGAGTCGGGTGAAATGGAAGAGGAAATAAAGAGTAGCCTCAAAGGACAAGAAATTGCAAAAGAAACAACAGGAGATGAAACTGATGACGAGGTTGAACAAGAAGAACAAGAAGAAGAAGAAGAAGGAGAAGAGGAGGAGGAAGAGGAGGAAGAAGAAAAAGAAAAAGAAGGAAAAGGAAAAGGAGAAGTAAAAAAAGAAGTAGAAGAAGAAGAAGTGAAAAGAGAAAAAGAAGCAGAAGCTAAAGTTGACGGAAAAGTTGAAACAAAGATTGAAAAAGACTGCTTACTTCAAACTCCATGTAAAAAACCACTCATGAATATTTCCAATCAACTAAAGGTAGAGTTTAAAACTCCTGCTAATAAAAAGACCACTTTAAGTTCACCATCAACTATATTATTGACTTCCGCCAAGCACACTAATGTTGATGTGGATAACATACTTGAGAATTCAAATGACGACAAGGAGAACCAACCACCTCCAAGTCCTACACCTGCCAAAACTTTAGCAGAGCCTATAATGGGGATATTTACTGAAAAAAAACCACTGCAAACGAAAACAAGATTGAAAAAGTCAACATCGACAAAGTTTTCAAAAGCAACCAACTCCAACACCCACTCCAATCACATTAACTGCTCTTCCTATTACTCCTCCTCCTCCAAACATGATGAGCAATTGCATTCTGAGAATAAATCAAAAATGCAAGCAGGAATGACCAAGTTTCAAATTGTATTAACTGATTTTAACGCTTATACAGGGAAGAAAAAGAGGGCTCAACATACTGAACAAAAGAGAGTTCCTCTTATAAAGCAACAACTACAACCACAACCACAACCACCGCCGCCACCACCACCTCAAACACTAACCCAATTACAGCCACCTCAGTTACAAACGCAGCTGTCATCAATCGTGGATAATAGTATAATCATGAATTCATCAAGAGAACATAGTAGTATATTGTCACTCAGCAATAATAGTACAAACATATCGAGTCATTTCAACCTTACAATGGACCATTCATCTTTCGAACTGGGCGGTATTTCGTCAACACCCAACTCCAAAGTATTACTAGATAGAATTTTCGATAAGCAGTCACCGCAACAAATGCTTTATTTCCAACAGCAGCAGCATCATCATAATTATTCTGCACCACTACAGCCACAATCACTGCAACCTACACATTATCAAGTACAAGACTCATCAACTATCATGCATCAGCAAGCTCAACAGCATAGCTCTGATGGGAATATGCCACCCCCTTCACAACAAAGTAATAAACACATACAACACATACAACACACACAACCACCACTACCATTACCATCATCTACATCTACATCTACATCATCATCATTGTACCCTATAGTATCTATGATGTCAACACCACAGCATTCTCACGTATACAATAATCAGAGTAACCATGGAAATGAAGTTTTCTCTACGCAGATTCCATCACCTTGGAATTTTGGATTTAGAACACCACCAAGGACAATTGCATTTAGCAGTAACAACAACAACATTAATAATAATAATAATAATAATAATAGCAATACTCAATTCAACACTTGCACGTCAACGATTACCAGCCAGAATGTGTCAATAGAATCTACGGATTTGAAAAAACAATCGATCAAGGTCAAATTAGACACAAATTCCAAATGAAAAACAACGTAAAACAAATACATAAAAGAGAACAAACAAAAAAGCATAATAGCATAATAGTCAACTCTGTTCATTTAAATAGACTTTAATCTAAGATAAAACCACTGAACTACCCCCAATACTCTATATGACTTAGTCTCCTATATATTAGGAGGTAAAAGAAATGCTCCAATAACTCCTGGTCTTTCCGTACTTAGCAAATCAAAGATCTGTCCTGAATTAACAGAGTCACTAATTTCTAGCTGTATGCCCATATTAGAAAACCAGTTTTTATTCTTAGGACTCAACATTCTACTTCTCTTACCGAGTCCAATAACTACTAGTTCTGGTTTTGGATGAACTTTGGTGAAAACCAGTAACACATGATCCAGAAACGTTACCAAATGATCCTTAATTTCAAACTTCATCACATCATCATTACCATTTCCTTTACCCAAGTTCACCTCAAACGTTTCTGAGTCAACCAAACATAAACCAATAATATCTCCATTTGAATCTGGAGATGTTACCAAATAATTATTTGATAAATGAAAACCGTTTTTCTTGATACTTTCAATATAATTGTTGGGCTTATTTGAATACATCAAAATATCGTTTTTTTTCAAAATATCTGCTGGATTAACTGGTGGTTTGGAATTATTTGCTGGTTTGAAAAATGACATTGGATCATTTGCATCGGTTTGGAAAAGTGATCGATGCTTGGAATTAGACAGCGGACGATCCCCATTACCGAATAAGCCTAATCGTGGCTGTGTGTAATGTAGCCTTCTACAATGTGTAAGTGCTTCTATGCTAACCAGACTGAATATATGGTGGTGCTTGAACATTGTTGGTATTGCCAAAGAATTCATCTAACCTTGTCTGAAATTTAAAACTAATTTTTATTTGCTCTTCTTTTCCGCTCTTTTAGGTTCCTCTCGCGTGAATAATGTGGAGTTGATACATCTTGATGATGAACCCTCTAAAATAATCCAACGCTAGCCCCATGGTAATGCATTTGGTGAGAGGAGGCAAGAATCAAAGCATTTGTCACTGATTTGACAACATCCCATCTTTCTCTTGGCTAAATCTGTGCCATAATAAAAAGATTGTATTTTCTAATAAATCATCTAATCTCGAAAGCCACTTCTTTCTGCAGTCAAGATGGCAGGATTCCGTAATTTAATCTCAAAAGCTACAAGCTGTTTCTCTCAATTTCAAGATGACAGGGTCCCATCATCCAATCTCATATGTTCGAAAGGCAAGATTCCGTTATTTAGCCGCCCCTCTCACCTTTTACTCTTGAACCTACATTTACCTTTTACTCTTGAACCTACACTCACCTTTTACTCTTGAACCTACACTCACCTTTTACTCTTGAACCTACACTCACCTTTTACTCTTGAACCTACACTCACCTTTTACTCTTGAACCTACACTCACCTTTTACTCTTGAACCTACACTCACCTTTTACTCTACCTCTTACACCTTCACTCACTGGAGATAACCTTTAATCATCAGTGCTTCTCCACTAGCTCCCTAGTGTCGCATTCAAGTTCGTCGAACGTTTATGAGCTAGTATCGGCATTGATAATGTCACTGAACACGCAAAATGCTTGTTCGAGTCTACTACAGAAGGGCAAGCTAGTGTGCTCCACTATCTCGCTCTGCTCGATAGTGGCGTTTTTACAATTGAATACAGATTTTTTGCATAATTTCTTATCGGAATTAGATCCGATCTGATAAAAATTCGCGCGATAAACATAAAGTATGTAAATGAAACAAACTTGAAGGATCCAACTCGACTCTCTTTATACTTGACAAAAGGATAGGAAACTTTCTTCTTGAGTAAAACTTGGAACTTGCAAAATAGTATGCAACTGTAGAAACAGAATAATTCAATGTCTCTGTATTCATATTCTCCCAAGTTTATTACTCTTTTTATCCACATTGGTTTTTAATTGAAACTCATTAAAATATGGCTCTAAAAAAAACCCCATGAGTATTGTGACATATATTACTCGCCATACTAATAAACCACTAGATCACAACCTTTTACTCTACCTTTTACACCTACACTCACTGGAGATAACCCTTAATCATCAGTGCTTCTCCACTAGCTCGCTTTCGATCCCTAGTGTCGCGATATGGACCAGTAGTGGATTCAAGTTATCAAACCCGTGTGGCTTGTAGGAATAGATAAAGTAGTGATAATTAAACAGAAAACTCATGGAGCCGGTCATTTTGAATAGCCCAAACTCCATATCAAACCTCCCAAATGACACCGTATCTATTTTTATTCTCACCTGTCTACCTTCAACGGGGGTTCGGTTCTTCCTGGCTTTTGTATAGTTTCCCCTTTACACATGGTAGCGACTATTTTCATATTATATCCCCAACGATTTTGGGATTTCTTGCTCAAGAGGTTGATTCCTTAACTTTTTCATTAGGGAGAAGGCTTTTTGATAATGTCAACCCAGTCTGGTATAGTTGTATCGCAAGAGCTCCTTGATGTATTCAACACTGAAGATAATGCTTTAGTTGTTAAGATATCACCTGACTCAACCCAATTGATCCCAGATAAATCATTTACGTTTGTCGATAATTCCCCTTCATCAATCATTTCATCATTACATACTTTTTTGGCAAAAGAGTTCCCACAACCGTCATATATCATAGTCCCCTATGATTCAACAAAAGTGTTTATTAGCTTTATACCAGATTCGGCTGCAATCAAGCAGAAAATGTTGTATGCATCAACAAAGTCCACGTTATTGGCCAGTTTAGGTTCATATAACTTCAAATACAAGTTTTCATGGACGGAGCTTGATGAGGTTGATTTTGGATATCTAGAAAAATGTGTTAAAGAAGAGCGTTTGTCAGGACCTTTAAGTAAAGACGAGGAACTTTTACAATCGATGAATCAACAACATTCAAATTATGCACAGTTGGGATTCAAGAGGGAATTAGTAAGTATGAACTCTTCAAGCAGTGATATCTTGTATCAGTTCGATGAGAAGTTGGAAACTGAATTTAACAGTTTGGTTGCCAATGCTGATAAGTTTAGGTTGGTGATATTCAGCATCGACGTGTCTCAAGAATTGATAAAACTAGACAATATAATAGATGAAGTCAATGTGGATCAACTTATCAAGACATTAGCTGATAATGTTAGTCCTGGTCCAAAATATATTATATACAACTACCTGGTTAATGAATACGCATTCATATACACTTGCCCCTCAAAATCGTCAGTCAAGGATAGGATGATTTACGCAGCTTCCAAAAATAGCTTGATAAATCTTTTAAAGACAAAGTATCTAAATAATGGCGAGGTTACATTGAATAAAAACTTGGAAGTCGGAGACTTGGATGAATTGGATGTGAGTCAATTACACAAGGAGGATGGGAATGCATCAGAGACAAGTTCAGTAGCAACCCCTTCTTCAAGTTCGTCTACTACTTCAAATAATGGACTAAGATTTAGTAAACCAAAAGGGCCTCGTCGTAGATAAAAACAAAAGAAAAAAGCAAATACCAAAATAAAATAAAATAAAATAAAATAACTATTCACTTGGTGTAAAAATGTTTCTTCACGTTTCAATATATCCATCAATAACGTCTCTCAACTTACACTCATTTTTAAAATACTCCTCTATTTCGCATGTCGAGTTGACAATATGACTATATATTTTGCGTGAAATCTTCTTATTAATTTTGATAAATTGTTCTTCGTTTGAAATGTAGTTTGACGAACAATCACCAGGTTTGTACCTGCACTTCAACTTACTTCGTAGATATTTTTGGATAATTGATTTTTCATCAAATGATAATTCTCTTTTGGGTATAACATACTCATTATCATCACTAGATGAATAAGATACCAGCTCCATTGGACTATTTGCTAGAGACGTGGAAGTAGACTCTGAAGTGATTGAGGATTGTGCAGTATATTTTGGAATATGAGGAGTTTGCGATGGTGGTGGTGCTTGTAGTAACAGAGTTTGACTTGTATGCTGCTTTTTCGCTGTTTTGAGCTCACTGATTAGACTTGTTATACGACTTGACTGAGTTGCTGTTGTTGTCTCTAGTTGCAAGGGAGGAGAAGATGTTCTATCAACCAAACGCTTCCGCCTTTTCCTTTTAGTAGTTTTATCTTGAGCTTCATCTAGAGACTGTGAGTTAACCGCAGCGGCGGCAGCGGCAATTGAAGAAGCTTGACTACAAGCTAAAGTTTCTTTTTCCTTGAGAGCTTGATCAAAAACTTCCCAAGAGCTAACTTCTTCTCTAGTTAATTTTTCTCTTTGTTTCTGCTCTCTTCGCGATAAGACACCCCCATTCATGACTCTAGCCGACACTGGTATACCATCTGTATTTAGCTTGGGCACTTGCATTTCAAAATAATCATCTTCATATAAAAAAGTATCATCAATTTCACCATTCTCGTTGAATATTACTAGTCCGTTACTACTATTGGATTTTCTCATTGGATGCATAGAATCAGATACCGCCACCGTTCTTCTGAGTCCAGCCCCACTTCGCGGTATCAATGTCTCCTGACTCGAATCACACATGGGACAAAACCAATAAAAAGAGTCCTCAACAATGTTGTTCCTTATTCCAAGACAAGTTAAATGGAAATTCGAACCACAATAATAACACAGTATCCTTTGAGTAAAATCACTGCGCCTAGTCAAAGTGCATATACAACAAAAATTAGTAGTTGACTGCACAGGATCTTCCATAAGACTCAGCAGTAGTGTAGCATCATTTATGATATACCGTGCAGGAATTTGATTGATGGCGGAATTAGGTAAAAGTCTATCCTTGACATCAATTACATGAATAATATTCAAAGGATCACATTTGCTCAGGATTTCAACTTGATAAAAATTATTGCGACATGTTGGACAACTATTTGATTTTGACGACCAAATTTCAATACATTTCTTGTGATAAAGCTTAGTAGGACAACATGGTACTTTCCCTATTAGATCATTGTCTTGAATATGGTCAAAACAGATAATACACTCATCATCCAAACCACACAAGTCCATCGTGAAAAAACACAGACCAACAGACCAACAGACACACAGACAAATAAACAGACGCAGACAGTCACAGAAAAAAAACAAACAGACAGTCACAGAATTGCCGACCCCCCCCGTCTTGCCAAGCTACTTTCAACGGTTTGAGTTTTCCCTTCAAGTAATCTTTCTGCGATAAGGCTGCAAAAGAAAAAAAAGAGTTAACCAGACAGCAGAAAAAAAAAAAAAAATTGGAAAAGCCTTTAGGGCGAGGATTTCCAAGCTTTAGGGCGGCGCTGGTTTGGGATAAAACCAAGGACAAGGCTGAAACCAGGTGGAAGTAAAGTAGTAAAGGGAGGGATTGATTGCGATGTCGCGACATCAATACGATTTGGTACAGTGTATGAAACAGCCGGGCAAGAGTATAGGGCAACTATGTACAAATTGTGATGGTAAGTGTCCCATATGTGATTCATTTGTTAAACCAAGTTCAATAGTTCACATTTGTCAAGATTGTTCTATTGAGTATTTGATTAACAAATGTATATTGTGTGGTAATAATTTAGGGATTAATAATGAGAATGGGGTTGACGCTTATTATTGTTTGGAGTGTTGTCGCTTAGAGAAACATCGAGAAGGGTGTCCTAGAGTAGTTAATGTTGGTGGTAATAAAACAGATATGATTTATCTGAAAAGGAAAGATGGCAGGAAGCCATTACTGAATACATAAACACTATCGAGTAACACTATCGAGTAACACTATCGAGTGACCCTATCGAGTGACCCTATCGAGTGACACTATCGAGTGACACTATCGAACAGAGCGAGATAGTGGAGCAACACTGACTAATGACACTACCGACAATAAATTATTGTTCAAGCTTATGGATATATAGTCTCCATCTCGCTTTGCTCGATAGAGACTATAAATTATAGTTCAAGCTTACGGATTTATAATCTCTATCTCGCTTCGCTCGATAGTGCCATAAATTTAAGGATCAAGACTCTTCATATGCTTTTCTTGCCTTTTCGATCGAAACATTGAGGGCAGTGTTAATACCTTGTTTCCATCGATTGTCCAAGTAGTCATAGACAGGTTTATAATCATTCAATTGTCTTTTTTTCCTCATCTCTTCAACTTCATCAACCATAATTCTTTTCTTATTCAAGCCGTTGGCGAGCATCTGGTTGTAGTTTCTCAACTCCTCAAGATGCTGCTTTTGCAAGCCTTTTAATGCTTCTTGATTTTGTGCAAATAGGTCCAAATTCCTTTGACGTAGTGTCGCGTGGCCAAGTGTAATATATAAATTGGTATAATTGATACCATCTCTCTCCTCAGCTGAAGAAGAAGAGGAGGAGGAGGAGGAGCCTGGCTCTGCTGGTGAAATTATATTGAAATCGGCGTATTTCGTCATATCCACGCCCTTGTTCTTCTTTCCTTCCTCCACGCCTTCTACATCTTCCTCATCCTCCCCTTCATCGTTATCCAGCTCTTCTTCTTCGTACCTCTGGAGCCTCATATCCACAACATTCCGGCGCTCAAATTGCAAGTCGTTGCCTATAGAGGGTACTAGCTGTTCCACCAATGGATGTATAGGTAAATTGCTTGATATATCCGTATCCACTATTAGCAGATTTTCGGCAATGGCAACAGTATCAGCCTCAACATTATTCGTATGGTTTGTTAAATTATTGATATTGGCATTAAACTGACTAGCCAATTCTAGTCGCACAAGTTGCTCCACATGTGCTCTCTCCTCGGGACCCACATACTCATCAATGTATTTCAAGTGCGTTAATGGCTCGTAATCTATCGTAACCATGATATCATGCTCAAGTATCACCGTGTTTAGACTGATAAATGTATTTACATATATTGGTCTTTTTATTTTTTCTCCATACAATTCTCTTGTCAATAACCACCACTAATAACCAATAACTAATAACTAATAACCACCAGTAGATAGGTTCAAAATCGAGATTTTCACCAGCCCAATGGGGTCAAGAGAGCTTTATATGGTACCTTCAGTATGAGTCACTAGTTTAGAGTGTATACGTTTTCTACTTCAAGATCTATGTAATGAAAGTATTTATTGCGTATGTACATACATGGGGTTAGAGGCGGAGCAGAGTAAGGAACAGGCGAAAAGAGCGGAAAAGTAACAAGAAAAGAGGCGAGGCAAGGAAAAAGAGATCTATTTAGATCTAGCTTGTACACTTGATAAGGATTAAATTGAATAATGTAAGGCAAACAAGTCAAGTGATGAACTAGCTACCAAAGGGGGAGGGAGGGAGTTAGAGGAGTTGAAAACTCCATGTTTTCACCGGTAAGAGAACATTTCAGAAGGATGTACAAGCAGGGGAGGTATGTTTACAGTTTTTGCGTGGTGATTGTTTGGTAACCTTTTAATGGATCGGCTCAAAAATAGAGACAACTAAAACCACCGTGCGCATAAGCTAATTATTGATGTAGACTATATTGGTTTAAGCTCCAATAGCGATTGTATCAACACATGAAATTTTGTGGTAATTAACCAAAGAAAGAGCATTGTACGGGTTATAGGCTCTGGGTTCCTAATTGATAGAATGGAAGTGCGGAATTTGTTTTCCTTTTTAGTATGTGTAAAATGTACATGAAATCAACCACAGTTGTAGCTATTGCTTCAGAGGTATACTATAGAAGAAATTTTCAGTCAATAAAGAAAAGATAAAAAAGAAAGCCCGATTTCAAGGATGTAAATAAAACACTTATTACACCTTTTAGGTATTTTTAGAGATTTCAACTCATCAAATAAAGCAGTACCACTTTATTTTTCGTTTATCATAACATTCAACAGTATGCTACACTCAAACATGGTCAAGTCAACAACAATGCCCAAGTTGCCCATCAAACAGAATCTACAAAAACAACACCAAAAGTGTGTAGTTTTCATTTTCCTTTTTTTCCAAAAAAAAGATATTACATTAATGCTAAACCGGTATTTAAAAAGTCACTTATTTGTCCAACACTTCAGCATCGTATTTAACCTTAAACCATTGAATGGTATCTTCTTTATTAGTTTTGTGACTGTTACCAATGGTTGATCTAGCTCTCTTTCTTCTTGTAACTCTAGCTCCTGCTCTTCCCATAACAACGTAGAAGTCCATACCATAAATTCCAATAGATGGGTCGTATTTGATACCTAAATCGATATGTTCATCGATACCGAAACCAAAGTTTCCTGTAGCTGAAAAGTTTTTATTTCTTAATTGATATTCCTTAACTTTCAAACCTCTTTCCAAGATTTCTTCAGCTTTTGGTCCTCTAATGGTGACATGAACAGAAATCTTTTCGTTTCTTCTAATACCAAAAGTTCTCACTGTGTATCTTGCTTTTGATTGCACTGGGGTTTGACCAGATAATTGTTCTAAAACTTTTGAGGCTCTGGTTAATCTATCACCGGACTCACCAACACAAATGTTCAAGACTAATTTCTCGATACGCAATTCACGCATAGGATTTTGAGTTTTGGTAGACTGTGACATGAGAGAAAATGTTAGTATTCTAAGCAAAAAAGTAAGAAAAAGAATAAATTTAGGCTAATGAGTTGGATGAAGGAGGAGAAATGTGATTCCCAAAATGTGCAAAAAAAAAGGGGACTTTTTATCTATGAGCCTCTTGTCATTTCTACACTTGCTCTATGGTTTCTGTAAAATCTTGATGATTGAAATTTCTTTCTCCAAAAAAAAAATATCCATAATGGAAGGTAGGAGTCAAAATACAATCCTTCTTGCCATATCGAAACCTTTATCCAACCTATAACACCTCCTGTTCCATATGAAACATAGGATAAATATTCAACATACCATCTTTGGCTATTATTGGTTCGTTGTATGATGGTACAAGGATAAATCTCTTTACCTATGGGAATAATTTTTCAATTGGTATTACTCAATTTCGATGGTAGCGGTGTGAAAAAAAGAAAGTCCCATACAATAAGAGCGGGAAGACCCAGCCAAAAAAAAAGAGAGAATCTTAAATCACAAACCCTAACAATGTACATATACACGTGATAGAAAAGAAACCACACAAATTTCACTCAGACTCAACACAAATTGTAGTTTGTGAGATGAGAGAGTTGAAAAATGGCTATTGGTTGATAGATCACGTGAGATAATTGTTTACAATAAACCTGGCTGGGCCTCTTTGGGCAATGATTACTCGCTTACAATTGTGAACAATGAGTCAGTTACTATATTCAATAAGTTTAGTTTAGAGAATTTATAATTCCAGTGTGTGTGAGAACTCTACTATCGAGCATAAGCGAGAGAGTGGAACAAGTCAGTGGAGGTGGAGCAAGTCAGTGGAGGTGGAGCAAGTCAGTGGAGGTGGAGCAAGTCAGTGGAGGTGGAGAAAGTCAGTGTTGGTGGAGGTAGTGTGCTCCACTATCTCGCTTCGCTCGATAGTAGAGCAAGTCAGTGGAGGTATAGGTAGTGTGGTCCACTATCTCGCTTTGCTCGAAAGTGGAGCAAGTCAGTGTCCCCTCTCTCGCTTCGCTCGATAGTGTCGCTCATCTCTCATCCATCAACATTGACAAAAGATTGCTCCTTCTCTTTAATTTCCCAAAACAACTCTCCAACATTGTAGTTACCATGATACGTCCATCCTTCTTCATTAACATGGTACAAATTGATCGAACCACCAGAATATGCATCTCTATGAGTCGCAGCCAATATACTTCTCTTACCTAGGTATAATGCCTCCTCAACCGTTAAATCCCACTTATACTCACTATCCAAAACACCATAGGCAAAAGTTTGACCCGAACCAACACAAAACAAATCACCTTTTAACCTCGTACCATCCGAATCAACATAGTATATAGTGGGACCTTCCTTTTTAGTATGACCACAAACCATAGTACCCATACTCAATCCCATCCCCTTATACGAGTACACCAAGTTGCTCAATATTTTCGAAGCAGCGGCTACTGAAATACGCTCCTTTTCTCGTAATTCATGTAACCTACACTGTGTACCTAACCAAGTCTCCCAAAACTGACAATCGGCAGCACCACCGGCCATCGTACCTAGTAACATTGAATTTATTCTAATAACCTTGTTAACCGTTTGAGATGCAATCCAATTTCCCGCAGTTGCTCGAGAATCAACTGCAACTATAATCCCGCCCTGGAAACGGAACGCTAATGTTGTCGTACCATGGGCTATTTTTATCTTACAATCGGGATTCGAAGCGTCATCGGTGTGCGCTCTTAAGAAATCAGTAGGCTGCGATATTGGCGGGACGGCAATTGATGGTGCTAAGCTCAACTGAGGATTCGACGAACGCGATTGATTAATAGACTCTATTTCGCTTAAAATGTCATTATTGTTGACGTTTGAGTATTTCTGCACTAGTGTATTCATAACAGGCAGAGAAGGAAAACAGCAGTGATATGAGTAGTCGTGTCTTTGTATATATGAAAAAGGGAGGACTCTTGAATCAATTCCGATTGTACTCTCAACTAACCTTTGTTCAAGTATTCTGGCTATTTACTGGCCTTTTATTTTTTGCCACTTTATCTTTTTGTATGTTCGCATAAAAATCAAAATCCCATCACAATGGGTAATAACTTAAACCAATAAATAATACATGTTGTGCCAGAGGTCTATAAATTTACGTAAGATATATATAGATACATAGATACGTTTTGCTTTTTGCTAAATTCTGGCCATCTTATTTGCTTGCTCGTTTTCGTAATCTCTCGAGTCGGAATCTCTTTTATTGCCAGTTTGGTATGTAGGTTTGTTGGATAAGAAAGTTGGTGGTCTCGATAATCCCAAGCCTACACCAGGCGGTTTGCCATATGCTTGGGGTCTTCCGTAAAAGCCTGGCTTATTCAAGGAGAATGGCTTTCCAAACAGCGGCGGCCGTGGTAATGACAACGCTTTGGGAATGTTCAGGGAGGATTGCGGTGATGGCGAGTTATTTTTCTCTACTTTTACTGCTGGTGCAGTTTGCGTGTTTGGAGAAATCGCGATGGATTGAGTTGCTGGTGACGAAAAGTTTGTAGGCTGTGATGCAATGGACCCGGGTGGTTGAGTTGTGGATGTTTGTGTTTCCGAAGAAGGCGGTGATGACAATTGAGCTGTAAGTTTGGTCATTGGTAAAGAAGAAGATTGCAGAGCTAAGTCGTTTGCATTATCTTCTACTGTTGTTACATGGCTTCTAGGTTGGATAGATGTATTTTCATTATTAAAAGCTTGAGTGGTTTGAGGTTGAGCAGTCTGAGGTTGAGCAGTTTGAGGTTGAGCAGTCTGAGGTTGAGCAGTCTGAGGTTGAACATGAGATTGAACAGTCTGAGGTTGAGCAGTCTGCAATTGAGTAGTCTGAGGTTGAGCAGTCTGCAATTGTGTAGTCTGAGGTGCAATTTGAGGTAGAGGTTGGGGCGATGATGACACAGGTCCCGATCCCGATCCCGACCCCGATGCCAAGGGCAAGGGATGAGTTGGAGCTGGTGTGGATGGTTTTGATCCTCCACCATCATGTTCCTTGATAGATTTTGTCAATGCAATACCCAAAATCTTGCTCACTTGTTGAGGTGCCTTTTCCACCAAGAAACCTAAAGCATTTTGACCACAACCAGCTTTAGCACCAATGCTATTAACTTGAGCAATGGTAGTAGCTAGCGCTTTCGTGATTAAACTGGTTGCTGTTTCCCTATCATACGAAAGATTCCGAGTTTTATATAAACTGAACAATTCTTTCCTCAAGTACTCTAGAGACTTTTGTGTTTTTGGGTCATTGATAGATGGCATTTCTTGAGCTATTGGCTGAGGAGGAGCTGGGGAGACACTCACATTATTGGCAGGTTTATAATGCACTGGCGAAGGTTGAGCAAACGGTGCACTATTATTATTATTATTATTATTATTACTAGCAGCAACTGATGGTCCTTGCGGAGGCATAGATTGCATTTTGGGGGGATACTGAGGTTGTGGAAAATTGGCGGTTCTATTCATATACATTTGATTGCTGAATTGTTGTTGTTGTTGTTGAGTTTCTAATCTTTGCTTTTGTTGGAACTCTTCTCGTCTTTTGAGCTCTGCTTGAGCTTTTGCTTCAACTATTTGTCTTTGTTGTTCCTTTATTGTATTTCTTTCATCTAGATACAACTCGTCAATGACATACTGCCACTCAGATCCTTTTTTGAAAATACCTTTGTAGCATTTGGAGAATTTCACACAATGGTCAATAGCCGCTTGCCATCCTTCTGGACAGTACTTGTAATATGGATATATCTCCTTGATGGACTCAATAATCTCATTAATTGTTAAACCATTTTGAGCGGCAGTTGGTGTTTTCAAAACTACTGTAACCATGGTATTGAAACTCAAGTTTGGCTTGACTCGACACTTTTCGGGTATTTCATCAGCGGCATAAACACGTTTAGCTGATTTTCTTGGTGCGACTTTCTTTCCTTTTGGTTTGGGGTATTTTGAAGGTTCTTCAATGGTTTTGGGGTAGTAAAACGATGAAAGATAAGAAGCGTCGCTCACTGTAATGGCTCGCAAAGGTGGTCGAGATCTTATTGCTGAAGGCTCGGCTGTTATTATATGGACAGGCGCAATTAACTTCGGTGGGGGTGGTTGATTAGGTATTGCTTTCTGAACCATTGAGGGAAAACCTGGTTTATCCAAACCATTGATTCGGCTATAAATTGATGACGATGCAGGTGGCTGGATTGAAGCAGGCTTCCCCATCAAAGGTGTTGCCCTAATAGGTCCTGCATTTTTCACATATGAGTACCTCCTCTGCTGTAAATGCAATTCCTTCTGTTTCTTTAAATCCTCCAAACCTTTCTTTTTAAGTTCTTTTTCTTTGATCAAGTTCTGATTATACTCGCTGGATGTCTTTGCCAATTCATCAATTTCCAAACCTACCTCATGTACTTGCGTGCCCAACTCTTTGATTTCGTTATCTGCTTGATTAAAGCTTTTGACAATATTCCCCAAGTCTTGTGCACCATCATTATCATCATTAACTTCATTTTCTTCTTCTTGTTCGTCTTCTTGTTGTTCTTCTTCTTCGTCGTCGTCCGCTATAGCTGATTCATTAAAGCCAGACAATTTGGTAATGTCGTCGTCTTGATTGTCTGCACCTAGATGTGTCGCATCTTCATCCAAAAGAAGACGAATTTGCTCATCGAGATCCATCGCACTGTCTTCACTCTGATCTGTAATTGGGTTCAATCCAATGCCTTTTAGCAATTCATTAATTTCGTCGCTAGTGCTTTGCGACTTTGGCCGCGTAGTTGATAATCTTCTAATCTTCAATAAGGAATCCCGCCTATTAATTGATTTTTTCCGCTGTGCAATGTTATTGGTATTGGTGTTGGTGTTGGTGTTGGTGCTGGTGTTGGTGTTGGTGCTGGTATTGGTGTTGGTGTTGGTGCTGGTATTGTTTTTAGCATTGGCATTGGCAATTATATTAGTATTGGTGGTATTTGCAACAGCTGTCGGCAGCAATTCCGAAACTTCATTCAATTCGGGAATTTTCCTTTTTGGTGAGCTCTTTGGTGTTGGAGTTTTAGAGAATAAATTAGATTTCAAGTTTATGGCATCACTGGGATTGAATTGCTTTGGACCAGCCTTAGCACCATTAGCATTTGATTCATCATTAGGTGGTTCATCAGGAAGAATGAAATAAAATGGTATATCACCAATTTGTATTTTCATTCCGCCAGTTAATGGGATTGTTAAACCCTTTTCAACAAATGTTTCATCTACAAATGCTCCATTTTTACCCAATACCGATATTTCGAATCTTTGAGTTCCAAAATTATAAAAAATCTTTGCATGTCTTCTTGATATGGCCTTTTTTTCCGATAAATGAACATCCACATTCTGTTGGATTAGCTCGTCTTGAGATTTGCGCCCGAGCACAACTTGTAGTGTCTGAACGTAAAACATATAATTGTCAAAATCTAGTCTAGCGTATGCAGACACTCTAGCGCGCTGGTTTTCATCATCATCTTGACTTGATTTCGGTGCTGAGGCCGAGTCCTTTTTGGATGATTCCATTTTTTGTTTCAGTATATTGTTGTTAATATTGTTGTTGTTGTCATTACTGGTTGTGGCCGTGGCTGTGGAGGTGGAGGTGGAGGATTTACACGCGAGTTCATTGGTTTCTGTTGATGGTTCACGCACAGGCTCATTAGTGCCTGTTGATGGTTCACGCACAGGCTCATTAGTGCCTGTTGATGGCTTTGCAGTAGTTTCATTTACAGGATCCAAAGACGCTAGGCTTGGAACTTGTGGTAGGAAATTAGCATTAGCAAGTATTGTGTCTGACTGTTTGTGCTCTTTTTTGATTTCAAGTAAAGGTTCCTTATCGCCGTCACCACGAGTTCTAGGTTCTGTTGAGGATAGCCTTGTATTGTCTTGTTCCTGTAATTGTGAGTTTGCCAAAAGCATATTAAGCTCTTCATCTAGCATTAATCCCGATACTTGCGTCATATCTTCAGTTTTCATCAATGGTGTGATGCTCGAGCTTGTAACCGTAGTTCCTGTTGATCCTTGCGGAGTAGGCATAAACCCTTGTGGGTTATTCTCGGGGGTTTGCAAACTACCTGTTCGACCAAGATCATCGGTAATGTTAACATTCATTTTCTTTTCGGGGCGGGGCTTGATTTATCCTCGGTAAAGAGTGCTTTCTAACGGGTGCGCCTTGGTATTTGCAGCAAAAAACTGTAAGAAATACAGATGGGCTATGATAATTTTAGGCTATGACGATGGGCGGTGCTGGTAATGGTCACAATCAGGTTCAACTCTCAACTTGATAAACCTTAGCGATGAGATCAACTTTGTTTTTGTTTGTTGGTTTGAGCTTCTCGCTTTTGATGAAGCAATTTTTCACACAAGCTTCACTATCGAGCGAAGCGAGATAGTGGAGCAGCACTGACTAGCGACACTAGCCCCACTATCGAGCGAAGCGAGATAGTGGAGCAGCATTGACTAGCTCCAGTAGCTTCACTATCGAGCGAATCGAGAGCTAGTGGAGCAGCATTGACTAGTTCCAGTAGCCCCAGTAGCTCTGACTAGCTCCAGTAGCTCCAGTAGCTCTGACTGTCACCGACACCAGCTCCAGTAGCCCCAGTAGCACTGACTAGCTCCAGTAGCTCCAGTAGCTCTGACTGTCACCGACACCAGCTCCAGTAGCCCCAGTAGCACTGACTAGCTCCAGTAGCTCCAGTAGCTCTGACTGTCACCGACACTAGCTTCAGTAGCTCCAGTAGCACTGACTAGCTCCAGTAGCTCTGTCTGTCACCGACACTAGCTTCAGTAGCTCCAGTAGCACTGACTAGCTCCAGTAGCACTGACTGTCAACGACACTAGCTCCAGTAGCTCCAGTAGCTCCACTATCTCCACTATCTCGCTTTACTCGATAGTGGGGCAGCAAACCTGATAATTGAAAGAGGATAAGAGAAATAAGTGAAAGTATTTGTATCATCTCTACGAAAACGGTAATGTCATTGAGGTTTGGCTTGCTTCCTATAGTAGGTGCTTGAACGTATTTGAACAAGTGTTTTAGAGTGTAGATATAGACTATTGAGCAGAGAGAGAGAGACCAGACGAGTGAAACGAGTCTAGTCAATAGAGTGTAGATATAGACTATTGAGCAGAGAGAGAGAGACTAGACTCGTTTCACTCGTCTAGTCAATAGAATGTAGATGTAGACTATCTCGCTCTGCTCGATAGTCTATAGAGAGAAAGACTAGACTCGTTTCACTCGTCTAGTCAATAGAATGTAGATGTAGACTATCTCGCTCTGCTCGATAGTCTATAGTGTCGCTCGATAGTCTATAGTGTCGCTCGATAGTCTATAGTGTCGCTCGATAGTCTATAGTGTCGCTCGATAGTCTATAGTGTCGCTCGATAGTCTATAGTGTCGCTCGATAGTCTATAGTGTCGCTCGATAGTGTCGATTGGAAATCGAAAAAAGAGTACATTTTTCTTTTGTTTTGACCTCTTTTCAAAGTTTGACCGTTGGAAATGTTTTTTTTAGTGAAAAGTTCCCAAAGTAGTAGCAGTGCCAATTTAGGAACAAAATTCTTTAAAAATTTTAGATTGTTTATCATTGACAATTTGATCAGTTTTTTACTCTTTTGGTATTCTTTTTTCCGACACTATCGAGCGAAGCGAGATAGTGGAGCAGCACTGTTAAGCAACACTGACTAGCGGCCACCGACTCTATCGACACTATCTCGCTCTACTCGATAGGGTAACACTTTGTAGCGATACTAGTAACGACACTATCCAGCAAGGTAAACAGAGCGAGATAGTGTTGTAACAAGCTACTAAGCTACTAACACACGGGTTTGTTGCTCTTCTATCTCGCTTTGCTCGATAGTGGGGATTTAGTCAGTGTGCTCTTCTATCTCGCTTTGCTCGATAGTGGGCATTTAGTCAGTGTGCTCTTCTATCTCGCTCTACTTGATAGTGGTTTGGGTGCAAAAAAAATGTCATCAATCTCGTCCTGCATAAGAATTTGGTATCGATGAGATGATCATCGCAGGAGGTAAAGGCTTTTTTATCAGTGAAAAAGTAAACTTTCATCAAACAAGGGGAAAAAGGACTATTATAATAAGATGGTATGTAATTTGAACCTATCAAGAGAGTCAAAATAGTGTCACTCGATAGTGTCACTCGATAGTGGAGCTAGTGTCACTAGTCAATGGAGCTCCACTATCTCGCTGTGCTCGATAGTGCCAATAGTGCCAATATTAACTAGGAAATGACAATAGGCGGGAATTAAGAAAAAGACCTCTTTAAGAGGCAAGTCCGAAAGGAGGGCTCAGTTAGTGTCTAAGATATCTGAGTTTAAACAACAACACTCGAGTTTTGAGCAACATGGACTGTTACCAAGTATAAGTCAAGCAACAAAGAAACAGAAACAGCAGGAGAAAAGTGATAAATTCATCACTCAATTGGTTAATAAAGTGACATTTAATACTAGTGGCGGTATAAGTAAATCATCGTTACGAAGGCAAAAGAGGAAAGCAAAAGAGCAGTTGAAGCCTAAAATGGATGAGATTTTAGATAACTTACCTAAAACAAGTAATGACGTAGAAATAAAAAGTCTTGATAATGCCATGGGAAATGATTTTGTTGAATCAAATAGAATCAATCGTAATAAGCCAAATCCGGTTAAGGCAAGTGGATACAAGCGAATAATGAAGGAGGAAAATAGGAATTTTAGTAATGTTTTGAAGAATCCGCAATTTAGAGCTTCTCCTTTTGAAGCGTTGAAACTTGCAATCCAGGAGAATAGAAAGTAGAGAAGGAGGAGGAGGATGAGGAGGAGGAGGAGGAGGAGGAGGAGGAGAAAGCAGGGAAAAGTTAGCAAAATAGAGCTAATAGAATAAAGCTGAACTAAACAGAGAAGATCAGAGCAGAGACGAGCTGGGACGAACCTGGTGGAGAAAAACGGTTGAGACGATGAGAGAAGAGCAAATAGACCAGAACAGGTAAAGCAGAGTAGAGTTTGCAGAGAAGGCAAAATAGACCATAGCAGAGTATAGCAAAGTAAAGCAGAGAAGAGTTATCCTGAGAGACGAGTTATCCTGAGAGACGAGTTATCCTGAGAGACGAGTTATGCTGGGACGAGTTATGCTGGGACGAGTTATGCTGGGACGAGTTATGCTGGGACGAGTTATGCTGGGACGAGTTATGCTGGGACGAGCTATGCTGGGACGAGTTATGTTGATCATTGCAGGGGTAAAGGCTTTTTTATCAGTGAAAAAGTAAACTTTCATCAAACAAGGGGCAAAAGGACTATTATAATAGGATGGTATGTAATTTGAACCTAGGACGAAGCGAGATAGTGTCACTAGTCGATAGTGCTTTACTATCTCGCTTCGCTCGATAGTGTCGATAGTGTCACTAGTCAATGCTTCTCCACTATCTCTCTTTGCTCCATTGTGCCACGAAACAATTGAGAGAAGCAGAGTAGAAGAGAAGATAGCAAAGCAAATAGAAAAGAATAGTGAGTAAAGCAGAGTATAGTGTAGTTTGCGGCATCGAGTGAGAGAGCAAAGGAAGTCAATAGCGTTGTTGAGGACGACGCTAGTGAGAGAGAGTCATCTTCGACAACGCTAGATGGGACAGGAACTTGTTTTAATCTCTTTGATAGGAGTCGTCTTCTACAACAGTAGTATGAGGAGTCGTCTTCTACAACAGTAGTATGAGGAGTCGTCTTCTACAACAGTAGTGTGAGGAGTTGTATTTTGCAACTGTAGTGATAGGGAGTTGTCTTCTACACCAATTGAGAGGGAATCATCTTTTGCAACACTAGTCAAAAGGAGTTGTTTTTGGCACCAATTGAAAGGAGTTGTCTTTTACACCTTTAGTGCCGGAGCAGATACACTCAGATAGTCGTTAGTGCCAAAGCAGAGGGATGACTCAGAAAGTCACTAGCTAGAGGAGAGACACCCAGATTGTCAGTAGCATCGCTTTTGGCACCATTAGAGACACTCAGAAATTTAGCAGCATCGCTTTTGGTATCGTTAGAGACACTCAGATAGTCGTTACCGCCAAAGCAGAGGGACTCGGATAGTCACTAGCTAAAAGAGACACTCAGCTAGTCACTAGCATCGCTTTTGGCACCGTTAGAGACACTCAGATAGTTGTTACCGCCAAAGCAGAGGGACTAGGATAGTCACTAGCTAAAAGAGACACTCAGCTAGTCACTAGCATCGCTTTTGGCACCGTTAGAGACACTCAGATGGTCGTTAGAGACACCCTGATAATCAATGCAGCTCCACTATCTCGCTCTGCTCGCAAGTGGGGCTCGATAGTGTCACTAGTCAATGCTGCTCCACTATCTCGCTTCGCTCGATTGCGTCACTCGATAGTGTCAGTCAATGCTGCTCCACTAGCTCGCTTCGCTCGATTGCGTCACTCGATAGTGTCAGTCAATGCTGCTCCGCTATCTCGCTTCGCTCGCAAGTGGGGCTCTATAGTTTCGAGGGCTGAGAGTAGTCAATGCTGCTCCACTAGCTCGCTTCGCTCGATTGCGTCACTCGATAGTGTCAGTCAATGCTGCTCCGCTATCTCGCTTCGCTCGCAAGTGGGGCTCTATAGTTTCGAGGGCTGAGAGTAGTCAATGCTGCTCCACTAGCTCGCTTCGCTCGCAAGTGGAGCTGTCGCGCTAGTAAAAAATTTGTTCAATGTAACAAAGTAAACAAAAGGAAAAAGAGAAAATATAAACATAGAGTAAAGTTTAATGGTTCTTCTTTTATTTATCAAAATCAAACACTAGTGAATTCTATACAGTTCAAATTTGCTAGTTTGGTCAGTATACAGGTGTATACCCTTTTGTTATTGCTGCTTTCCCTGAAAACGGTTTTGTTGAAAAAGTCGGTCTTGCTAGAAAAGTCGGTTTTTATCCTTTAGATACAGAGGATAACACTAGACCTTATATATACCGAGATTTACTAGACTAGACCTTTTGTCCAAATCCAAATCCCAAGTTGCATCAATTAAGCAAGCCTTGTTTATACCCCCCCCCCACAGCTTCAAGTGTGCTCTTAAATGGATGAAGACGAACCAACTAGTCTCCCCGGGAATAATGGTCCAATTGAAGAAGAAAAACCAACTAGTCTCCCCGGGAATAATGGCCCAATTGGAGAAGAAAACCCATATAATAACCTAACCCAGGACCAGGAATTTCCCATTTATCAACAAAAACAGCTCAATCTAGGCGAATCAGCCAATGAAAATAATCACGCAAGATTGTCAATTACCAGCACTAGCACAACTTTACAGCTGAAATTACCCGCACAGCAACAATCTACTACAATTCACCCTGATTTCCAGTATAATAAGCATAATGAGTCAATTTTCGATGACGAGAGATTGTTTCCCTGCTTACCCACTAATAACAACCAGGAGGATGATCTCGTTAAATTCGAGGAGAGAAATCAAGAGCTAATCATCAACCATGCAACAATCAAGGCATTGGTTGTACAAATGACTTCTCCCGAAGTAATTGACTATAACTTGATTTGTGATTTTTTCCTAACTTATAGGATTTTTTCCAATAGTGACGAAATCATGAATTTGCTATTAACGCGGTTGATCTGGGCTTTGCAGTATATTAACTCAGATAGCCTAGCAAACGTCAAGATTGGGAAATTGGTTTTGCTTCGAACATTTGTGGTTTTGAGGCACTGGATTATAAACTATTTTGTTGATGATTTCAATAGTAATACTCCATTATGTGACAAGTTTTCCACCACCTTAAACAGCATTGTTTTGGACTCTAATCTAATAAGTATGGAAAATTACTCAAGCCAGGATAATTTCTTATTTGTTATAAAGATATTCGGTGATTTGAAATCTCACTGGTTAAGTTTAATCAATGAATTTTGGCTTTTGAATATTGATATGGAGTCACTAATTATCAGCAAAAGTATATTTGATTATCATCTACCTTTGTTAAGAGATGTCAACAACAATAGTAAGAAAATTTCTAAATCAAATACAGAATTGTCCATACATACCAATCCTTCTTATCGTCGGTCCGCAATGCTTTCACTTTATGATCAGAAAATACACCACAAGATGCTTATATTTGATGAAAACTCAAACCAAGAAGAAAATCCTCAATTTTCAATTAATAACTTGTTGTTACAACATCAATCATCAAGACTTTCCATTAATAATAAAATTCAAGAAATTCAGCAGCAAAAGAAATTAGTTAAATCGCCTACACTTTCTACATTATTTGCTAAAACATCGCCGACTAATAATATTAATAATACTACTAATATCACCGCCACCACCACCACCACCACCACCACCACCACTCCTCTTGCCGCTGCTGCTGCTTTCACTCAAAATTTTTCAAATAATGCAGCAGCAACTAATACCCTGACAAAGAATAGAAAGGCTCTAGCACAATCAACGAGGTATAATCGAATGGAAATCAAAGATTCAGCTTTGGAATTGAAGAAAACCAAAACAATGCTCCTAGATGACGTAGATGTTGAAAATCGCAATTGGGATCCTACTACTAATTATAATAGTATCCCGGTAAATCATGGGGTTGACAAGTCTCAACTATATAAACAAGTTGGGTTTTCCACCAATGGGAATGTTAAGCTTCCTACATCAAGGGTGACCACAATTGTACCACCAACACCAGTGAAAAAAATGGATTATAAACTTGTTACTGAAGCGTTTAGTGTTTCACTGAATCAACCGCTGCCTCATGTGTATGATGCTCTACACGCAGATGATTTCGGAAGGAAAAAATCCATAAAAAAGTTGATGGAAAGTTGGAAGAAGTCATTAGCTGCACATCATTACTCCAAAATATCAGTTGCTGAGCATAAATTCAGCTCAGGGTCATCTCAAAATTCATCAAAAGAGTCGATGACCAATTCTATACATGCTGTGAGCGAACGGGATATTGGGAATCGTATAGATGTTTTAAGTGCACGAATCGTGGACGAGTTGGAATATTTTATTCGGTATTATATTGATGATTCAAAAGCAAACAGTGTCATACATGAAGTAGATGGTCGATATATTGAAGGTGAAGGTGAAGGTGACTCCAACGACAAATTTCTTGACGTTAGAGAGGAGGTGCAGGCAGCAGAGGAAAATCAAGACGATAACAACGAGTTGAAGCTGATTGCACTCACATCCGCTAGAAACAGTAAAGAAAATGAAAGTGATGTGGATATAAATGATTTGTCAGAGTTGAATATTCTAAAAATTGACAATCTTATTAATGATGAGGAGAATGGTGCTGTACAAACTATGATGGTTTTGAGTAATAGCACTCCCCATGACTATGACAACGACAGCAATGACAGCAATGACGACAACAACGACAACGACAACAATGACAACAATGACAACAATGACAACAATGACAATGACAACGACGAAATGTATTCATCTGGTCCATCTTTTCAAAAACCAACGAGTCTCAATTGGAATGATGAAGAAGTTGTTGATTTGGAGGTGTCCGCTGAGAAGGAAGAAATCAAACTGGAAGAAGATAATGATGAATTTGACTTTACTATTGGGTCCAAAGGCAAGTCAAGAGCATGTTCCGCAGTGTACCATGAACCCAATATACATTTCTACCAGTCAATTCACTCTTTTGAGACTTCCAGTATATCCACACCAAGTAATTTCACTCAATACGATGCTGAGATTGCCGAGTTGGGTATAGCTGTAAGTCCTCAGCTGGAGAAACCAAAACGAATAAGCTTTTGCGAGACTAAAAATAACAACAACAATAATAATAACAGTGTGATCAACAATAGGAAAGTATCAATTTTGTCTAGAAACTCCACCGGATCTGCTAATATACGAGACTCGGTGAAATCGTATTTGAGTTATGATTCTGCACTTTCCATTACAAACGATAGCATTTTGATGAGAAGCTCAAACATTGAAGGAAATGGATTGAGGAAGAAATTCGGGTTTAATAACTTGCGTACGGCAATTAATGAAAATGAACTAGAAAGTGCAATTGTGCTAAAGTCATCACAAATATCACGCAACACTTCAAGGAGTTCGAGGAAAAGTGTACGGTTCAGCAACTTGTGTGCTTTGACTCAGTTGCCATTTAACGAATTTGAGTTGCAAAGTGAAGAAAAGAAACGACATAAAAAAACATCTTCAGTTGATCTTTGTACTAGTTCGATATTTTCAGTTACTGGGAGAAGCAGGATGAGCTCAAAGGGGAACGCAAATAAGGAATCAACCCAAAGCACTGTTTTTACTGGATCTTCAGACAATTCAGTGGCAATTCCTGGAATCAGTAATTATGCGCTCAAGGAGTTGGCAGCTATACCTGATGAATCAATGCAATCTACGGATGATCCAATTGAGTTTGCACTAAGTAAATTAGAAGGGAACAGAACATTGTCGAAACTGAGCTTACCAAAAGGTGATAATGTGGAGGAGGAGGAGGAGGAGGAGGAGGAGGGCAAGGGAGAAGGAGGAGAGGAAGTCAACTCCACTGAGGATATATTAAACCAAATTCACAATGTACATACGGAGGATGCTATTGGAGGTTCTACATTCAATATCACTGATGAAGAAGAGCCTTTAACTCCGATTAATTCACCAAAGAACTTAATTTTGGAAGAGGCCCCTTCTAATCATTCAATGTCTACACCCCAACAAGATCTCAATATTGAAGTCTTTGACTTTCAAGAACCAAATAAGGTGAATGTTGATTCTCCCCAAACAAGCTCGTACCAGTCACCCAAGATAATTTTGGATAGTTATGCACCATCAAGCAATTTCTTATCGGTACAGAATGTCATGAATGAACATACACACATTTCATTTCTATTGTCATTTGACTCGAAATCTTTAGCAGATCATTTTACTATTATTGAGAAAGATATGCTTATGGAAATAGATTGGAAAGATTTAATTGAATTGAAATGGAATAAAGAATTAACTCCAGTAAATAGTTGGCTTGAGATTATTGTTAATGACACTTATTACATGAAAAACAAAGGTGTTAACTTGGTCATTGCTAGATTCAATTTGATGGTAAACTGGATAATTTCTGAAATCCTACTAAGTCAAAATCAAAATGAACGAATCAGCATTATTTCTCGATTCATACACATTGCGCAAAACTGTTTAATTTTACAAAATTACGCTACATTGGTGCAAATCATTTTAGCGTTAACTTCACAAAGAGTTCAATGTTTCAAAAACACATGGAGGAATTTGTCACCGGGGGATATATTGATGTTAAAAAACCTCGAGGAATTGTCATCACCGTTGAAGAATTTCTTAAACATTAGATTGTCAATTAACCAAATCAAACCTTCAAAGGGATGCATCCCGTTTGTTGGATTATACTTGTCTGACTTGACGTTTAATGCCGAGCGTCCTAATCTTATCAAAAGAAACAACAAGAATAATAATGCAATTGAAGAAAGTGAAGAAATGATTAATTTTTCGAAATTCAGAACATCCGTTCATATAGTCAAGTCTTTATCGCAATGTATTGAATGGTCAAGTAATTATTCAATTGATGTACTGCCTGACCTATTATCGAAATGTCTTTACATAAAATCATTAGATGAAGAAGAAATGAATTTCTGTATACTGAAAATTCAAGATTGAATAGAGTAAAAGTTTTTTTTAGTTCATTGGTATATATTAATAAAATGTATAAACCATATTTTTATAGATTTGTCTTTCAAAAACATTAGAGGGAAATAGTTTTATACTTATTGTAGTCCATAATCAACATAATATATACACCACTGTAGTCTATATTCGTTAAGTAAAAAAAAAAGCACGAACAAGCTCGGCAGAGTTCCGTCAAGTTATATCTTTGTGCTGCAGCATGGTTTTTCTTCTTCACCAGGAACTAAAACACTCTTGTTGAAGTTATTATTAGCTCCAGGAATATCCAAAGCAGGGTTTTTATCAAAGAAGTTAACAGGAGCAATATGAATATTGTGAATTTCAACAGGCATAACGGGGAAATCTTCAACTCTTGGAATATGAGTGAATCCCATAGTTGCCCAAACAACAATATCTTCGTTTCTAACATCGTCTACACCATTTGCCCATACGGCTATACCAGTATCTTTCTGTGATTGATTTGTGAATTCACCAGCAGCAAACAACTGATCATCGCGGTATTTAGTAACCCACATTTGCTGAGTTGCATATTTAGCTCTCTTGGTGTTAAATGAAGTATCGTCAGCCAACAACATTTGTCTTGCTGGCAATTCGATTTTATAACCAACTGGTGTCTTAGCAACTGGATTAATGACATTTTCATTAATGATCTTGTAAGCTCTGTTTGTAAATGGAGATTGTTCAATATATCCTGCTTTTTCAACAATCTTACGATCAGTAACAAATCCAATACCGAATGGATTTAATTTGGAAACAGGCAACTTCTTGGTGTCATCGTATACAACAGTGTTATTATGACCATCGATAGCTGGATCAATTCTAAATGACAAAATGTGTTGATGGTAAGCAGCCATACAGTTTGGCGCAACAATTGTACCCCATGGTACTTTAACGTTTTCATCAATGGGCATAGTTGACAAGATACCAGTGGCTCTAGCTTCAATATCCATCGAACCATCAGAAACAAACTTCAAGTTAACAACGTATTCATAATTGGCAACAGTTGCAATACATTGAACAATAAATATTCTCCTTCTAGCAACAACAGCATTGTTTGTTCTGTAATTCACGTGTTTGTATAACAAACCGTCATCTTGTTCATGCATACAAACAGTGTTTGGAATGATAAATGGTTCACCATTACCATGGATACCCATACCATCCAAATACTTGATAACACCCAAACAATCACATCCCAACTCCAACTTGTTACCACAAGTACCAAATCCACAGTCACCTAAATCAAAGGCTTGCTTTCTGTGATATGGAGCTCTTGGATCACCATAAGGAACGGTCATTTCACTTAATGAAATACGGTAAAAAACTTGTCTGCCTTTGAACCAAACGTCATAAACGGCAAAACCCTCTCTTGCAGTTGGAGCAACTCTAAACTCCCATCCTTGCCATTCGACCTTGTTACCTTTAACAGTAAAAGAAGGACCATCAGGCTGTGAAACCAACAAAGGTTTAACATCTCTTGGAAATTTTTGTTCATCGTGCAAATCCGAATGGTATTCAACACAAGGAACTTGTTGCCAAGGACCAGTTGGAGTAACAGTTTCATCAAATCCACCCGGTAAGTAATCCATTCTAACAAACTTTCTAGTGAAACATTCAAAAACAGGTGAAAATTTCAAAGGTAAAGAATAATGATTTGATTCGGAATGACCATTTCCAGCCAAGACATACATAAAGTGCTGAACCAATGGTCTCTTTTCGTTTGGATCATCAGTGGCATAGATCCAAGGATCATTACGCACGGAATAACCAGGAGGTAATTTCAATTTAGCAATTTCGGCTTTGACCAAGGGGTGATTGTTACAGTGTTCTTCCCATTCAATCATATCATCAGGCAACATTGGTCCAACCACTCCTTGTGGTTGTTTTTGTTTGGTAATGATATGTCCTGCAGTGACATTAACCAAGGCCTTGTTAAATTCCAAGGTGTTTGTCCAGTAATAAACATGTAAGATTCTAGGAATTTGTGGTAAAGGTAAACCTTCTCTTTCAGCAGCCAAATATTTAATCATATCGTTTTTGGGAGGGTCCATTCTGTCAATACGAACGAAATGACATTTTGCCGATGCTGGATAAGCATCCTTGACCAATTTCGAAGCTAACCTGATTTCATAATCCTTAACACCATCAAATGGATGAAGACGTGACATGTTTGACAACTATACTTGTAAACGATTGATAGTTTAGAAAGAAATAAAAAAAAAAAACTAGCAACGAGAATCACAGAGAAAGAGGAAAGAGTTTGTGGGGGGTTCTTATACTTTGGGTTTTCTTAGCATATCTTTCTTATCGATACGCCCAAAGTGGGTCTATTGTAATTATAACGATATAGATAAAAAATTTCAATCTGTTAGAGTTACCGAATTAGGAAAGATGCGCTAAAAGTACGAGCTTCTAAACAGGCGAGATGCGCTAGAAGCACAAAACACCATGCACAGGAAACCCAAATTAGGACAGACCCGCTAAAATCGATAAGGCACTCACATGGAGGGGGGAAAGGGGGAAGGAGGGAAGGGGGGAAGGGGGGACATTGATGAGAGTAAACATCGGAGATAGTACATGGATGGAAACTACATGAAAAATGGGGTGAGGTGTTTGGCCCTCTATCTCTCTCCCATATTATGACTTATAAAAACACAACTCTTGTAGATATAGATATATTGTGTTTAGGTTTTCAGATAAAGTTTATTTGATAGACAATTAATATATATACTCTGAACACCAACGTCCAATAATCTAAAAATTAGCCTAGTGTGTTGGTACCTAGTGTTGAGTCCTGCATATTTTTTTTTTCTCTGGGGTTTCTTTTCTCTTTAGAATTGATTGATAGCGGACCAATTTTTGAGGGGAACCACCTCAAAGTTAGTTAGCTGTCAAAGTAAGTGATTACGTGACATCTCAATTACTTTTCATTCAAATACATTTATGCGCAGAAAATAGAATAGTAGAACTTTAAAATAAGAGCTATGATTCAACACTATCGAGCGGACCGAGATAGTGTAGGAGATTAGTTCTTCTTAAGACTAGTACCACAAGAGCTTTTACCACAAGAGATTTTTCTACAAGAGCTTTTTCTACATGAGCTTTTACCACAAGAGCTTTTACCACAAGAGCTTTTTCTACATGAGCTTTTACCACAAGAGCTTTTACCACAAGAGCTTTTGCGACAAGAGCTTTTACCACAAGAGCTTTTGCGACAAGAGCTTTTACCACAAGAGCTTTTGCGACAAGAGCTTTTACCACAAGAGCTTTTACCACAAGAGTAGCTTTTACCGTTGTAACAAGCTACAAAGTGTTGCTCCACTATCTCGCTCTGCTCGATAGTGGAGGTCGATAGTGGAGGTCGATAGTGTTGATTGCATAGTCTCTTCTCTCTTTCGCTTTGCTCGTCTAGTCTCTAGTCTCTAGTGTCTGTCGTCATTACAACGATTAGTGTAGTGAGAAATTGTTGGCTTATTGACAAGATGACTTTTTGCCCAAAATCTGGGGAACAAGTTTCCATCAATATTGCGATAAAGGAGGAGTAATAAGTGGTAAATTGTTGGGCAAGTCGTAAGTCAACATATGTCACGTGAATGGTATATCAACTTCCGGTCAACTAAGAAAAAAAAGAGGATCGGAGGAGAAGCTGTCGCTCAACATTTTTGTTACTTGTCCTGATTACATAAGCAAAGCTTATGTAATACACACCACTAAGGCTTACTCAGAAAAACTGGCAAGATATGCTAGTAGGCCAAAAAAAAAAAAAAGTATATGAATCAAGTGATGTAAGTTATAAATTGCAATTCTCCCCTTCTCCCCTTGATCATAAAATTGCAATTCTCTTTAGATCATTAACTTTGATTCTCCCTTGATTTGTGTTTCAAAGTTGTTGAATAGTTATTAATTTGAGTCCTGTGGATCTAACAGGTAAATAAACAAGAACGGAATAGATTTGAAAATTACCTGGAATTCTTGTAAAAGCAAAGTTTATCAGGATATTTGAAGTGAACTTTTTTTTTTTTTTTTTTTTTTTCCGTGAAACTTATTTGTGTGAAATAAATAAGGATAGGAACTAGGATAGGAACTCATGTTAGTTCTTTTTGACCAAGTTTGAGAGGTATATGATAATGATGACCAAATCCCAAAGAAACCCAAAGTTTTATTTAGCCGCACTAGTAGCTACTTCAGCAGCAGTGCTTTCTTACAAAATATACGAGACCTTTTATAAACCAGCCGATAATCATCAAAAAAGCGATGAAGAGGCCGAAGAAGGTGAAAAATGCGATAAACAGCAGCTAAAACCATCAACAATAACGATATCAAAGAAATTCCTAAATAAATCAATAGCGGTAACATTATCCTCGCTGTTTTTATCGTCGACGCTACCTTTACAAGAGTTGCTAGCCACGAATGAAAAATTAATCTATATCATTCCACCTAATTTGAATGAAGACGACGTGGGACTACTGAACCAAGGCAAAGCAAACACCTCACCCTCCTCCACCACCTCGCAGTATTTACCACCAAACTTTAAAATTTTGAAATGCTCAAACATGCAGGGATATCTACAAATATTGAAAAATTTAAAGCCAGACTGTTTACTATTGTGCAGTGATGACTTGGGGATAAATAACTTTAATGGATCTCATGTTTCTCGAGATTTGAGCAATTTCATAAAGAACATAATCAATATTGATCAGGATCAAGATGTGTTGACCCAAATTAAACCAGTTTTTAATTGAAGATTTTTGCATTATCTCACAAGTATCGCATCGCTAAGTCATACCCGTACTATGAGATGATTTTCTAGCTCGCCCATATTTGTTTAGAATTAAGAGCCGAGAGAAAAACGCTACCACGTGTATAATTAAGGTTTGCTTTTTTTTTTTTTTTTTTGCAATTTTTTTGAATCAGTTCAGTTTGTAAGATATAAACTTTGTCTCTACTCATGAGCGTAGTCTCTATGCTTACCACTTCTGGCACCCGAGGATTTCCGAAGAGTTCCTTCCCGTCTGTTCATCTTCTACTAAAAAAAAAAAAAAAAAAACCAACTACTACAACTACTACTACTACTACTGTAACGCATTAATATGTTTGATAAAGTAAGGAATTATTATACAGCGAGTCATAAATAATAAGAATTGAATTGTTAAAAATAAATATGAGACCATTGTCCAAAAAAAAAAAAGACTTCATAAATTATCTAATGATCATGGTTGAATGAATGACTCCGTTTTGCCTTCTTCTACTCTCTAACTTGTTACTTTTGCTTCTTGTATTTTTCTTCCAAATCAGGCAATTCAATAGCCTTGACAGTAATATAACTATTCTGGGGGTTTGCTATACCAGCATATGCATTGTACCAAGCTGCAAAAGCAGTAATCAATCCAAACACCCCACCGGCTTTCTTCACTGAAGTTTTCCCTGTAAACTCAGAAATGGCCAATAGCAAAAATGTAATCATTAAAAAGAAAAACACCAGGAAGAAAGCCACTGTAGATTTCAAAGTCATCAACATCATAAAAAACGTAAAGATAAACCAAGCAACTAAAAAGAGTCCTATAGCGTTGGAAAGCTGTTTTGTGTCTTCAGCGTAAGCAGCACCAATACCAAAGGAAGGAACTAGGAGGGCAGCATAAGCACCCCAAAAACCACCATATGAACTTAATGCAACACCACCAAAGGTATTACCAACTGCAATTTCAAACATCCCTGCAACCAATTGCGCTGCACCACCATAAAAGAATGCCAATCCAACAACGATATTGGGAATCTTGACACCTCTAGCTTCACAATTGATTAAACTTAATACAAATGTAGTTAATGCAAATGCCGACAATCCCAATGGAGCAGGGTTGGCAAAGTCATTCTTTGGAGGTGGAGATAAACCTGGGTTCAAAGTACCACCAAAAGCGTGCATCAAATCCTTCTTCAAATACTTTTCATTTCCAAACTGTATATAGTCACCATTGGTGAAAACTTTCGTTACTGGATGATGAGGGTCCAAAGTCTCATTTAGAGTATTTGATCTTCTTGAATGTTGATCATCGACCAAGAGATGGTGATCTTTAGGTTGTTGATTCTCCAAATCAGCTGCAGCAGACATAGTGACTTGTTAGTAAATTTCTTAGTACTTCTCAGTTGACTGATATACTATCAAGACGAGATATACTTTGTCAAAATTTGACAAAAAAAAAGAGAAAGATTACAGGAAACAATAGGATATTTAAGCCAGATCTTTCTTTTCCTATGTAAATGTAGTAATAGACTTATCGTATATGTATTTGTGAAATCAATAAAAATTAAAAAAGAAAAAAGAAACAAAGAAGAGGGAATTGAGGGTCAAAGTGTAACAAAGAAGACAGCCCCCCCTCTCCCTCTACACATCAAGTGTGGGTTGAGGTGGGTGTTTTAATTTAAAACAAAAAAAAAATTAAACTGGTATAAGAGGGTGAATAGTGGTGGTTCTACATTTTGCAATATTGGAACATTATTTTCTAGTTTTTTTATTTTCTTAGACATTTTGCAGTTGTTCATTTTTCATTTTTTAGTTTTTTTTTTTTTTTTTGTATTGTTGTTGCTTTTTTGAGTTCGGAGTTTTTTCGGTTGAGAACTGACAATATAATTATTACGTCAAAATGTTGGAAAAAAAAAGGCAACAATAAACATCATCACGTTAATCTAACTTTAACTTCCCTCAGGTCATCTTGAAGATGACTCATTAAGCCTCAATGCCTTGAAGTTTACGGAAAAGAGTGGGTTCTTCACCGTCGACGTTGTATCCCAACATATTTTACTAAAAAATCAAGTGGAGAAATAAAAGATAGTTCGATAGATAGATTAGACACAGATTTTATCCTCATGCAGGACTTTTACTTACATGAGGAATTGGGACATAACTTGCCTTGCAGGTTGTGGTGGTGCTTCTTGTGTATTTCAATAGGCGTTCTCTCAATCAACCGATTTATATATATTAAACTTCTTTTTCTTCTTGCAATTGAGGTAGTGTACTTTCTACCGAGCTGCCTTGTATTGCATTTGTGCCATTTGTTTTTGTTTTTTTTTTTAATTAAAATAGCTAACTTTGGTAGATTATTATTTTACGACACAAGTCAAGTGGGGCTAATCTTGGTTTTGGCATATTCGCGACATATTCGCGACATAATACGACACAAACTATATATTAGATACTACGACACAATAAGAAATTATTTACCCGCCCACCACCACCACTTTTTTGATGAGAGATGTTTTTATAAGATTAAAAACAAAATTAGCAAAATCTATACCAACAACACCAAAGCTTCAACTATTCAATATGTATAAACGTTTTTTCTTTTTTATTTTTTTCTTATTACCTCACGGGGGGGGGGGGGGGGGGGGGACTCTTTTAAAGAGGGATAGTAGATTGCAAAGGGCCTGTGGCTAAGTCCTTGGCCTGTTGAAAGAAGTGAAAAGTAAGGAATATCGTATGACAAATTATTTTATTATGGTACTAATGAGATGATGAAAAAAGAAAAATGAAAAAAAAAAAGAGTCGTCTTACAAATTAACATATCAATGCATCAACGGTGTATATCCTCTTTCCCCTTAACTTATAGACAATAATACTTCCTCTACTAATTAACAATAACGTTCAACTCTATTAAGTAGACAAAATTAATCAATTTAAAACACTCTTACTACAATTTTTTTTTTTTTATTATTAGTTTGGATAGAACTTTGTTTTCTTGACAATCCTAAAATCTACTAAAAAATATTCCTTGTAGTATAGGGTTCTTACAAAAGTCGACGTAGTCTTGGTATTGCCTTGGCCCTTAAATTTTTAGTAGAAACGGCGTTTCGGAGATTTAAGAGGCGGATAGAAAAAATTGTTTGCTCCATTTTCTCGGATACTTTCCATCCAATTAGTAAAATACAATATTGCAATGTCTCAGTCACATGGTCTCATGTTGAACTGCCACAACAGCTTCTGCAATTAATCAAATCAAAAATGATGGTGGGTCAATAAAAACTTGCTCAGCTGTATCCAAAAACATCAAACCCGTCAGAATGACAACGATAAAAGAGTGAGTATAAGAATTGAGTATATTAAGCTCTAAAGAAAGAAATTAAAAGTATAATTTATTCAGTAAAGAAAACACCAAAATTAGGAAAAACTGATGTTAAAAATACATAGATAATTATGTGATATACAACAAGACAAGATAGAAATTGAGATGAGTTTAAGATATCTATACTTATAAGCAGTTTTATAAAAAGATATTAGTATTTCATTGTGAAGATTATTTCAAAAAACAAGGTTGTCTGTAGGGCTCAAGAATACTCGAACCTCTTTATGTAAAATTAGGATTCAAATTTAATGAAAAATACTCTTACAACTTTTTATGGAAAATTATATTTGAGATGAGATGTAGATAGATTTTCACAGTGTAAAAAGGAAGTTGACGTGATAGATTTAATACCCCCATGATTACGATGTCGTTTTGGAAGTATTGATTACGATGTCGTTTTGGAAGTATTGATTACGATGTCGTTTTCATGGGAGTATTGATTACGATGTCGTTTTCATGGGAGTATTGACTACGATGTCGTTTTGTTATCAGGTGTAGACAAAAGACAAATGAAAAAAGAGTAGATAACTATTGTCTCATATTTGGTGAAAATGATGAGTTAGAGGAAACACATGATACAAATTTTAGGTATTGGTGAGATAGATTTAGAAAATAAAGAGGATATTATCATAAAGTTTATAAATAAAGAGTTAATAATATATAATAATGTATAGCATTTAAGATTAGGATTATTATAAACAAAGTCCGTTTTTAAGACAACTTTGATCATTTTTAAAACAACTTTGATCATTTTTAAAACAACTTTGATCATTTTTAAATGACTTTGGTCATTATTATTCTAAAAAGAGTTTATTGTTTTTTCTTTGAGTTTTAAAGTAGGTTTTGCTTGAAACTAAAAAAGCAGTTGGTCAATTCATGCAGAAAACAATGTAAATAATATGTCAAGGTAACTAAAATAAACAAGAATAAGAATAAGCTATACTTTACCCCCACAATTTTACTTACTGTGCTTGCCCTTGCTCTTATTGCGCCTGATTCTTGCGCTACGGAGTACAGAAGCAGAGCAACAGCTACAGATTTGTGGGGTAGAAATGACCTGTTGAATTTTCGACACTACACTATCGAGCAAAGCGAGATAGTGTTGTTACGAGCTACTTCTTGTAATAAGCTACTTATTGTAATAAGCTACTAAGTGTTGCTCCACTATCGACACTATCAAGCAAAGCGAGATAGTGTTGTTACGAGCTACTTCTTGTAATAAGCTACTTATTGTAATAAGCTACTAAGTGTCGCTCCACTATCTCGCTCTGTTCGATAGTGGAGCAGCTGCCACCGACAATGTTAGAGGCTATCCCATCCGAGTGCAAAAATATTGTAAACACTATCATCTGAGATCAACATTACTAGTATTATAGCAAAATTCTTTTTCCACTCCACATTTTATCTAAACTACTGACAGGCGATTATCAAAAAATTGATCCTCTATCTTCTAAACTCTTTCGAGAGAAAAGACTACCAGAGTTCCTCAATATGTTTGCCAAAAAATAAATAAAATCAAAATCTCAATTCGTAAAAGAAAATATTTCGCAAAACGTCTCCTACCACATCTAACGATATCTCTAACAAGTATCTCTTCAAAGTCTAGGGTATTCCAAACGATGCTGATTTATGATATGAGTTGCAGTCAATTGCTACATTCCGACCATACACAAATTTCAACAATCTCGCTAATCCAAGAATAATGCCAGTTTTTGACATCACACACATACGCATTTGTGAGACTTCCAATATGAAATGTTGCTTATCCCAGGTCCATTGACAGGAGTTTAGAGAAAATCGGTTTACACAAGTACGTGTTATCTACAATTCAAGTAGGACTAATCAATTAGAAACAAACTTGAAGTTTGTGTTTCTTCATGTGTGATAGTTGCACACGCCTAAATAAGAGCTATGGAAACTTTTATGGTTGCTGGTGCTGCTTACTGGTGCTGCTTATTGGTCCTGTTGCTTACAGGGGCGTCGCTCGAGTTGGTAGCAGCGTCATGATCCCAGCGCTACCAACCGACAATTCCTATCCAAATATGCCATTTCCCGATATGGTCAAATTGTAAACATACAAAGATCTACAAAAAAAAAAAAAAAGAGGAATAAAACCAACGGGAATCGCTTTCGAAATCTGTTATGGAAATTTCAAAAAATTCATATCAATATTGTATTAAAAAAAAGAGGCAGAGAACAGCAATACAAACAAACTTTGAACCTCCACAAATACATTCGCTTGATCAACACACGGGTTTGATACAAAATTTGCTTTTCCCACTTTTTTTTTTTTTGGATTTCCTTCTACCCCCCCTCCCCGTCGGACTATTATCAAATAAGGGCTCCCCTTCATCTTCCCAGTTATTTTGTTGTTGTTGTTTTTTTTTTGCTTTTTTTTTTAGTAGGAAACTTTGATTTGCTTTTATCACATTTTCAAGATATGACGAGTTTTTTCAATAGGTCCTCGCCAAGACACAACCATACCAATGAAATAGGTGATATTTCTCAATCAATGGAAAACATTTCCATCTCGAGTAATATGATGGACGTAGATACAAGTTACAGATCACCAAATAACAACAATAATAATAATAATAATAAATCATTTGCAAATACTACAACTAATCATCACCAACCCACGTTTAACAAGGAGAATATCACACCATTAAGTTCACCTACCAAATCCATTTTACATACATCACCAATAACTCCCTTTAACAACAATACCAACCAAAAAACAAAACTTTATCAAACTCCACTGACACCAACTCCATTAAACGACCGAAATCCTTCACATGGAAATAAGCGTAGTTTGCAAGATAATATCAATCTGCTACAACCTCCGCCTAGTCAAAGGTATAAATTATCAGAGGAAGAATTTAGGAAACGGGCCAATAATCCAAAAACTAAAAGACTCACTTCGGTAGCACAGTTATATTTTCTTGACTACTACTGCGACATGTTTGATTATGTTATAAGTAGAAGAGAACGAACTCAGTTTGTTGAGAAAAAGTTGATGACTGATCCCAAATTCTGCAATGACCCCAAAAGACAACAATTGGAATGGAAAAACTATATAGGTAGAGAGCGAGCATTGCTACGTAAAAGAAGATTAAAGCCAAAACATCGAGATTTTGAAATGATTACCCAAGTAGGTCAAGGAGGGTATGGGCAGGTATTCTTAGCACGTAAAAAGGATACTAGAGAAATCTGTGCTTTAAAAATTTTAAATAAAAAATTGCTTGTCAAATTGGATGAAACAAGACATGTGTTAACAGAAAGAGACATCTTAACAAATACCAGAAGCGAATGGTTAGTTAAATTACTTTATGCTTTTCAAGATCCCGAAAAAGTGTTTTTAGCAATGGAATTTGTGCCAGGAGGGGATTTCAGAACACTATTGAATAATACTGGTTATTTAATTCCTCCACACGCGCGCTTTTATATAAGCGAAATGTTTGCGGCTGTTAATTCACTTCATGAATTGGGATTTACTCACCGTGATTTGAAACCAGAAAACTTTTTAATTGACTCAAAGGGGCATATTAAATTGACCGATTTCGGATTGGCTGCAGGCACGGTTTCAAATGATCGAATTGAATCGATGAGATTAAAACTAAAGAACTTGGAGGTTGGTCAGCAGCAGTATCAAATCCCATCGCGATTAATGATGGAAAGACAAAAGATTTTCAAGCAAAGTCAAGGACACCACAATCTAGCTAACTCAATTGTAGGCTCTCCAGATTATATGGCTTTGGAAGTATTAGAAGGGAAAAGTTATGATTATACAATTGATTATTGGTCTTTGGGGTGTATGTTATTTGAAGCACTTTGTGGGTACCCGCCATTTTCCGGTTCCAAGCAAGATGAGACATATTATAATTTAAAGCACTGGAAAACTTCATTACGTAGACCCCAGACCAAGGACGGTAGATATGTTTTCAGTGACAGAACTTGGGCATTGATAACCAAGCTAATTGCATCTCCCTCAACAAGGTTAAGGACATTTAAACAAGTTCAACAAATGTCGTATTTTTCCGGTGTCACTGAATGGGAAAATTTAAGACAACGTACACCACCATTCACACCACAATTGGATAACGAAGAAGATGCTGGGTATTTTGATGATTTTGAAGATGAGGAGATGATGGCTAAATACAAAGACGTTTTTGCTAGACAAGAACAAAATGAACAATTATTGGAAAAAAGTAATAGTACAGCAAAAAGGAGATTTTTGGAAAATAATTTCATTGGGTTTACTTTTAAACATAAATCAAATCCTAACAACAAGTTCAACTCTGGTGAAATCAATTTGTTGAATAATGGGTTATCATTAGGGAATGGTAACGTGTTAGGATCAGCAAAGTTGGATCCATTAGCAACATTGTATTGAATCAACGAAACCAAACTAAACCAGAACCAAAACCAAAACCAAAAAAAAATAAAAATAAAAATAAAAATGAAAAAAAAATCCATCAACGTTAATTGTTTTTCACTTCTCTCCAGATATAATCATTTCCTAGTTTTTTTTCAATAGCTTTTCTTTGCAATTGATGTAAACTCTCTATACTCCTTACGCTTTTCGCCAACAAATCAAACAACTGATATTCAGTAAACTCTCCGGCACTTTCCAATAATAGTAAATTGCCAACCTTACCATTTTCTATACTGAAACATACAATATGATGCGAGTCACTAGTTGAAATTACATCCGCCGTGGGATTTTCAATCAAGTTTCCCAGATTGATACACAAGGAGACGGATGCAAAGCTCAGATATATGGATAAATCTGCATCTATTATTGCGAAATAACAACAATTTATAGCTGCGTTCAATTCATTATTGGTGAATTCTTGTCTTGTTCCCAGTACCAAAAATTGTACCACTATTTGTATAAGTTGTCTTGGATACCTATAACGTATAAGCACATTCTGCAATAACGATCTTAGTTTGTCTTCCAATAGTTTCTCTTTTGTTGTTGATAATCCTTTTGCTGGACGTACAATTATTTCAAGACTTGCTTGTTGTGGTAATTCCTGTCGTTGTTTCAGCTCTATAGGCCCTGATACTGAAACAAGAACTTTGGTATCGTCTAGAGTTAGCTCGGCGGACCCGTCTGCATTGTCTAGTATAGACGTATGAACTTGGAACATCGTTGGTAATGCCAAAGAAGAGAATCACTTTTCCGATGAGAGGAGATGAGAGGAGATGAGATGAGATGAGATGAGGTGGGGGGGATTGGCGTTTAATTTTTTTTCTTTCTTTTTCATTTTTTAATGCGAGCTTGATATCAACAAGGCTTTTATTGAAAATGGTGGAATACGAAAAGGAATTGCTAGCTGATTTGGAGAGTAGTGATGAAGAGGTTGAAGAAGCAGTAGGAGAAGCAGTAGAAGAAGATATAGGCGAAAAAGATGTGTATGAATCTACACGTTCGTTCCAAGAGAAGCTCACTAAACTCATTACTACTAGATACAATCCTTTCCAAACAATATTGCTAAATCCTGATATAGAGTCGATTCGTGACTTTACCACTGCGTCCAAGGTATACCCGCTCATTCCCGAGCTAAAGGAAAAACTTGCACAATATCTAAATGACCAAGAGAGTGATTTTCTTGAGCTTCTTGCAGAGATAAACCATGCCAAAAGTGATTTACAATCTGATGAGTATAGATTTATTTTAACTATAAATGAGTTATCAACATTGATAAATAACGAGATTCTTGCATTCACAATGCATTTGAAACTGCAATACAAACTTGTTTTTCCAGAATTGGAACATATTGTTGCTGCTAATACCGATTATGTGAGGACATTCATGATAATTCAACAAGATTTGGCGAATATTCAACAATATGAACAAGAGTTGAAAAAGTTAATGGCCAATGACAAAGTCTTGGTTATTATTATGTCCGCATTGCAGCAGAGCAAAGATCAGTTTCAGCTATCACCACAGGATATGGACAAGTTAAATTCGTGTGCCAAACTAATACTTCAATTAGACGATATACTACATCAACTTTCCAACTTCATATCACATAAACTAGCCAGATTTGCACCTAATGTGTCAGCAATAATTGGACCGATTGTCACGTCACAGTTGTTGATAGCATCGGGTTCATTGAAACAACTAGCATTGACTCCAGCTTGCAATATAGCCTCTCTCGGGGTTCGAGATCTATCTTCAAGTACTAAAGTTGCGTCGAAAAATATTCGGCAAACGGGGTATTTATATCATAGTGACATTGTCAAGTGTTTGCCTCCAGAAATCCAACGATCGGCAATGAGAATAATCAGTGGAAAGATCATCTTGGCTGCAAGGATTGACCTCTCTAAATCGGATGAAGAGGGAAATTTGGGATTGAAGTTGAAAAGGGAGATTGAAGACAAAATTGATAAATTGTTGGCACCACCAGAACAAACACCCGATAAAGCATTGCCTGCGCCTATTGAGATAAAATCAAAAAAAAGAGGTGGAAGAAGGCTACGTAAGATGAAGGAAAGATTCCAAATGTCTGAGTTACGTAAAGCCCAGAATATAATGGAGTTTGGCAAGCAAGAACAAACTATTATGGACGAGTATGGAGAAGAGATTGGATTGGGGGTAAGTAGAACTGGGGGGTTGGGTAGATTAGGTCAAATCCAAATCAATAAAAACACAAGTGCCAGAATGTCCAAGGCTATGGTGGAACGATTACAAAAGCAAAAACAACAAGATTTGAAAAAAAGTATCCTTAATGATGATGAATTCGACCATATCATTTTAGGAGGTGGAAATAAGGATGGAAATAAAGATGCAAAAACAGAAGTAACCGACTCCAGTAAATCCTTACCCCCTGCCCCAACGAGCAAGTGGCTTACCGGATCGATGAAACGGCAACTAGACAGCAGTAGCATGGACTCAAACAACGTAGAGGCAAAGAGAATCAACCTTGGTGATAAGGGGAATCACCGATGAGCGATGAGTAAAACCTTCGTGGTAGCGGCGGCTAATAAAAAAAAAAAAAGAAAAATAGCGAGAAAAATTTTTCAGCCTTTTGATAAAGAACAACGAGGAACGGAGTGAAAGTGATTGTCCGAGTTTTATGCCCCCTTCCTGTTTGCTTTTCTTGACCAGATCAATTTGTAGAGGAAGCACGCAGCAGATATCAAGTAAGCTAAATTTGTGGTTTAAACAAGGACCAAGTTCAAGTCGAGGTCAAGGTCAGGATCAATTTAGGCGCAATATGAGTAAGGTTACCAAGACATTAGAGAAAGATTTGGACTCAAGTAGTCAAGAACCAGGTAGTCAAGCTGGTTTAGAAAAAGATTTAGAACCAAGTAGTCAAGCTGGTTCAGGTCAAGCTGGAACTGATGATAAACTTGAGAGGCCCAAGACTGCTAAGGAGTTGGAAAAAGAGAGAAAAAAAGCTGAGAAATTGGCCAAGTTCAATGCCAAAAAGGCTAAACAGACCGAATCTAAATCGGATGAACCAAAGAAACCCAAAAAGGAAAAGAAACAATCAACTCCGGTACCCGAGTATATCGACGAGACCAAGCCTGGGGAGAAAAAGATCTTAGCATCATTAGAAGATGCCGCTTTCAAGGCATATAATCCTACAAATGTGGAAAGTTCTTGGTATGCATGGTGGGACAAACAAGGCTATTTCCAACCTGAACTTACAGAACTGGGGGAAATCAAGCCGCAAGGTGCCTTTTCGATTCCGTGTCCACCACCAAATGTTACTGGTGCATTACATATCGGACACGCATTAACCGTTTCTATTCAAGATACTTTAATCAGATGGAATAGAATGCAAGGCAAAACAACGTTGTTTATTCCTGGATTCGACCATGCTGGTATTGCCACACAATCTGTGGTTGAGAAACAAATATGGGCCAAAGAGAAAAAAACAAGGTATGATTTTGGCCGTGAAAAGTTTGTTGAAAGAGTATGGGAATGGAAAGAAGAATATCACAAGAGGATAAAGAACCAGTTTAAGAAATTGGGTGCTTCTTACGATTGGAGCAGAGAAAAGTTCACTTTGAACCCGGACTTATCCGAGGCAGTTACTGAAGCATTTGTGAGATTGCATGAAGATGGTACAATTTACAGAGCATCAAGATTGGTTAATTGGTCAGTGAAACTAAACACAGCTATTTCCAACTTGGAAGTAGATAATAAGAACATTTCAGGAAAAACTCTTTTGTCTGTTCCCGGTTACGACAATAAGATTGAATTTGGTACCTTGACTTCCTTTTCGTACCCAGTCGAAGATTCAGATGAAAAAGTGACTGTTGCTACTACTAGACCCGAAACTATCTTTGGTGATACTGGTGTTGTTGTACACCCCGATGACTCAAGGTATAAACACTTGCATGGCAAGTACGTGCTTCATCCGTTTTTAAATAGAAGATTACCAATTGTGACTGATGCTGAAGCTGTTGATATGGAATTTGGAACAGGTGCAGTGAAAATTACGCCAGCCCATGATCAAAACGATTATAATACAGGAAAGAGAAACAATTTGGAGTTTATAAACATATACACCGATGATGGTTACTTGAATGAGAATTGTGGACCTGAATGGAAAGGCATGAAAAGATTTGACGCTAGAGCTAAGGTAATTGAACAATTAAAGGCAAAGAATCTCTTTGTTGAGCAAAAGGATAACGAAATGACAATTCCACTTTGTTCGAGATCAGGTGATGTTATTGAACCATTATTGAAGCCTCAATGGTATGTTAGTCAACAAGAAATGGCAAAAGATGCTATAAAGGCTGTGAGAAATGGTGATATTGTTATTAATCCAAAGACTTCCGAATCTGAATATTTCCAATGGTTGGAAAATATTCAGGATTGGTGTATTTCTCGTCAATTATGGTGGGGTCATAGATGTCCTGTTTACTTTGTAAATATTGAAGGTGAAGAACATGACAAATTAGACAATGAGTACTGGATCTCTGGCAGATCTGAAGAGGAAGCTTTACAAAAGGCCAACAAGAAATTTGCTGATAAGAAATTCACATTAGAACAAGACGAGGATGTTTTGGATACTTGGTTCTCATCTGGTTTATGGCCAATATCTATTTTGGGATGGCCGCACAAGACAAGAGACTTGGAATTGTTTAGCCCAATGTCAATGTTAGAAACCGGTTGGGATATATTGTTTTTCTGGGTTTCAAGAATGATTTTATTATCTTTGAAATTGACCGGTAAGGTTCCTTTCAAAGAAGTGTTTTGCCATTCTTTAGTTAGAGACGCACAAGGTCGTAAAATGTCTAAATCTCTAGGCAATGTTATTGACCCATTAGATGTCATTACTGGTATTCCATTACAAGGATTACATGATAAATTATCAACCGGTAATTTGGATCCAAGAGAATTGAAAAAAGCAATGGATGGACAAAAATTATCCTACCCCAATGGTATACCCGAATGTGGTACAGATGCTTTAAGATTTGCATTGTGTGCTTATTCTACCGGTGGTAGAGATATCAATTTAGATATTTTGAGAGTTGAAGGATATCGTAAATTTTGTAATAAGATTTACCAAGCAACAAAGTTTGTTTTGGGTAGATTAGGTGAGAATTATGTACCACCAACATCTGCCTCATTAACAGGAAATGAGTCACTTGTTGAGAAATGGATTTTGGCTAAATTGTCAAATGCTGCGAAAAATACCAATGAATCTTTGGAGGCACGTAATTTTGGTGATGCAACTAATCATATTTATAACTTTTGGTACGATTTATGTGATGTTTACATTGAGAACTCAAAGTCCTTGATACAGGATGGTACATCAGAGCAAAAGAAATCAGCACAGGATACTTTGTACACCTGTATTGATGGTGCATTGAGGTTGATTCATCCATTTATGCCTTTTGTTACTGAGGAAATGTGGCAGAGGTTACCTAGACGTGAAGGTGACAAGACTGAAACTATATCCAAAGCCAAGTACCCAACATATACTAAGGAATTTGATAGCAGTGATGCATTAACAAGCTATGATCTTGTGCTCAACATCACCAAAGGAGCAAGGTCCTTACTCTCTCAATATAACATTTTGAAAAACGGCCAAGTTTTTGTTGAGTCAAGTAAGGACGATATATATAAGATTGCATCAGAACAACAAGATTCAATCGTTTCCTTGATCAAGTCAGTTGAAAAAATTGCAGTTGTTAAATCAGTAGAAGAAGTGCCATCTGGATGTGCTCTACAAGCCATTGGCCCAGATTGCAATGTACACGTGTTAGTTAAGGGCCAAATCGATTTAGATGCCGAAATTGCAAAAGTTAATAAAAAATTGAATACTGCCAAGGAGAATAAAAAGAAGAATGATGAAGCTATTGGTAAGTTTACCGAAAAGACCAATCCTGCAGCTGTAGAAAGCGCCAAACAAAGATTAGAAAAAGTTATTGCCGAAATTGAAGGATACGAACAAACCATTGCAATTTTGGAAAAGTTGAAACTTTAAGAGTGGACAATGAAGAAAAATAGTTTGTAGGTTCAAAATTTTAACACAATGTCAGTATTTGATTTAGTCGTAAGAGTGGGTAAATTTAGCATACCACAACTGTAGTAGCGTTTGACACTATCGAGCAAACCGAGATAGTATTGTAACAAGCTACTGAGTATTGTAACAAGCTACTGAGTATTGTAACAAACTACTGAGCATTGTAACAAGCTACTGAGCATTGTAACAAGCTACCGAGTATTGCTCCTATCGACACTATCTCGCTTTGCTCGATAGTGTCGTAAAAAGCTACAAAGTGTTGCTCCACTATCTCACTCTGCTCGACAGTTTTCTCCACTTATTTAATTATAGTACAAATTTAAATATATGTTACATGTCTCGCCTTAACAAAACGAATCAGCTAACTTAAAGAGAACAAAAATAAACCGGTCCAATTGGTAATTTGACATTTTCATTTCATGATTTGGAACATGCATAATATAACCGATCATCACATAACAATGTATATAGTTAATTAGAACTAAGGTGAAATTTCACTACGCGATCAGGTATAAATATCAACAATGTCCCTCCCTCTCTCTCTCTTTTTTTTTTTTTATCTGTTCTTTTGTTGTAGTGTTGTAATTGATTTCGCTATTAACAAAATTGAAAAATTAAAAAACAATGGACGGATTGTTACAGAAAGGTAAAGAATTTGCAAGTTCAGGCAAAATCACTGGGGAAGATGTTCAAGATGCTTATAAGCAGTTTTCAAAAGGAGGTGACTTTCAAACAAATGCAAAAGCAGCTTATTCTGAGTACCAGGAGAATCACAAGAATGACAAGAAAGAGTCTGGATCTGTATCAACCAACTCTGAATCTGCCAAATCTACTTCTGAATCGAAATGATTGACAAGCAGAACCTTGTAATTAGTTTATAATTAAACGATGAATACATGATAATATTTACAAATCTCTCCTTCCTTCTCCTTTTGGTAAAAAAAAAAAAGCGGATGTTTAATAAGTATATTCTTGAAGGACCTGTTTCAAAATGTCTGGGTACCACCGTGATGCAACGTCTTGGTGTGACTTTATTCTATTCCTAAACACGGCGTGACCAACTGGCTCTTTATTTATATTAGGCTTGAACTGAAATCCCACATCGACAGCCCAATCCTTAATCTTTTTATCTCTTATTTCCTTCAACTTGATAATCTCTTGAGGAATGTTTTCAACAGCAGTTTTTGTGCAATCTAAATCAATTGTTTGGAAAAATGGAACTGATATTCTTGTACCACTACCAGGTTCTGGGATCAAGACTCGATGGATTGTAGCTTTACACACGCCCTGTGTGATTGCTTCCATTGTTTGGCCATTGTTGACTACTAAATGATTAGGAATGTTTGGAACTGTTATCCATTTACCTTGAAAGTTTTGCACCTGAAGCGAGTTTTGATGCTCGGTTGCTTGAAAAATATATGTGATTAAATCTGAATCACGATGGGGTCCAACTCCTTGGTTTGTTGATGGTGAATCATCCAATGCGACTGACTCAGCATTTGTCAAGGCCAGACTATCAGGATAAGCAATCAATTTCATCTTACACTGTTGATTTGGTTTGAAATAACCATCCAATACCGTCTTTTCCAATCCAATTGATTCAAGAACCAAAGTTCTAAACACTCTACTTAGATTTGTCATTTTGGCAATATAATCCTCGACATTTTTGCGGAAATTTGGTATTTTTTCTTCATCTGGCCAAAGGTTTGGTCCTTCGATATTCTTATATATCGGCTCGCCTTCTTTTGGTGGTGGTAACTCTGTACCCAAGTCAATTTGTTCGCGCCAATCAGTATGCGAAGCAGTAATTTCATTCGCCAATCTGGTATAACCCAAAAAATGAGGAGATTTGATCATTTCAATTTCCAACTTCACCTCATCAGGTAAGGCAAAAAACCGTTCAGATTGATACTTGATATTAGCAAAATCTTCTTTACTTGGTCCAACAGATTCATAATTTTTCAAAAGTAGAAAACCTACATTTATCATAGCATCTCTTAACTGCTGTAAAAACAACGGTTTTGTCGTCAGATTAAAGGCATCTTCAAGGTCAAGAATAGGTATATTTTGAAACGACATGATATGAACTGTAAAAAAAAAAAGGGGGCAAGAGGAAAGAAAAAGGGGGCAAGAGGAAAGAAAAGAGACAAGAGGAAAGAAAAGAGACAAGAGGGTTTTGAGAAATACTTTATCCACAATTTAAAATAGTGGTGATATCGCTTCAGCCACAATTTATATGCTGTTGTATGGAAAAATAAAAAGAAAAGTTTGGTGATGTGGGTTTAATAATTAAATATTTTTCCCTTTATAGTGGATGCGGGTTTATAATTAATATTTTTCTCTTTATCGTGATGTGGTATCAAGTGGTGCACCAACAATCTCGCTCTGCTCGATAGTGTATATAATTAATATTTTTCTCTTTATCAATTGTTTTCACCAATGATCTTTCAAGATAAACGCGCGCGGGTACGGTTTATTTTGGGAAAGATTCGGGTGTGTGGGGTGTAGGACAGAGCGCGAGAAATAGGAAGGAAGAGTGATGTCGAAAAAAGAGTCGGTGGTGCAAAGAGCAAAAGGTCAGGGTGATTGATATATATAAATGGAGTTTTTCTCCTAGTCTAAAAGAGGATGTTGTTGGGTTTGTTGTTGTATCTTTCTAATTAGACTCTAGGTTTGTTGTTGTATCTTTATAATTAGGCTCTAGGTTTGTTATATCTTTACAATTAGACTCTAGGTTTTGCTGTGTTTAAGTTGAGAATGGTTAAAACTATCTTTGTTTCAGGAGCTACCGGGTTTATAGCTCAGCATATAGTCCAACAACTACTTCAATTGGGCTATATTGTTATTGGATCGGTTAGATCGAAAGGTAAAGGAGAAGATTTGCAAAAATTGATTAATTCACCAAACTTTAGCTATGTTGTAATTCCAAATTTAGTAGTAGCTGGTGCGTTTGACGAGGCCTTGAAGGCTCATCCTGAAATCAAAGTGTTTATTCACACAGCGTCGCCAGTCGACTTTGAAGCAACTGATTTCAAAAATGAGGTTTTGGATCCAGCAATTGAAGGTACTAAAAACGTCTTATCGGCAATCAAGACATTTGGTACAAATATTGAAACTTTGGTTTATACATCCTCAGTTATAGCAATTATCGACATTTTGGTAAAGCTTCCACGTCCTATCCAGTATAATGAAGACTCATGGAACCCAATCACCTATGAAGAAAGTTTCAAAGATCCTTACACAGCCTATGGTGGTTCTAAAACATTTGCTGAGCGTGCCGTTTGGGACTTTGTTAAAAATGAAAAGCCGAAATTTACAGTTACCACAATTCATCCAACATATGTCTTGGGCCCTCAAGCTTACGAGGTCAAAAACAAGACACAATTGAACTTTTCGGCTGATATTTCTGGTAAATTATTGAATTTGAAGCCACTGGATGAAATTCCCGAATTTTTCGGTGATTACATCGATGTTAGAGATACGGCAAAAGCACACATTTTTGCATTTGAACACCCTGAAAAGCTGAATGGTGAAAGATTCTTGTTGCGGGACTGTTATTTTACTAATGATTCATTAGTTGAGCTTATTCGTAAGAATTTCCCTCAGTTGCAATTACCAAAAGGTGATTTGGAGAAAAGTGCTCAATTGATTGAGGAAAAAGCTTTGAGACTTGATCCATCGAAAACGAATAGTATTTTGCAATTCAAATATATTCCTTTAGAGCAATCGATAATCGATTCAGTACAACAAATACTAGAATGCTGAATGAGCAAAAAATGAAGATTTTTCATCATAGTTGCTAAAACTCTATATGCTGAGAGAGAGAGAGAGAGATAACGCCATAGATTTTGGAAAAAAAAAAGAGGTGTTTAATACAATAGTAATTTTATGCAATAGTGGAGCTTTCTAAACTTGATTTTAATAGTCCAAGTTAGCTTCTAATCATTCAAAATCTGTGCCACAGTATCATCAACACTTTGCTCTAAATCAATAAACTTGAATCCCAAAATCTTTTTCGTTTTTTCGTTGTTAATGATGCTTTCGGTTGAATCCCAATTTATCTTTTTTGATTCATCCAATGTTGGCAATTCCAACTGTTTAAAGTCTTTTTTAAGAATGTTTAGTATTTTATCTGTAGTAAATGGACCTTCTGATAATATCAATCTTTGATCAACAGCTTCTTCTTTTTCAAAAGCAACAATTTCCGCTTTTGCAACATCTCTCACATCAATGAAATAACCAGCAAATTGTTGTGGTTGATCTTTGTCCTTACCTGCTTTCAAAATGGAATTGATGATTTCATTTGATGTATTCAATTTGGACTTATCCTTGACTTCAAAAGCCTGAGGTCCAAACACATACACGGGATTAATTATCGAGACTTGCCATTGAGGCTTGTTTTGCTCAATGAAATCCCAAACAGTTTTCTCAGCAAATTTTTTGGAGCCGATATACCCAGCCATTGGATCCTTCAAAGCTTGTTCATGAGTAATTGGATTCCATGAAGTTTCATCAACTGTTTTACCAGGGGTGACAAGCTCGCCGAATCCTGAAACAGTAGCATAAGATGAAGTAACAACAACTTTTTTGACTGATGATCCGTATTCCTTGATAGCATTAAGAGCATTTGTCGTTCCTTCCACAGCTGGATCGATTAAATCCTTCTTGATGTCTTTGACGTCAAAATGAAAAGGAGAAGCAGTGTGTAAGAAAACAGTGACTTGGGGGTGCTTTTTTAATGCCTCGTCAAAAGCACCTTTAGCCGCAATATCTTCAACAACCTCAAAAGTAAAATTATCAGCGCTCAAACCAGCATTCTTGATGGATGAAGTCAATTCTTCACCTTTTTTTGCAGACCGAACTGAACCAACAACTTTGTGATTATTCTCAAGTAGTAATTTCACTATATGCTGAGCAATAAAACCGGTGGCTCCGGAAACAAAAACCGTGGTAGACATATTATTATTAAAAAAAAAAAAACTCGTTTGAAGAAACAAATAGTAAGATTTCCTTTAAGCAAATATCAATTGCCTTGAGCAAAATAGATTGTATTTATACATTTTGAGCTCAGTAGATCTTATATTGGAAACTCTGTTAAAAGTCAAAGCCTCCCTCCTTTTATAGCAAACATAACATACTTTTATTGCCATAACATCCGTTATAAACGGTGAAATCTTTGTTCTTTTTTTTTTTTTCTTTTTTATATACCGAGTCTAATTCGGTGTTACTGTGTTTGGCAAGTCTTGAGGTTTCTTTTTTTCCGAATTATGTTATAATTCTTAACTGTAAAAACGTCAAGTAAAGTAAGTCCCCCCCCCCAAAAAATAAAAAAATTAGGGAGTGGGGGCGGGGGCGGGGCACGACTTTACTTATTAAATGTGGCGGATTGAAACAAAACTGTAGCCGTGTATAGTTCATTTTTCTTTCTTGTTTATAACCTTTAATAATTGACAGTGAACTCAGTGATTTTTCCACATCGACACTATTGAGCAGAGCGAGTTAGTGGAGCAACACTTTGTAGCTGCCACCGACACTATTGAGCAACACTTTGTAGCTGCCACCGACACTATCGAGCAACATTTTGTAAAGTGGTAAAAGTAATGCTTAGTTATAAGGTGCACGATTATCTTTGAAAAATAAAACCGACCGAAATTTAGTTAAAATAAATGCATCAAGATAGTACAGTTTGACTTCTTATCGTGAGAGTACAAAGCTGAATACGAAAGTGGTAGGGTAATCACTGTGTAAATGCAAAGCAGCACTTGAATTTTTAACCTGAAAACTAATTGTCTATTTTTATCTACGCTTCACTCTAAGTTGTTCTTTTTTCGCGTGGTAAAAAGTTTTGACCATTCCCGAGTTTAGGAATTGATTTCCATGCATCCAATGTATACTTTATAACTCCCGGTAGCGTGTGGATTTGCTCTGATTCGATGAACAGCACATTTTTGTCGTTGTTCACGTGACCTTAGGACCAAATACACAAAACTTTAAAAATAAATTTTAATTTTTCTTTTTTTTTTTCTTTTTCTCCATACCGAAATTTTTCACTTTTGATTTGACTCATGTAGTTTATTTAAACCTTCTTTTCCCGTTCCTTTTTTTTTTCTCTCACTCTCTCTCTTCCATTCTCTTTCATTCTCTTTCTTTTTATGATTTTTATGCTTTTTACAAGGTTGATCCATATATGCCTACCATCTTTCACCAATACAATGCTTTACTTAAGCGCTATCCTTTTCGGACAAATATGATATCTACTGGGTTATTTTTTGCATTTGGAGACCTTATTGCTCAAACGCTATTTCCACATAAGATAATTGAAGTTGAAACGGCCGAAAATGGAGACAAGATAGAGAAGGAAGCTTATACTGGATACGTGCCTTCGCGGACTTTCCGTGCCTTAATATATGGATCTATTTTCTTTGCACCCATTAGTGTTATGTGGCATGGAAAAACACTACCAAAAATTAAAAACCCATTTATTCATTTAAAACAAAGGACGAACATGGAGCAGTTTTCGAAACTGAAAAAAAGACTACATTTTTATGATACCGTGTTTAGGTTGGGTATAGATCAACTATTGTTTCCTGCTTTCATTTGGATACCTTTATATAACACAGTGATGGTTTTGCTAGCGCAGCATGATGACCCTTTTGCTGTTGTTAAGAATAAATTGGAAAATAACTGGTGGAATGTTCTTAAAGCAAATTGGACAGTATGGCCCGGTTTCCAGTTGTTTAATTTGTACTTTATACCTGTTCATTTACGCATTGTTTGTGCAAATATTTGGGCCACAGGATGGAACGCTTTTCTCAGCTTTGTTCATAACACTAAGGGGCATGGAAAAGGAAGCGGAAGAAGGTTTGAGGAAATGGTGGATATCGAAGATGAAGATCAAGAGATTACTATGATCTATGATTGATTGAAACAAAGAACGAAAACCCACTATTTGATATCTTCTGATAGCAGAACAGTTTCTTAGAATCTGAGCTGTCTTTAATAAACAATAAACGATTGAACGTTACCCCAATCAAGGACTTTACTACTTAAATAGTCAATGAACAAGTTTTAATTCTACGCAAGTACAAGTAACCATAGATAATATTTCAGGTAGCGCACTATCTTCAAGTAAACTTTTTATCGGTGCAATTTGATGACCCGTACTAATTCTTTCAGCAATCAACCACCCAACTAACTTTCACACTACTACTACTCAAAGATGAGGAGGTTTTTCCATAAGTACAACCAGCTACTACTCAAGAAGCCCTTGGTCACAAATATGGTCAGTACCGGTTTTTTACTTGGTGCCGGAGATTTTCTCGCACAAAACTTATTTCCTACTTATTCAGAGCAACCATACGATTATATGCGAACTCTACGAGCTGTCTTTTATGGTGGTATTATATTTGCTCCATTGGGTGACAAATGGTATAAAATATTGAATACTAAAATAGTATGGGCAGGCAAGAATGAGAGAACAATGTCAACGGTTTTAAGAGTATTAGTTGATCAGTTATTTTTTGCACCATTCATTGGCATCCCACTTTACTATGTATCAATGACAATATTGGAGAATAAACAGCCCTACGTTGAGAATATTTTAGAAAAGTTTCATACAAGTTACTGGCCTACTTTGAGAGGCAACTGGCTTGTTTGGCCAATTTTCCAATGGTTTAATTTCTACTTGTTACCAGTGCAGTATAGGTTGTTGGCTGTTAATTTGATAAGCATTGGATGGAACACATATTTGAGTTACATGTTGCATAGTAAATAGAAAAATGGCTACATTGCTGTGGGTGGATTCCATTAGCTAGCTCCAATGGAGTTGTAATAGCATTACTTTTATAGAAGAAAAGTCGTTTTCATTATCAGGTCTACTTTGACTTTATCGAGAACAAGACAAAGTTTTACTCATTGATGCATTTGAGAGTATCTCGCTCTGCTCGATAGTGTCGATAGTGTTGGTGGCAGCTGGTCAGTGTGGCTAGTCAGTGCTCCACTCTCTCGCTCTCTCGGTAGTGTCAGTGTCAATCAGTGCTGCTCCACTATCTCACTCTGCTCGGCAGTGTCAGTCAGAGCTGCTCCACTATCTCGCTTCGCTCGATAGTCAGTGAGGTTAGTCAGTGCTGCTCCACTCTCTCGCTCTGCTCGAATATCAGTGTCAGTCAGTGCTGCTCGATAGTGAACCTATTCCTCTTGTAAATGAAGTTTTCGTTTTTTTCGCACTCCAACGAAGGAATTTCAACAATAACACGAAATAACAATCAACAACGAAAAAACCATAGTGAAAGATAACCATTCTTTAGTATACGTTCCCCCCCCCCCCCACACACACTCTGCGACGCCACCAAAATAGAATCTAATCAATATTATTGCAATTTAAACAGTCTTTTTTGTTGCTTTGTGTGCTAGTATAGGATTTGCTTTGAAGCTTGAGCTTGCCGCGCCTGACCTTTCTTCTCCACCTCCTTTTTAAAAGAAACTAAATTATTCAGCTAAAGATGATGAAAGGGTTTAAGAACAGGTTGACTCGAAATAAGAGCCAGTCTTCTAATAAAAAGTCGGAGAAAAAGGAAAAAGATAGGGATAGAAGCGATAAACGTTCCACGTCTCCCGGATTTACGTCATCTTCATCATCGGCATCGTCACCTTCGTCTTCAGTAGGAGGAGGAACGCCTAGTTCCATAACACTGCAAAGTTCCAAGAACTTAACCACTAATACCTCAGCTTCGTTAAAGTCGAACTCCCCCAGCCCATCGCGCAGCCATGGCTCTAATAGTGCAGTATTCACGAAATTGGGCGGCGGCGGCAGCAGCGGCGGTGGTGGTGGTAATACAACCATGGCTTCTTCCTCGTCGTCCTCGTCAACACCTCCACATGGACTGCCAACACATGAATCCCCAAAAATCGTTGTTAATGACGAAAATTCAGGAAACATTTTTGGTTCCCCTTCCCAACAATCCTCCAACAGCTCGGGTGTTTTGCCTAGTCAAGTATCATTGACATCAGGTCCCGTTTTTGCAGCTAATACTTCAGGCTTGAACTCAAATTTAGTGCCGGCTGTTATGCCATCCATTGTTACCCCACCGGCGTCTCAAAACTGCAGCAATGGTTTATCCTTTGTGACCCCTCAGACTCAGCCAATAACACCAACCCCTACATCTCCAATGACATCCGCCATTTCTTCGTCCTCGGTCTCAGCTTCAGGCTCAGCTTCAGGCTCGGGCTCAGGCTCAGGCTCAGGATCCTCGTCATCATCCACCCCCAATACTCATTTTGAAAACAAAGCACACCATAGTCAATATGGCGCAGTGCAATCACACTTCAATCAATTAAATCCAAACATCAATACACCAGGGAAAGAAGTGTTTGACATTGATATGATTGTTGCTCCAAAAAGACATTCTTCATCAAGGTTTGAGCCAACCAACTCTGATAAATACCAAGAGATTCATAAGTTACCCAACTTTGACGAAGTCTTGCCCGAGGATCAAATCCAATTGTTTATACAAAAGATTGACCAGTGCAATTTGATGTTTGATTTTAGTGATCCAACGTTTGATGTTCGAGGAAAGGAAATAAAGAGGATGACTTTGCAAGAGTTGATTGCTTTTATATCAAATAACCGCTTTTCGTATACGGATGAGATGTACAAGCATGTTGTAAGTATGTTCAAGAAAAATTTGTTTCGTCCCATTCCTCCACCCGTTAATCCAATAGGCGATGTTTATGATCCGGATGAAGATGAACCGGTAAGTGAACTAGCATGGCCCCACATGCAAGCCATTTATGAATTTTTCCTTAGGTTTATTGAACTGCCAGATTTCCAGCACCAAATTGCGAAACAGTACATTGATCACGATTTCATTTTGAGAATACTAGAACTTTTTGATAGCGAGGATCCTAGAGAAAGGGACTGCTTAAAGACAACCTTGCACAGAATATACGGTAAGTTTTTGAGTTTGAGAAGCTTTATCAGGAAATCGATAAATAACGTATTCTTGCAGTTTATTTACGAAACCGAAAGATTTAATGGAGTTGGCGAGTTATTGGAGATTTTGGGATCAATCATCAATGGATTTGCACTTCCATTGAAGGAGGAGCACAAAATTTTCTTGGTGAGAATCTTGATACCCTTACATAAAGTGAAATGTTTGTCGTTGTATCATCCCCAATTGGCATATTGTATTGTGCAATTTTTAGAGAAGGATCCTTCTTTAACGGAGGAGGTAATTATGGGATTGCTAAGGTATTGGCCAAAGATCAACAGTCCCAAAGAAGTGATGTTTTTAAACGAAATTGAAGATATATTTGAAGTTATGGAACCCAGCGAATTTGTCAAGATCCAAATACCGTTGTTTGCCCAGCTATCTAAATGCATAAGCTCGCCCCATTTTCAAGTTAGTGAGAAAGTATTATGTTACTGGTCAAACGAGTACTTTTTAACATTGATCACTGAAAATGCCGAAGTTGTATTACCAATTATATTTGCTTCATTATATGAACTAACGAATGCCACGCAGCCGGGAGTGGAAAATGGAATAATGCAACGCAAGTTGAGCAATTTCCCTGATGCAACAGTGGATGCCAATGGCAATTTGATAGATAGTGGGCTTGTGTTGCAGGATGCACAACGAGGAATAATATCTGGTGCAAATGATCCCTCACATCCACACAATAAAATCTTTGAGGTCCATGCTTCAGTCAATATAAGTAGTAATAATAATGCTAATGACAATAACGCTTTAGAAAACACAAATAATCACGAAGGTACTGATGAATCACTGGGTTCAGAAAATCACCATCATCATTTCCAACATTCACACACTGATATCAATGGTAATGGGTTAACAGACGAAGAGTACTACGACCTGTTTAGTTCAATGCATAATTCCGGGATGAATGCTGGTAATAATAATAAGAACAATAGTAGTGAGTTGGTGGATGAATTTGGACAAGCATTTGATGAAGAATCAAGCGTGTTACAACATAATTCAGCGACATCCAATTGGAATAGAAGCATACATTCATTGGTTTATGGTGCACTTAAAGTGTTTATGGACCACAACCCCATTTTATATGACCATTGCACAATCCTTTATCATCAGTCATTAAGCGAACAAAGAGAGCGTGAAGTTGCAAGAAAGGAAGGGTGGAAAAGGATTGAAAATTACGTTAACCAAATCAAATCCAACCAACAACAACAACAACAACAACAGGCTGCTGGTGACATTTTTTAGAAAAAAAAAAAGAGAAATTTTGTACATCTATTGAGAAATGAAATGGGCTGTACTTTATAATTAAGCAAATAAACTCTTATTTTCAAATATTGTTTTCTGTAGTGAACCCAACACTGACTGATCCTATCGAGCGAAGCGAGATACTGGAGCAGCACTGACTGACCCTATGAAGCAGAGCGAGATAGTGGAGCAGCACTGACTAGCGACACTGAAACTGCCTAGCAGAGCGAGATAGTGGAGCAACACTGACTAGCAATACTCAGCTCTTCCCATAAGAGAATATATATATCACGTGTACTTCACGTGATATGATAATTAGATTGGAGAAAAGATCTAAAGCGAGAAACTAAAAAAAAAAGGAGAGAAGAGAAAAAAACTCCGATAGCATTAACAGTATTTCTTTTTCCACCTCTTCTTTGATATACCTCTTTGCCAAACGTCTGAAAGTCACACTGTTTTATTCACTATCGAGCAGAGCGAGACAGTGGGGTGTAGAGTAGAGTACACCATCGAGTTAAACGAGATAGTGGGGTGTACAGTAGAGTATACCATTGAGCAAAACGAGATAGTGGAGTGTAGAGTAGAGTAGTGTAGTGTAGTGTAGTGTAGTGTAGTGTAGAGTAAAAAACACTATCTCGCTATTAGGCAAATTTAGAGCAAGATCAAATAAGGCAGATTTGGAGCAAGATCAAATAAGGCAGATTTAGAGCAAGATCAAATAAGGCAGATTTAGAGCAAGATTAGATAAGGCAGATTTAGAGCAAGATCAAATAAGGCAGATTCTTCTTTTTATATTGGAGAAACCTGGCGTAAATAAAGAAGCCGGAGTTCGCATTTTCCACTATAGTCCTAATTACCGAAAAAAGAAGAATAGGAGATAGTGTAGAGTAGAGTAGAGTAAAAACTATATCTCGCTCTCCTCGATAGTGTAGTGTAGTGTAAAAAACACCATCTCGCTCTCCTCGATAGTGTAGTGTAGTGTAAAAAACACCATCTCACTCTACTCGATAGTGTAGTGTAAAAAACACCATCTCACTCTACTCGATAGTGTAGTGTAGTGTAGTGTAGAGTAGAATAGAATAGAGTATTACACTATCTCGCTCTGCTCGATAGTGTCGTTGCTCGATAGTGTCGTTTCTCAATAGTGTTGTAGTCAAGGTTTGCTTTTAGTTACATTGATGAGCATTGAGTATATACTATAAACATAGGGAAAGCGCTACCTCATCTCCTCTTTTTTTCTGTTGTGCTAACGTTTTTATGTCAAACTATCCTTAGTATGATAAAATTTTTTTTTTCAGATTTTTCACCTTCTTCCTTTCTTCTTTTGGCAAAGTCTGCCCTTGTTAAATCCCTGTTAGATTTTGCACTTTGGAGTTTAGTCGTTACAGATTTTCACTAGGAGTTTAGTCGTCACAGTTTTTGTAGTCTACTTTCTTAAGCGATGCCACTCGATCCTACCAAAGCAACTTCTTATTTAGAAGATTACGAAAAGAAAGATGGTCTTAGCATCAAAGAATTGATTGACTCTACTAATTTTGGTGGTTTGACTTATAATGATATCTTGATCTTGCCTGGTTTTATATCCTTCCCAAGTTCGCAAGTCAATTTGGAAAGTAAGCTCACAAAGAAAATTACTCTTAACTCGCCATTTGTTTCTTCGCCTATGGATACCGTTACCGAGGAGACAATGGCTATCCACATGGCCTTATTGGGGGGTATTGGTATCATTCATCACAATTGTACAGCTGAGGAGCAAGCAGAGATGGTTAAAAAGGTTAAGAAGTACGAAAACGGGTTTATCAATGACCCAGTTGTCATTGCACCAAATGTCACTGTTGGCCAAGTGAAAGAGATGAAGAAGAATCTAGGTTTTACAACATTCCCTGTAACTGGTATGTGTTCAATATTTTGGTGTTGATTTTTATTTTTTTATTTTTATTTTTATTTTTGCCAATGTTATCATGATGATCATCTTTTATTAAATTTTATAACTTTCGTTCTACCGAGTTACATCAAACGATGTTGGGGAAAAACTTTATCACCTGAAATGAAACCCAAACGGCAAAAACAAAAAAAAAAACAAAAAAAAAAGAAGAAAACTGAATATTTAAAAGGTCCAAACGCATTAATACTAACCTGATATACTTTTTTTTAGAAAATGGAGTTGTTGGGGGAAAGTTGTTGGGTATTGTTACTTCTCGTGATATCCAGTTCCATGAGGATAATAATGAGACAGTTTCAGAAGTTATGACAAAAGATTTAATTACTGGTAAACAGGGAATTACATTAACAGAAGGTAATGAAATCTTGAGAAAGTCTAAGAAGGGGAAATTACCTATTGTTGACTCTCACGGAAACTTGGTATCGTTGATCTCTTTGACTGATTTACAGAAAAATCAAGAATATCCAATTGCATCTAAGTCCTTTGATTCGAAACAATTATTGTGTGGTGCAGCAATTGGTACAATGGAAGCTGACAGGAAGAGGTTAGAAAAATTAGTCGAGGTTGGTTTAGATGTAGTTGTTATTGACTCATCGAATGGTTCATCGATATTTCAAATTGAGATGCTTAAATGGATTAAATCAACATACCCTAATTTGGAGGTCATTGCAGGTAATGTGGTCACTAGGGAACAAGCAGCTTGTTTGATTGAAGCTGGTGCAGATGCCTTGAGAATCGGTATGGGCTCTGGTTCAATTTGTACTACTCAGGAAGTTATGGCTTGTGGTAGACCCCAAGGTACTGCTGTTTATGGTGTGACCGAATTTGCTAATAAATTTGGTGTGCCTTGTATTGCCGATGGTGGTATTGGTAGTATTGGTCACATCTCCAAAGCTTTGGCTTTGGGTGCCTCGTGTGTCATGATGGGTGGTTTGTTGGCTGGTACTGCTGAGACTCCCGGTGACTATTTTTATAGAGATGGCAAAAGATTAAAGAGTTATAGAGGTATGGGCTCGGTGGCAGCCATGCAACAAACAAGCATAAACGCAAATGCTTCTACATCAAGGTATTTCTCAGAGTCAGACAAGATGTTTGTGGCTCAAGGTGTCAGTGGGTCTGTTGTAGACAAGGGATCAATCACCAAGTTTGTCCCATATTTGTACAATGGTTTGCAACATTCTTTACAAGATATCGGTATAAAATCTATTAAAGAGTTGAGGGAAAAAGTTGATAGCGGAGACGTTAGATTTGAGTTCAGAACAGCTTCTGCTCAATTGGAGGGTGGTATAAACGGATTGTACTCATACGAAAAACAATTGCATAATTAAATTTGAAAAAAGAAGAAGAGAGTATGCAAAGTGAACAAACATAAATTATATGAAATAAACCGCTATCTGTAACTGAAAGCTTTAATGTAGCGAATTTCTACTCTAAGCACGCTATTATCGGTAACCAAAGTGCGACTTTTCAGTTTCGACCAGTAGTCGACCTATTTGTTGAGGATTCTTTTGCATCTATCCATTGAAAGTTGTGAAATTGTGTTTTTCGTAATTTTTTTTCCCCCCTTTTTTCATCACTTTGAACATTTTGGAAATTTTATATAAGTTATTTGTATCAAATTTTGTAGTAACTTGTCTTGGAACGATACCTATTTCTCTCTTGGATAAATAGGGGCAGCGCTTGTGCGTTTACTACATTCAAAGTATATATTCACCTCAATTTTGTTTAGACACGATGGGAAAGAGTTTAGACGATGATCTCAATGAAAGCCGTTTAACGCGGTATAACAAGATTGAGCCAGAGATCAAGCACTATCTTTTTACAATACTTTCACCACACTATCAGTCCCTTTTCGCAAAATATTCCACTCCAAGTCAACCGTATGACTCTTTAAGCTTGATGCATTTACTACACGATGGAGAGGTTCTTTGCCGACTAGGACAATTGGTTGAAATGCCCAATAAGAATCCAACCTTGAATTTTAAATCCTCATCGATGGCATTCATTCAAATGGAAAACATATCATGGTTTTTGAAACTATGTGAGATAATCAATTTGCCTCAAGACGAGATCTTTCAAACTGTAGACTTGTTTGAAAGTAAAGATCCTTATCAAGTTTGTATCACATTAATGTCGTTCTCACGAATCGTACATGAAATGAATCCTCAAACATTCACAATGGTTATTGGGCCAAAAAGAGTCAGAAAAAAACCCGTTATACCAAATAAACCTCGAGCTTTAAGAAGTTAAGAGCAAAAGTCCCCTGTTCATCCCTCCGCCGTCTCTCGATGTGTGCTTTTTGATTCAAGCAACAGTTGGCGGTTGACTTGATATAACTAAATAAAGATCAACATTCACTTCTTGTACAATAAAACACTCTTTATCATGATAACATCATCTCATCTCATCTCATCTCATCTCATCTCATCGCAGCGCTACCGTCTCTTCTCAAAAAAAAAAATTAAAAAAAAAAATCATAAATGTTTGAATTTATCAACCTTACCAAAGACTACGTTAGGTGATAAAAGAGTTGAACAGTTACCGCTTCTGGTGCATACGGGCTTGTCTTTATTTTTTTTTCTTTTTCGGAGGCTATTATTTGAATATATCAACAACTCTGTTCTACTACTAATTACAGTTTCACTGTTACTTACAGTTTTATTTACTTATTTATTAAATTTTTTTGCATATTACTTTGGCCATTCTTTAAATCAATACTAAGGACACAATTTTATAATTTATTAGCTTATAGTCATGTCGGATGAAGTTATTTGGCAGGTTATAAATCAACAATTTTGCGCATTCAAGTTAAAGACAGACAAGCAGAATTTTTGCCGGAATGAGTATAATGTGAGTGGGTTGTGTACTAGACAATCATGTCCACTTGCGAATGCAAGATATGCCACAGTTAAAAACATTGGTGGTAAGTTGTACCTATATATGAAGACAGCAGAAAGAGCTCATATGCCAAATAGGTGGTGGGAAAGAATCAAGCTTTCTAGGAACTACAATAAAGCATTAAAGCAGATTGATCACCATTTACAATATTGGCAAAAATTTTTACAGCACAAATGTAAGCAAAGGTTAACGAGATTGACTCAAGTGGCGATAACGGAGAGAAGATTGGCATTGAATGAAGAGGAAAGACATTTGGTAGGAATCAAGCCGAAGTTGAAGAGAAGAGAAGAGAATAGAGAAAGGAAAGCACTTGCTGCTGCAAAGATTGAAAAAGCCATTGAGAAGGAATTGTTGGAAAGATTAAAGAGCGGCGCATATGGTGACAAACCGTTGAATGTCGATGAAAATATATGGAAGAAAGTTATGAGTAAAGTGGAAGAGGAAGGAGAGGAGGAAAAGGAGTTTGATGAGGACGAAGAGTTTGATATAGAATTGGAAAGCGGAGATGAAGAAGATGATGAAAGCGAAATGGGAGAAGTTGAATATGTGGAAGATTCAGGAGAAGACGAATTTGTCGATATGGAAGATTTAGAGCAATGGTTGGGTGATTCATCGGCCAGCGAAAGCGAAGAAGAAAGTGAAGATGATGAAGAAGAAAGCGAAGACGAGGATGCAAATGAAGCAGGCGCATCTAAAAAGAGAAAAGCAGATGGTCCAATATCGAAGAACAAAAAGAAGAGAAAACCAAGAGTGGAAATCGAGTATGAGCAAGAAGAAGAGCCAACGCAAGCAAAAATTGCCGTATAAATTATCCTAAAATAAAATAAAATAAAATTATTTCAAAACCCGTCTAACACCTACTTTATTGACAACCTTCTCTCTCGGGAAAGAAGATTTTTATCAACAACAACAACAACAATAATAATAGTAATAAAAAACATATAATGGTCCTGACAAAAAATTTGACGTTTTCTTTCTCTTTGTTTTATCCTTTTTCTATTCTATTTTTTTTTTTTTTGCTATAGTTTCTAATCTTTTTCATCATTGACATCTGATGTCTTCTCTAGAGCACCCGCAATAGTATCTCCATCTATATCTGCATCAACATTCTCCTCCCTATCCTCGTCTAAATTTCTCTTTATATGTGCTAATTTGACATTGTTCTCTACTCCAAATACCCATACCGGATGGAAGGGCACATAAACCAAACCACAAATGGCGATCATTGCAGCGTCTAAAACCAAAACGTAAGCTTCATGTGAATACAAAAATCCGCCAAAACCTTCAGCCAACTCAACAACTCGGTAAATACAACGAACGTAAACAACAATAACAGCACATGACATTGCCAATGGCATCCAGTCAAACAAAGTTTTTCTTCTTAGAGCTGCAAATTTCTGGTTATAAAATTTTTCCAAATGTGTATGTCTATATTCACGGATTGATTTGCTATTGAATAATAAGCGAAAGAAATTTGCTAAACTTCTCCTTCTGAATGGACTATCCACCATTTGTTCATTAGCATCGTGTGTCTTTTTGAAATAAATTCTGTTTAGAAACTCAATCCAAAATAACAAAAAAATGGTCATTGAGAACAATTGCATGGCAATACCGGCAATCATAGTGTTGGTACCTGGTTTAGCATTAGTGTGTTGACTCGCAGCCACAGATGCGGCACCGCCACCACCAGCTTGAATAATCAAAGAAAGAACATCAGTAGCAATGAAAAAGTAGGAATACCACATTGGTCTCAAAACCGAGAATTGACGTCCATGTATCACCACCAACTGACCAAATAGGAAATATATACCTGCCATTATAAACGCTGGCGCAATAGTTAAACAAACTATTTGCATGAGATAAAAACTGTCTACATTGGTATTGTCATGGGCCTTGACTCGTCCTATAAACCCAATCATCTCCAATGCAAATCCACATACAAAAGTAACATTGAACCACCAGTATCTCGATTTTATCACCATCAATAGTACATATAGCAAAATCAAGGCATAAACAACGAGATATATGATGTTTCCTGCTAAATTCGGATTATAGTCATAAAGGTTTTCTTCATCGCTCAAGTTCTTCAAGTTCAAAGTGGCATTAAAGATGACCTGAGTTGCTTGTGCTTGCACCACTGGTGCTGTTGCAGTGGCCAAGACCTCTTGGGCGGAAATAACGGTCAATGATGCCATAGCACCTCGAAAAACTTGCGAAAGTGACACAAGGTTAACATAATTTGTTTCTGTAGCCGCTCGTGAAATTGCAGATAACACAATCTCGTGTAATTCTGACACATGAGTCGTAGCAATGCTCGTTAACGTGGTTTTTGTCGGTATAGTTGACGGCGCCCATGTCGATAATTGACCAATTGTAAAGTCCATATTAACCTAAACTCAAATAAACCGGAAAAACAAAAAACCGGAAAAAAAACAAGTAAACCGGAAAAATAGAATGCAAAGAAAGAACGAAGATGATGAAATGAAACCTAAGGGCAGTGATGACAAGATAAAAGCAAAGTTGGATTTCAGTTGCTGTTTCTTAAAATCGTATAACAACAAAATGCTTGAATCTATTCTATGAATCTGAAAAGAAAAGATAGTCACTTTATATAAAACACATCAAGCAGAAAGTTTTGATGTGAACAAAAAAGAAAAAAAAAAGAAAACAAAATTTTTAGATCTTCTTCGGTTAAAGGGTTGGACATAATGCATGAGAATCAAATTATATCTCCGAAAAACACCCAAGAAAAAAATGCAAACCATAAATGCGGGTTTGGGCTATGTAGCAATGTTAGTGAAACTAGCGACACTATCGAGCAAAGCGAGATAGTGGAGCAACACCAACACCAACACTATCGAGCGAAGCGAGATAGTGGTGCAACACCAACACCAACACTATTGAGCGAAGCGAGATAGTGGTGCAACACTGTTAAGCAATACTACCCGCGACACTATCTCGCTTCGCTCGATAGTGGTGCAACACCAACACCAACACTATCGAGCGAAGCGAGATAGTGGTGCAACACTGTTAAGCAATACTAACAAATTACTTTAGAAGTAGCTAGTTGGGCTTTACAAGTGGAGCTAGTTTTAGACAATTTTAGAGTGAATAAGATACTGGAAGTTTAAACGGGGCTAATCATCAAAGATGGGCCCGTTTTTTAGAAAGTTTTAAATAATTGAAATTAGGAATTTTCCGCGTGTGCTTCTAATAGCAGTGGATTGTAAAAAAAAGAAAAGGATAAAAGTTATTCTCTGATGTTCTACCTATGGTTACTCATCAATTGCTATTAGTCGTTGTTGGAGATAGATTCAGGGACCAGTTATAGCCCTGTATCACTGTACTGATGCAGCAAAACGGGGCTATTTTAACAATATAAATACTTGCACAAAATTCATAAAACGGATATAAATACCAAATTGCTAAATAAAGATTAATATGAAATTGCTGCAAAAAAAAAAAGAAGAAAAAAACAGAAAAAAAAGCCTGTCATAATAATCTGATATACTTTTCTGAGTAGTAATAGTAGATACTTTAAAGAGAAGTGGTCTGACAAGTACAACTTACTACACTGTGTTTGTCACAACTTACTACACTGTGTTTGTCACAACTTACTACACTGTGTTTGTCACAACTTACTACACTGTGTTTGTCACAACTTACTACACTGTGTTTGTCACAACTTACTACACTGTGTTTGTCACAACTTACTACACTGTGTCTGGCACGACTTTCTACACTGTGTTTGGAATTGGGGTTGGGTTGACACTAGTGGATGATTCGGTAACATTAAACACTGTATAATTAAGAATGTTTCATTTCTTTTTTTTTCGCAGCCAAATTTGATCTAGTTTTTTTTTTGTTTTATTTTTTGCCTCTCTCTCCATTTTCATCAAGACCCCTTGATTTTTTGTAATTACACCTACTCTTACTCTCTCCGTCTCTCACATTGTGCTTGAAATACGCCCCTTTTTCGCTAGAATCGCTATATTTTTTTTTTCCCATTTTACTAACCAATAGTCCCCTAGTTTGCTAAATGGACAGCTCTAATGAATCGATTTTTTCAGAGTATAGGAATTCAAGAAATGCGTCACTTACTGCGATACTGCTGCTGTCGGACCAGAATATATCCGATTCCCTGTTAATGACCCAACTACCATTCTTCCCAACAAATCAAGAAGATCCTTTGTTACTGTTCACTTGTGAGGAACTCATTTCCGATAAGTTTCCAACCACAAAATTCCCCTTTGATGGGTTTATAAATTTTCATTCATTAAAAATATGCAGCTCAAATGCGAAACAGATGTCCAAATATTTACAATTGGCAATGGGGTTCAAAGAAGTTGCTTATAAAGGATTGGAGAACAATTCAAGGCTAGTTGCATCCCATGTGGTACAGAATGGATCAATCTTTTTAGAGATTGTTAATACTTTAGAAACGATAAAGAATGATAATGTACTTAAATTCCCTTATTTCAAAGATGATTTATTGCGGTTTGAAAAGTTTGATTTGAGAATGAAAACTTATGTCGAAGAGTTTAAGATAACCACCGAAGATCTTGTATTTGATTATGTCAACAATAGAATTGAGAATTTATGCACCAATCCAATTCTGTCTATTCATTTTGGTCGTAATATGTATAACACAATTATCAAAAGCGAAAAGTATCGAGAACTTGCTAAATATTTAAGTGAACTTGTTACCAAAACCATCAATGATTCCGAAATAATATACAACGATATTATGGAATGCACTTTGATACAAAAATTTTTGAAAAAACACGCAGAGGGAGTAATGGATATCGTTGTTAACGTCAAGGGTCTCGATGTAATCTTTGCCAAAGCGGTGGATGCAGGAGCAGGCATAATAAGGTTACCGAAAGTTCTTGTTGATAAGCATGGTGCTGTGAAACTAGCAACAATCACTGTTCCCAATACCGATATTCAACACACATTGATTGAGAATATAAACTATACAGGACCTTTCCTACCTGGTTATTCAGACTCAATATGGAAACATTCTTTTGATTACGAACAACAATTGAGCCTGCTACCGCCCATCAACTTAACTGTAATAGACCATTGTGTCGAAAATTATTCTTGGAACCAAATGCTTTTACAAGCAAAAGTTTACGCTGAGATGTTTGGTTTCCACAAGTTTTGGTCAGCAGATGAAGAAGATGTTTCCACTGGTTACACAGCACTTCGATCTATCGTCATGAGCTCCAGCAACGGACAAATTAAGGTCCCTATTAATGAGCCGGTGGAATCCAAATTTAAAGGGCAGATTGAGGAATTTAATGACTTTTACGGGGGACCTGGTATTCAGCATATCGCATTTAGAACAAATGATATAATCAAAACTGTCAAAGCAATGATCCAAAGAGGAATAGAATTCAACCATGCCAGTGATAAGTATTATAACAATCTAGAATTGAGATTGAAGAAAGACGACGTGGTTCTTTTTGAGGACTTTGATGAAGTAAGACGTCACAATATTTTGGTTGACTATGATCCTCAAACCAGAAATAAAAAAACAAAAAGATGTCATTACATATTGCAAATTTTCTCACAACCTTTACATGATCGTCCGACGCTATTTATTGAAATAATACAACGGCATCACCATAACGGGTTTGGAAAGGGGACTTTTAAGGGGTTGTTTGAGACAATTGAGGAGCAACAAAAGTTACGGGGTAATTTTGTAGAAGTAAATAGAGTTAGACCATAGCTGAAAAATGTTTTTGTCTTTCTTTCACTAATAAAGAGCGCTTGGTACTCTTTTTATACACTTTTGCCCAATTTTATCAACTGTATGATCAATGGCATCTTGTAACCATTATCATATCTAGGTAAAGAAATCAAACTCGTGTGTCTCTCTATATAATGTTATTTCATGTAACTTTGAGAGTATTATTACATACTGAAACACATGATCTTCATATATACTAACTTGTTGTCATGATTGTACAAGACAAAGATTAGGATCAAAGAAATAACCTATTGAATCTCTTTGTATAGTATTTCTTGCACTTTACAATAAATGCAACTTTGAAATACTTAGAGATCGTTTACAATATTAAAGACATGGAGATTAAAACAACCACCTAAATAGACAAAATTTGCAACTTTAGTGGAAAAAATGTCAGTATTTTTTTCTTATGATTAGCCGCTCTCTTCAAGACAAATTTCTTTTCCTATCATGTTAGGAAGGGAAAGGGGGGGAAAAGGGGGAGGAAGATACCCGTGGAAAGCATCAGGTGGACATTAGCAAACGGAAATTAGCAAACGGAAATCAGCGGCAAGAGGACTGATGACAAGAGCGCAAGAAGACGAAGAGGACAGGTAGCAGAATCATTATTTCAGTTTTGTATTTTTACAAATGCAACGATATAAATACATAGCTCTTGTTTCCATTCCCACTCCCTCCCTCCCTCCCTCCCTCACTCACTCACTTTGACTTTTTGTACTGGTTTGAGACACTAAGTGGAGACTTTTCTTGAGATTCGTCAAAAATTTTATCTTCCTTTATGTTGGTAGTTTTCAATGTGCGGTCAAAATAATCATTTCTATACTTTGACTCCAGTGATCCTATAGATGTAGAATACCCATTAGACAGACATTCTTCTTCGTCCTTTTCAAAATTTTGACTAGCCTCATCCAATAATTTGAATCTCTCACTTCCTTCGGTTGCAGCGTTCTTATGAAGTTCCCCTTCCTCCAAATCATCTTCACTTTTCAATTTGTGCCCCTTCGTTAAGAAATACTCCTTTATATTCTTTACGAATAATGGATACAAAATGCCATCTACTCCTTCGTTTCGTGCAATTTCATAAGCTCTATCAAATGGTATCCATACACCTTTCAAATTCATTGATCCTACTTTAACAACATTTTTAATCTTTTCTGTTTTCAAAATACCGTCTCGTTTTCCCCTTGTCATTCCTACAACATTCAACAATTTGGTACAGTTGATGTAATCAGTATCTTCTCTTCTTGATACAAGAATGTTTTTGGCTCTTACTTGATAGCAGTTGGTGTTCTCATCATCCCATCGTGTAGTGGCAACTTTGGGTCGAACAACATTTTCAGGATACTCAGCTTGTGGTATACTGCTGCTAATTGAAATTGCCCTAGAGCCCTGATCTCTAGCAGAAAAAGTCGAAGAGTTTCGCGACTTATTCGAAAAAGTTGAAGATATCAGTGGATTGAGTAATGGCAAGTGGATTTGAGTTTGTTTGTCAAGTTCAGTTGTAGACTGAACTTGTACTTGCCTTTGGGTTGAATTACTTGGATGTGCCACAAAAGTGGGATTTGTTGGCACAGAAGAAGAGTAAGCCATTGTGTATTGCGGGAGTGAAGACTGTGAGTATAACATTGTGCCGGGGCTTCCAAATGCTTGAACCAACATTTGTTGTTGTTGTTGTTGCTGTTGCTGTTGCTGGTGGTGGTGGTCTGGTGTTGCATGTTCGCCAATTTCTAAATGCGACTTCTCACTTTGAAGTATGGGCTGCTGCGTCTGTGAAATCAAGTTTTGATTCCCAAGCTTTGCTGAATACATATGCTGCTGTAGTTGCAGGGGTCGTTGTTGTTGTTGTTGTTGTTGATGATGTACATTAATATAGTTTCCTACATGGCTACCGAAATATTCTTGTTGTTGTTGCTGTGGCTGCTGCTGCTGCTGCTGTGGTTGTTGTTGTGGTTGTTGTTGTTGTTGTTGAGATGGAGGTGGGATTGTTGGGAACGCAGAATGGGTTGGATCTCCCGTTGGTGAATATTGTGCATGTGGTTGATGGTGTTGTTGTTGTTGTTGTTGCTGTTGTTGTTGCAGCTGCTGTTCTTCTTGGATTTGCTTTGCACGAAGAAGTTGTATTTCGGCAGCAGAGTTTCCCAGAACCAGGTAGGAAGGACTCAAAATAGTGCTCCCAGTATTGGCAAACTCAGATACGTTTCCAGCATTGCCATTTGCTGTTGCATTAGACGATGCATTTAAAAAATCTGTATTCTGGTTAGTTGTAGGATATCCTGGTTGTAATGCGTAATAATTTGAATAATCAAGAAGAACATTTTTGGATGATCTTAATGACAAGGGTTGTTGTCCCGAAGCAGAAGGGTACTGCTGATATGCCAATGGTGTATCCAAAGGAGCCGAGTGCATCTGAATGCCATTGTATTTGTTAGCTTGAGTTAGTGGGTCAGATTGCTGCAGATGTTGTTGCTGCTGCTGTGGTCGCTTTTCTTGTTCTTGTTGTTCCATCTGCTGCTGCTGCTGCTGCTGCTGCTTGTCTTGTGTCTGAGCAAGTAAAATCAGTCTCGAGGAAGAAGTCATTTGTTCGGCACCTGATGTGACACCAGAAAGTTCTCGGCTATAGAAATTTGTGTTTGTAGGGGTCGTCACAACTTTGTTCATTGATCACGTTTCATGAATACCTGTGTTATTTTAGATATATGAAAGCAATTAACTTTGATGGTCAAAAAGGAATATATGTTGCAATTGGATGATAACCAAACTCAATTAGATGCTATTGGAAAAAGGAATGTACAAATAGTGAAGACGACCAGGGAAAAGAAAAAAAAAAGGAAGCTGGAGTTGGGACTTCTTTTTAAAAGGAAACAGTAGTTTTAGCCACTTAAGACAGATTCCAATATAAGCTAAAAATGAGGAATCTTGAAAAATTTCAAAAACACAAATCTTAATTCTTAATTCTTGATTGTTTTTTGTTTTTTGTTTTTCCTTCTTCAACTTGAATGCAAGTTAACAAGAATTTTCTCTAGATTCAACTGTTTCCAAGCGGATACTAGCCTCTGTCAAAAAGGTAAAAAAAAAACAACCAAAGATCCTTTTTCCTGAGATGAATTTCTTGAAACGACAAAGAAAATTTTTCTATGCCCTAATTAGGGGTAAATAAACTTTGGAGGAAATTTGTTGAGCTTAAATAAAACAATGATGAAAAGTACGTGTATATCTTGTTAGCAACTTGCTTCAATCATCAGATGTTTGTTATTTTAAATCCAAAAAACCTTCTTTTGAATGATATTGAAAAAGAAGGAAAGGGGCTAGACACGATTTTATTATTGGAATGGCAAAACTTTTTTTAAATTACGGTGATGGTAGTGGGAGAAGGAGGGGCAAAATGCTTCGTAATTAGCCTTAACAACAACATTTCTTTTGATCAGATTTGTTAAGGAAGCTGTAAATCTTTCTCTGTAAGCTGGTTGATCTAATTTTTTTTCTTTTTTGGTTCCCAATACAAAATAATAAAATGCTTAATTATGAAATGGGAAATAATAACCCCAATTTTTTTTCACTTTTCAGTAAAGGGAAAAGAAAAGAAGGAAAAATGGGGTTGGTAAAAAAGCCATAAAAATCCTCATTTCAATGGGATAAGGACGTTTGGATTTGGATTGGATGATTCATGCAGGCAAGATAGTCCAGCTTTGGGACATAAAAGACCATCTCTCTCTCTCTCTCTTAGTCTCTCTCTCCTTTTTCCGATTGTAAAAAAGGTCTAATATCCTCATTCAAAGTCCGTGTCATCAACTATTTCCATAATCAAAATCAAGATCAAAAAAAAAAAAAAAAAAAAAAAAAAATTATCTTTCAAGATGATTATTATAATTGAATGATGGGTATTTAGATTCAAACAAAATGATAAACAAACACGATTCGACTCTTTTCGCTTTCTTTTTCTCTTCTTTTTCTTCTCTTTTCATTTGTTCTCAGACAGAATCTAGAATTTTTTGGCTTCTAAACGATCCTTTAGTGTCGAACGACTTCTTATCCCAAAAAGAAAAGAGAAAAAAAATGAAATCCAATAAGGTCTTCCCCTCTTGCTTTTGTTTCTTTCAACCTGAGTTTTCCCTCTTCTAAACTCCATCTTCAATCTTATCGCCTTGCTCTTTTTTCTTTTTCGCCTTTTCTCAGGTTGATACCATCTTTATTATTTTCATTCCAAAACTAGAATGATTTAATGTGGCCGCACGCGCTATATGTGTACTTTTGCTTTTATCCTTTCTGGTCACACGCGGTAAGTTCATGTCTGTTTAAAACTCACTTAATAAAGCCTTTCCTCTATTGGAACAACAACCATAATAAATAAATAAAAAACATAACCAAATTTTTTATCAAAAAACATCAAATACAAAAAAAAAAAAAAAAAAAGCACACAGTAAAACTTGCTTATAATAATGAAGATACAAGCTAGTCCAACAAGTTCTTCTCAACTAATTGGTCAAATTGTCTTATTTTCAAAAGCCCTCAATAATAATAAGCACAGCCCTTTTTTAACTTTTTCTTTTTTATCTCTCATATTTTTTATTGGCAAAGGTAATGAAAAAAATATTTAATGAAAATAAAAGGACCTTCTAAGTTCAAGGATGCTCAAAATAGGATGATGTTTTTTTGAAAAAAGGCTCATCTTCTATTGAACAGGATCCAGGGTTTGTGTAATCTTGATTGAATATGCCAAAGAATGGCAGCCTTTCACATTAACATACATCTGCGAGTTGCATCAACTCACATAAGGTCCAAATTTTTTTAAAAAATAGACTAAGTCTGTAGAATTATAAGGAATGGATCATTAATAATAGAACAAGAAGTTCTTTATATCTTCACATACTGAAGAAGTTCCCTATATCTTCACATATTGAAGAAGCTCCCTGTATTGAAGAAGCTCCTTGTATTGAAGAAGTTCTCTATATTGAAGAAGCTCCCTATATTTAAGAAGTTCTCTATATTGAAGAAGCTCCCTATATTGAAGAAATTCCTTATATTGAAGAAGTTCCCTATATCTTCACACATAGCTTTTTAAAAATTTGCTAGTGTATAGTCGTAAAAATCTTGCTTAAACCTACCTCAATCTGCACCATTCCGCTAGATGGTGATAATTGTTTGGCGATGGTGTCAAAATATACGATACAACTCTTTTATAGCATTCCACCCTTTTGCCTTTGCTTCTGTGTCAAATATAACTCTCACCACCTTTCAACGCACACTCTTGCTATCGACACTATCGAGACTAATCTTATTTAAAATGGCGGGAGGAGCACGGAGCTAAGCGCGACCCTTTCTCTTACTCTCATTCTCACTTACTCTCATTCGCACCCACTCTTATTCTCACTTACTCTCACCTTTTTTTCTCTTTATGCCTTTTTCACCTCTGTCTCATCGCATGCTCGCGCGCTCTGTCAAATCTCAACAGCTAGCTTCAAGATCCGGATCAATCATTCATATCTCCTTAATTACAACTTTTCAAGCCAAGTTGAAAAAAAAAAAAAAATAGGGAGATTTTTCAATTCCAACTGTCTGCATTGGAATGCTGAATGTAATATTTTTGCTAGACACTAGCGACACTAGCGACACTATCGACACTAGCGAGCGAAGCGAGATAGTGGAGAAACACTTTGTAGTAACACTATCTACACTATCGGGCAGAGCGAGATAGTGGAAAAACACTTTGTAGTGACACTATCGACACTATCGACACTAGCGAGCAGAGCGAGATAATGGAGAAACACATAGTACTGACACTATCAACACTTTGTACTGACACTATTGACACTATCTGGCTCTTCTCGATAGTGTCACTATTGAGGAAACTAGATAATAGTCAACTTTCACAGTTTGACTTTATTTCCTATAAAAAAAAGAGACGATTTGATGTACTAAAACTTTCAAGTTATAGCGTTGATTGAAATGACTGACTTGCGACACTATCGACCGAAGCGAAATAGTGGGGCATTGACTAGCTGTCACCAAGAGCACTGACTAGCTGTCACCGACACTTTAGGCTCTAACCATCGACCTCCCTCCCCCACCAGTCAGTGACACTATCGACACTATCCACACTACAAAGTGTGGAGCAGGATAGTGTCACTACAAAGTGTAGAGCAGGATAGTGTCACTACAAAGTGTTTCTCCACTATCTCGCTCTGCTCGATAGTGTAGATAGTGTAGATAGTGTCGAACTAAATGTACAATTTTTCACAAATCTGTCACTTTTCTTTCAACCCTGTCACTCTTACGATAGTTTACCTCGAACCAAGAAATTGAGCCAAACAAAAGTTTTTCTTCCATTGTCTGTCTTAAGAAAAAAAGCTTACGGCTACTACTAATTCTAATCTAAAAAAAGCTTACGGCTACTACTGACTGTAATCTAAGAAAAGCTTATAGTCTAAAACAAGCTTAAGCTACTACAACAGAAAAGAGAAAAAAAAATGAGTTTATTCTCACGTGACCAGATTCTTTTTTTGTGATGAAAAATATTATCGCTTTTATAAAGAATGAAAACTATCCTATTCTTTTTGAAAGAAGAAGAGGGTGACAACGTTGTTGGCTACTAGGAGTTAGGAGTATTAGGTTTAGTAGATTAGAGACACATATTATTTTATTATTCATCTCGCTGTGAATCTTCTCTTTTCTTTCCTTCCATTCCTTTCCTTCCTTTCCTTTCCCTTTTATTTTTATTTATTTATTTTTTTTTTTTTTTTGGTTCTATATTGATCATCAGTTAAATATGGCATCGCATGAACAAGTTCCAGTTCAGATACCTAAACAACGGCGACATTCATTTATGGACTATGGCGGAGCAAATTCCCTAAGTAACTTTGCCTCATCCTATTCTCGCGCTCAGAACTATAGTGGTACTTTACTTTTGGAACAACATGACGAGGAGTGCAGAGATGTATTGACACAACAGCGACAAGCTTCATTTTCACTGGGGCTCTTCCAAGATGAAGAAGACGAAGAGGTAGCTATTGTGGATGATGAGTTCCCTCTGACTCGAAAATTACATGGAAGCAACCATATAGGAAATCTTTTACTACAAAACGAAGAATGCTTGGATCAGGATATATCCGAGAGCGTACTAGACGAAATGGCGCCATTAATTCCCACCATTTCAAAACAGAGTAGCCATGTTGTATTTTCCAAGTTGGGCAGCTCAACCGCACCTCAAACAATCTTTAATTCAATAAATACTTTGGTTGGTATAGGAATGCTATCTCTTCCGTTAGGATTCCGTATGAGCGGATGGCTTTTGGGAGTAATTTTTTTACTCGGGTCTGCTATATCAACAAACTTAACCGCCAAATATCTAGGTCGAATATTGCGTAACCATCCTAATTTAATGACATATGGAGATATTGCCTATGCTTACGGAGGCAGACTTTTTTCAATCTTGGTGACTGGATTTTTCGTGTTGGATCTATTAGGAGCTTCATTATCTTTGATTATTTTGTTTGCAGATTGTTTTGTAATTGTCTGGCCACACGTAAAAAGCTTAAAGTTGATTATCGTATCAATCGTGTTTTGTTCAAGTTTGTTGCCTTTGCATGTACTATCCATTTTCAGCTTATTAGGGATCTTGGGAACAATTGGTATAATTTCAGTGATAATCACTTGCGGATTTCTATTACGTCAATCACCCGGCTCGCTTTTGGATTTTGCTCCAACAGACGTGTATCCCAAAAGTTTGCCAAACTTGTTGTTTAGTTTGGGCGTCTTCATGGCCCCCTGGGGCGGTCATCCTGTATTTCCTGAATTGTTCCGAGACATGAGACACCCTAAGAAATTCAGCAACACTAGCAATGTGTCATTTTCTGTCACATTCTTGTTGGATTTCACAATAGGTGCCACGGGGTACCTCATGTATGGGAAAATGGTAGATGACTCAATTGTTAAAAGTATTATGCAAAATTCAAACTATCCTGAATGGGTGAATAAACTGCTTTGTTTGCTAATGGGAATACTTCCCGTTTCAAAGTTACCATTAGTTACCCGGCCAATAATCACCTCATATGAAAAATTATTGGGGTTGTCGCCTTGCAAAAACAAACAATCAAGAACAGGAACAAGAACAGGAACAAGAACAAGAACAAGAACAACTTTGACAATATTGAGAATATTCTCCAGGTTTATATTTTGTGGAGTCCTACTTTTATTTGCATTGTTGTTCACTTCTTTCGGCAAGTTGGTCTCATTCTTGGGAAGTGCTATTTGCTACACCGTTTGTCTTGCCTTCCCCTTAATGTTTTACTTAAAATTGAATAGATCAAGTGTTTCAAAATTTCAAAGCCATCTAATCAGATTAGGCATTTGCATCTCGATATTACTCGCACTTTTGGGCAGCTATGCATCCATTGCTGTGAGAATCACTTAGAGAGTAGGTTTGAGAAAGTTAGCATTAACAATATAAAGATTACCTAATGAACACTAAACTCAATTTTTTAAACTTTTATTTCAAACTCTCTACTTTTACTTTTTCTTTTTGTAGAAAAAAAAAAAAAAATTCAATCAATAAATGCTCCTGTAAAAAACCATTCACTTATTTGTATCTCTAATTTGGCATTGGAGTTGACCATTAATTCCTGTTCATTTTCTTTATCATTTTCATCCTCCTTATCTTTTCCTTTTTCGTTTTAGTCTTTTTTTTTTCTTTTTCATTTTTTCATTTTTTTGAGTTATGACGAGGCTTATTTCTCCTGGTATTGTATTTCTGCGAACCCATAGAATCATCAAAGAAAGGTTTCCCGTACATCATCAAGTCCTGTTGAGATTGAGCCAAGTATTGCGCCATCACTTGAGAACCAGACAAACGTTGTCCAGTTAAAGAGTACTGAGGAGACGGCATAGCGGTCATTGGTAGAGATCCCGGCGGCGGTTGCAATACTGGGAAATACCTAACCTGTTGAAACTGTTGCCCGTGGTACTGAGGTTGTGGAGGAATAGCGACAAATTGTTGTTGCTGGGGTTGGAGTGTGGGATGGTGCAAGCCAGTTGCGTGATTTGAGGAAAATTTATTCTTTGTTTGGTTCTTTTGAGGATAATAATAAACAGATTGTGGTTGAACAAATTGAGGGTATGCAGGGTTTATGCTACTGCTGCTGTTATTTATCAGTATATTTGATGAGTTTCTTGAAAATCTTCCACCACATGATATTGATGAATTATTATAACTATTATTATGGTATATTTTTTGGTGCTTCAGTTGAAATCTTCCGCTCTTGTGTGAGTTGTGTCTGGAGTTCATGTTACTCTTGTGCTTGATTTTGCTTGTATTAGTAGATGTGGTTATATCAGATCCAATAATGATGGAAACATCTTCCTCTTCATCTTCCTCTTCATCGTCCTCGTCCTCGTCCTCGTCCTCGTCCTCATCACTATCAACTTCTTCTTTCTGTTGCTGTTGCTTTTCTCCTTCTTCTCCTTCTTCTTCTTCCAGTACAGTTAATTTCTCTTCCACTATTTTCTCTCCAACAAACGCCTCTTCTTCCAACACTATTTCCTTTTCATGCTTTACTTCCTCATCCGCCTCCTCTTCTTTCTTCTGCTTTTCCGTTTTCTTTTCACCATCCAAGTTCTCACTACCACTAAGCTTGCCGTTCTCTACAATTCCAAACACTATCGCGGCTTCCTCTGTAATTGGCTCTTTGGATTTCTGCTTCTCCTCCTCCTTCTTCTCTCCCTCTTCTTCTTCATTAAACTCTTTGTTTTCTTCTTGTTCTTCTTGTTCTTCTTGTTCTTCTTGTTTTTCTTGTTCTTCTTGTTCTTCTTCTTCTTCTTTGTCTTCATTTAGTTTTCCCTTGTACCTATTCTGATTACGAAGAGTGGCATGCAATTGCTCTTGATACTGCTGATATGTTGAGCCCAGAGTGCCATTCATTTTTTTCTTGAATGAGAATCTAGGTGGATTACCACATCTATCTTTACCAAAATTGATTTTGAAAGCACTGTACTTGTAATAAAATTGTGCTGCATGTTCTCCATTACCACCAAGAGCATTTGTCAACTTGAATATAGCTTCTTCCACGTCTGCCTCGAAAGCTTCAACAATCTTTATAGCATCCACAATGTTCAAAAAGTTCAAAAACCCACAATCTTTATTATGATAAAAGTTTATTTGTTCCAACTCGCCAATCTCGGAAAAATCTTGCCTCAATTCTTCCTCATTAGGCAATACTGGTTTGGGCTCTTGCTCGTCTCGATTAGTCTTTATTCCTATATACACGTTACGCGATGCACCAGCTGTAACTGCAAGTGCAATATCGCGAGACAAAGGTCCACTATGTTGCTTACCCCAACCTACTGTCACATCATAACCGTGAATTACCAACTGGTGCAGCACCTGGTGATTCATATAGAATTTGAATGCTATATGTGGATCGATAAATGTAATAAAGCACATCTTTTTTTCGGGGAAGTATTTGATGGACTCGACTAAACCGCCAGCCCTAACGTTATTGGCAATTTCCTCAATTGTTGTACTGGGGTGTAAGTTACCCAAATACAAAGATCTGTTCCCAGTGGGGACATGAGCTGGATTTTGAGTTGAAACAAGGGAGAAACTTGAATGAGGAGTGACATAAGGTGTATTTGAGACAAAAGACGGCATTGAGAATAGTTGTGGTGCCAGTCTATTATGATGACTGAACCTCGAGCTTGATGAAACCACTGAATAGGCGCCATTGCTAACTGTGGAACGGTCACCGTCATCTTCGTTTGAGTTATTATTGTAAACATCTCTCAAAATCGGAGACTCATTGTCAACATCTGACGAGTTGGGGCTAACGGGGTCCAAAATATTGACATTTCTGATATTTCTTTGTTCAGGTGAATCAATAAGACTGCTTATATCAGAGCTATTATCCAAGGGACCTCCTCCATTAGCAACAACAACATCATCATTATCATTACCACCATTACTATTATTGTTATTGTTGATATTGCTGTTATCATCATCATCATCATCATCATCAAACCCAACCTCTGCAGTTGTTGCTAAAAACGGATTCGTATCTTGTGACAATGGCTTAATGCTGTTTCCATTTTGTTTCAATTCACTTTCAATTGGTGTTCTATCACATCTATCCTTTTGAAACAGGGTTGCAAGAAACAAACATTCAAATTTTAAATTTGAGTTTTTGCTCTTTCTATCATGAATCTTTTTTGCTAAATCGTGTTGTATTCTTCTAGAATAGTTCTCGTAAGCCTTGATTGCAGAATCAATAGAAATAAAATGAACAACTACTTTTCCAGAAGTGTATTGTTCTAACCTCTCATCCTTTTCCTTTGCTTTCTCTTGCTGCCCTTCATTTGCTTTCTCTTGCTGCCCTTCATTTGCTTTCTCTTGTTGCCCTTCATTTGCTTTCTCTTGTTGCCCTTCCTTTTCTTCTTCCTTCTCCTCCTCTTTTTCGGCAATAAGGGGGTCCTCTAAATTAAGTCGAAAATCTTCAACGTCACCATACTTTTCCAACTGGGTTATGAGAAACTGTTGAATCCGGTCAATTCGATCTTCCTCTGTTGTTGTCTCTTTGGAAAGATTGATGATTTTAAAATCCAAACTCAAACATCGTGTTGCTTGGAATTTTAAAATATAATTCAAAGTCTTTAGCTTGATATAATCCTGCTTTGAATTTGCTGTTGCGCTTCTATTACCGTTGATATCGTTCAAATAAATTTTCAATTGGTTGGATTTCAAATTCTCCTTCAATCTCGTCAAATTAGCGACATTTTTAGCATAAGTCAAATAAAACAATACCGAGATTTTGGAGTTGACAAATGATATGTAGCAAACCTTTGTTTTGACATCGGCACCAACATCACTTGCACCATTCTCACCTTCTGAGCCAGTCCTTTTGTTTTGAAAGAATTTAGGGGTCTGTTTGGTAAACAATTTGATATATTTGATGGGCCCAAAATCTATATGGTTCAATAGTTCGTGTAATGTTATATCTTCAGACAAGTTTTTCAATATGATAGTCCTTGAGAGGTTCAATTGGTCGAAATTGTGGTTTAGCATTGATTCTTGTTCATGCAATGACATTTGAGAATTTTGCCCTGATGGTGTGAGATAGAAGAATGGCATATCTGCCGACGCTGCTGGTGGTGGTGCGCTGCCACTGAGGCCGCCACTGAGGCCACCACCGCCCAAGTTTGAGTTGCTTGAATTTCGATGCTTCATTCTCAACGAGTGCAAACTTGGCGAGGACAACGGTTGAGGCGAACCATTTCGAGAGTCTTGTTGCAGATGAAGAAACGAAACGTACTGAGCAGATGGAGGAGGCGTGAAATAAGGGGAAATGTAAAGCAAATTCGAGGGCACCATCGATTGGTTATAGCTGAGATCCAAGGGGGTCATAGGTGTGTTGTGTGTGTGTGTATAATTTTGGTATTGGTACTGAGGGTGAGGGTGGTTTGGGTGGTTTGGGTGGTTTGATGGGAGTGATACATACTGCTGAAATTGTAGTGTAGGCGGTAAGTTCTCCATTGACCTAGAATGAGTATTAGCAAAATAGCCACCTTGTTGCTGGTACATAACAAGTTTTTCCTAATAAAGGGGGGATACAAACTGACAGCAAAAGAACTTATTTCAATGTGGTATAATAAAGGTGTATATATCACTAACCACACATGGGACATATATATTTACAACAAACAAACAAACTAAGAAAAAAAAAAAATGTGAAAAAAAAAAACTATGAAGAAAAAGAAAAACCATAAAAGAGTAAACGTATAAAAATAAAAATGTGTATGGGTGTGTTAAGTTAGTAAGGTGTTGTATCTTGGGTACACTAGGGAGCGAAGCGAGCTAGTGGAGCAGGTATGAAGAGAAAAAGCTACACACTTTTCTCACCTTTTGGCAGTGTGAGAACACCCCGCACGCACTAGTACACATTCCGAGTTTAGAGAATTAACGCAAACTTAGTATTTTGTTACTACTCTATACTATACACCTCACTATAAAAATTTGTTCAAGGAGCGCCATTTCAAGGGGATGAAAAACAAGTGTAAATTTTTTTTCTCTCTCTTTCTCTTTGTCTCTTTGTTTCAGAAATATTAAGTTGCCTAAATCTTTTATCTAGTAGTAGAAAATAAAATTGAAATTGACTTGATTGAATCTGTTGCCTTGATCAATAATCGTACATACGGGTTTAGTTGTATGTCTTGTATCTTGTATCTAAAATCTTGTATCTTGATGTGACATTATTATCTAGTGTTTGCCTTGTACGTAAACTATAAAACTATTTAGAGAATACTTGTAACCTATCACTATCGACACTATCTATCACTATCGACACTATCTATCACTATCGAGCGGAGCGAGATAGTGGAACAGCACCTAATAGCAGCCTATCACTATCGAGCGAAGCGAGATAGTGGAACAGCACCTAATAGGAACCTATACACACTATCGACACTTTTGACACTATCAAACCCGTGTGTTACAACTATATTAATAATTGTATTGCCTACATCTATAATTGTATAATCTATCTATAATTGTATCACCTGTATTACCTATCTATAATTGTATAACCTATTTTTTTATTGTATAACCTGTTTTTATTTTGTATAACCTGTTTTTATTTTGTATAACCTGTTTTTATAAATTGTATAAATAGCTGTTTTTATAAATTGCATCTATAACTATATCTAGATTGTATCTATAACTATATATATAGCCTGTATCTATAACTTGTTTTATACCTTACAATCTGTATTATAAACTATAATGTAATTGAACACTATACATTTACAGATTTTTTACTAGTTATTGTATTAAGGTCTAATTAAAGAATTTGAAATAAAAAATTCAAAACTAAAATCATCTTAAAGGCTTTCCCAAGGCTTTCTCTGGGGCTTTCTAAGGCTTTCTAAGGCTTTATCGGGCTTTCTCTAGCGCTCTAAGACTTTCTCTGGGGCTTTCTCTAGGACTTTCTAAGACTTTCTCTAGGGCTTTCTCTAGGGCTTTCTCTAGGGCTTTCTAGGACTTTCTCTTGGACTTTCTAGGACTTTCTCTTGGACTTTCTCTCTAATCTCTTTTCTCTAATCTCTTTTCTCTAATCTCTTCTCTCGAGGTCTCTTCTGTCGAGGTCTCTCTCTCTAGTCTCTCTCTAGTCTCTTTCTCAAGGTCTCTTCTGTCGAGGTCTCTCTCTCTAGTCTCTCTCTAGTCTCTCTCTAGTCTTTCTCTCTAGTCTCTCTCTAGTCTCTCTCTAGTCTCTTTTCTCTCTTCTGCTAATCTAGTGTGGCTTTAGTTGGTTGTAGCTATTTGCTTTTGTGATTCTTGTTAAGCTCTTAAATTAACAGTGGTAGCATTAAATAGACCTAAACGAGTATTACGAGAAGATATTATCGGTGAAAGCACTTTTCTCGCGCCATTTTGTCGACACTATCGACACTATCGACACCATCGAGCGGAGCGAGATAGTGGAGAAACACTTTGTAGTGACACTATCGACACTATCGACACTAGCGAGCGAAGCGAGATAGTGGAGCAGCAATGACTATCCCCACACCCTCTTTACAGTCTCTCTTCTCTCTATCTTCAATCTCTCTCCTCTTTATCTACAATACCTCTTCTCTCTATTTACAATATCTCTTCTCTCTATTTACAATTTCTCTTTTCTCTATCTACAATCTCTCTTCTCTTTATCTGCTCTTTCCGTCAACTAGATTCGTTTCACTCGTCATCTCGCTTTGCGCGGTAGTGTCGATAGTGTCGGTGGCAGGTACAAAGTGTTGCTCCACTATCTCGCTCCGCTCGATAGTGTCGCTCGATAGTGTCGTTTTGGCTGCGAAAAAAATAAAAAAAAATAAAATAAATATCAAAATGTAGCAGCAACCATTGAAACTCTCAGATACATCTTTGGATCTTGCAATAGGCATTAAATATTTATTTTCAAATAAAAAGAATGACTGAAATTAAATGAAATGGCGACACTATTGAGCGAAGCGAGATAGTGGAGCAACACTTTGGGAAGTAAATGTGAGATATTTTGGATCTGAAAAGAGACAAATGTTGTGCAACTGTTGCTCTACTGCTGCTACTGCTGCTCTACATATTACTGCTACTGCTGCTCTACATGTTATTGCTACTATGTTTCCACCTTTTGTTGCCTTTTCCTTACTTTAAATTTATTCTTCCACTTGCCTCTTTTTTTCTCCTTAAAAATGCATTTGGATCTTGCACTTTTTTTTACACTGCTATATTGGAAGGAATTAGAGCAACTTTTAATCTGAAAAGGTAGTGTCGATAGTATCGGTAACAGACACTATCGAGCAGAGCGAGATAGTGTAGTAACTAGTTATTGATGTTCCACTATCGACACTATCGACACTATCGACACTATCGAGCAGAGCGAGATAGTGTCGTAACTAGTCATTGCTGATCCACTATCTCGCTCTGCTCGATAGTGATCCATTTCATATTTACAGGTGATTCTTCAACATTATCAAAACACTAGGCTTTAGGTAAATTAATGCTCTTTTTTTCATCACCCTAGTAGAGGTTTCTTTTTAAGAATGTCGGAAAATTGAAATTGCTTATGCAGGTGTCGCAACAAGCTATCAAGTGTAGTGGCGACAATATCGGGCAGCTAGTGTTGCTCCACTATCGAGGAAAGTGAGATTGTGTAAGAAATTTCAATTTTTCAATTTTTTGTCAATTTCGCAGCCAAAAAGCAAACTTACCAGTACAACTTTAAAGGGCATTAGAACCTCTCGACACTATCGAGCAAAGCGAGATAGTGTTGTAACAAACTAGTCAGTGTTCCTCCTTGTTACAACACTATTGAGCAGAGCGAGATAGTGTTCTCGCTCTGCTCGATGGAGCAACACAGTAGCTCAGTAGCTTGTTACAACACTATCTCGCTTCGCTCGATAGTGTTCTCCAGGTCGTGTAATCGACCAACCAATTCTATTCTCCCTGACGACAAAATTTTTCCTTAGTTTTCTTTTTTTCCAAAAAAAAAAGTCTCTTGCATCGAAAGCGCTGATTTCAAATACAAAACAGGTTGAAAGAAATCTCATTGATATTTTTTTTTTTTTTTTTTTTTTTTTTCTTTTTTTTTTTTTTTTTTTTTTTTTGTTNTTTAAAGTATAATTCTAAATTACCTTCTTCTATATAAGACTTTTTTTTTTTTTCATCATCATCATTACACAGAGGAGAAGATTTTATAGATCAAAAGGAAAATTATGTCAACTCAAGAGGTTCCTACTTTTAAATTGGTTTTAGTCGGAGATGGTGGTACTGGTAAAACTACTTTTGTCAAGAGACACTTAACCGGAGAGTTTGAAAAAAAATACATTGCTACTTTAGGTGTCGAAGTTCATCCATTAGGGTTCCACACTAATTTCGGTGAGTTGAAATTCGATGTTTGGGATACTGCAGGTCAAGAAAAATTCGGTGGGTTGAGAGATGGTTACTATATTAATGGTCAATGTGGTATTATTATGTTTGATGTCACTTCAAGAATTACTTATAAGAATGTTCCAAACTGGCATAGAGATTTGGTTAGAGTTTGTGAAAACATCCCCATCGTGTTATGTGGTAACAAGGTAGACGTCAAAGAGCGTAAAGTCAAGGCTAAAATGATTGTTTTCCATAGAAAGAAGAATTTACAATATTACGATATCTCAGCTAAATCAAATTACAATTTTGAAAAACCATTTTTATGGTTGGCTAGAAAATTGGTGGGAAACCCACAATTGGAATTCGTTGCTTCTCCAGCTTTGGCACCACCTGAAGTTCAAGTCGACTCTGATTTGATGCAAAAATACCAACAAGAAATGGAGCAAGCTACTGCTTTGCCATTGCCCGATGAGGATGATGCTGATTTGTAAAAAAAGAAACAGAAAAAAACACAAACACACACCTAAAAAGAGAGAGAGAATTGAGAATGAGAATGAGAATGACAGAGAGAATGAGAGAGAGAGAGAGAATGAGAGAGAGAGCAGAGAGAGAGCAGAGAAAGAGAGAGAGTTTTTAGTAGGTAAGTAGAGAAGTAAGAGCGTAAAAGTGTAATAGCAATTAAGCTTGAAAGATTGATTTAGATGTAAAGGATCTGGCCTCTCAAAGATTCATCATTATTTTCCCCTTTATATAGCCTCATGTTTTGTGCATTTTAAAATAGCTCTTCTGTGTTCTTGAACATTGTTAAACACTGCAGGAGGCGGCAATGGCAATCCATTAAGATGAGGCGGCGGAGGTAGAGAAAACAGCTGCTCTTCACCATTCTCTACACCATTTTCATTTCTTTGTTTCGCCAGGTCGATATCCATCGCATCCTCATCCCTATTACTATTCATATCATCATTTCTCCTTTTCTCCAGTACGGTTATATTACTTGCCCGTCTATCGCCACCAGGTATTCCCCTATTCAATTTATCAAACGTTATCTCATAAACCAAATCCAGCGGATTCCATTCACCTGTTTCCTTTGCCTTTAATTCGTAATAATCACAATAATACTTTATATGGTTTTTACCCATCAAGTGGGATTTTCGCACACTTAGCGTATCATGTGTGAGATACGATTTACAATAATCACAGTAATACTTTGGCATCTTTCACTTACTTGCTCCAACTATAACTAACCTTTTCTAACCTTCAACAACAACTAATGGTGTTATACATCACGTGAGCAATTTTTCAAAGAGATGGACTTTTTTCCCTATTGCTCTAACCAATTGAATTATTGTATTTCGTTTATAACTAACCAAAAGAGGAAGTTTTGGGTAAGTGCACTACCACATTGAAAAAAAAAAAAAGAGAGAGAGAGAGAGAGAGACAACGCAAGAAGGAGAATTCAACAAAGGAGTCGATAAAGATTAAAGAGTGGATATTAGATCTAATTGGAAAAAATTGCTTGTTGGTGAAGATGTTTAGACAAATTACGGTATGTGAATTGAAAGACACTATCAAGCGACACTATCGAGCGAAGCGAGATAGTGGAGCAGTACTGATTAGCGACTCTGTGACACTATCGAGCAGAACGAGATAGTGGAGCTGCATTGACTAGTGATACTGTGACACTATCGAGCGACACTATAGAGCAGAGTGAGATAGTGGAGCTGCTTTGACTAGTGATACTGTGACATTATCGAGCGACACTATCGAGCGAAGCGAGATAGTGGAACAGTACCGATTAGCGACTCTGTGACACTATCGAGCAGAACGAGATAGTGGAGCTGCATTGACTAGTGATACTGTGACACTATCGAGCGACACTATAGAGCAGAGTGAGATAGTGGAGCTGCTTTGACTAGTGATACTGTGACATTATCGAGCGACACTATCGAGCGAAGCGAGATAGTGGAACAGTACCGATTAGCGACTCTGTGACACTATCGAGCAGAACGAGATAGTGGAGCTGCATTGACTAGTGATACTGTGACACTATCGAGCGACACTATAGAGCAGAGTGAGATAGTGGAGCTGCTTTGACTAGTGATACTGTGACATTATCGAGCGACACTATCGAGCGAAGCGAGATAGTGGAACAGTACCGATTAGCGACTCTGTGACACTATCGAGCAGAACGAGATAGTGGAGCTGCATTGACTAGTGATACGGTGACACTATCGAGCGACACTATCGAGCGAAGCGAGATAGTGGAGCAGTACTGATTAGTAACACTGTGACACTATCGAGTGACACTATCGAGTGACATTATAGAGCAAAGCGAGATAGTGGAGCAGCATTGACTAGTGATACTGTGACATTATCGAGTGACACTATCGAGCGAAGCGAGATAGTGGAGCAGTACTGATTAGCGACTCTGTGACACTATCGAGCAGAACGAGATAGTGGAGCTGCATTGACTAGTGATACGGTGACACTATCGAGCGACACTATCGAGCGAAGCGAGATAGTGGAGCAGTACTGATTAGTAACACTGTGACACTATCGAGTGACACTATAGAGCAAAGCGAGATAGTGGAGCAGCATTGACTAGTGACTCTGTGACACTAGCGAGCGACACTATCGAGCGAAGCGAGATAGTGGAACAGTACTGATTAGTGACTCTGTGACACTACCGAGCAGAGCGAGATAGTGGAGCTGCATTGACTAGCAACACTATCTCGCTTCGCTCGATAGTGTTGCTCGCTAGTGTTGCTTTCTAGTTTCATTTTAAAACTACTACTAACTCACCAATTTTCTAGCGCCTTTCGTCAAAGAGGTTATTTTCAGTTACACCAAGAAGATCAAATTTGATTGGTGACTTGTATGTCAATAACATCAGACAGTTTAAACCAAAACCATTAAGCCAAGAGGAAGTTGATGCTGCTGTAAAGAAGTTCCAATTGCCTGGTGTACCTACAATTCCTCAAATTCACGATTTATCGGTTGATCAAGTTAAGGAATACGAAAGTAGTGAAGTTGAAACTCAACAACCAGAGTCCAGTGCAAGTGCTGAGGATTTGGGCGATGATGGAGATTGGTTCGTTTTTGATACTGCTGAAGATGCATCTCATTAAGAGGATTATATACTAGATTAATTGAAACCTAACATATTCATCCCCCTCTCGCCTTTCTCTTTTAGGTTTAAAACTTCTCGACGCTCATTACGTCCCTACTCTCTTACCGATACACTCTCATGGACCAGGTACCAGAGCAAAAACAGTTTTCTTTTCCATCATTGCCTTGATAGCTGAAACGCGCTTTTCCTGTTGTTTACTTTTTTGTTTTTCCAATAAGTAAAACACAAACAAAGAGAAGAAGAAGAAGGAGAAGACAAAGAAGAAGAAGAAGACGAAGTAGAAGGAGAATTTGGTAATAACAAAGTATTCTCTTCAAAAACAAATGTCAAGTATGGATCTAAAAAAGGAAATAGAGACTTTTCGAGCTCAATCAAGCTGGGTAGATAAATCATTGCGCTCTCGTGCTTACATTGATACAAAACTTTTGTTTACCAGCATCAATTGGCAAGAATTGATATCTGATCAAATACAAACCAATCCGCAATTGAAGGACTTGGAAATTACAAAAACGATACTCAGGAATGACCAGAGTATAATCAGCATAATTAAGGAGCTAATTGCTAGTATTGACAAGTATCGAAACCAACAAAATCTCACTAGTGACATCTTGTTATCGAAAAATAAAAAGATTCAAGAGTTGAACAATAAAGTGAAAGATTTAGAAAAGAAGTTGGCCTCTGCCGAGAATAAAAGTCGAGATAAAAGTATCGATCAAACTACGCTAACCAGGGATGTCATTCATCTTAGAAAAGTCAACAGGATTCAAACGCAGAATCTTTATAACTTAACTAATCTATCAAAAGATTTGAAATTGAAACATCGAATAGATATGAAAAAGAAAGATTTAGAAATAAGTAGTTTGAAGAATAAGTTGATTGAAAGGAGAAGTTTGAGCTCAACCATTGAATATGGGATTCCATTAACACCGTCGCCTGCTCAACAACATAACCTAGAAGACTCTAATCAACAAGATGGAATATTCCATAATGAATCAATTATTGATGTGGGGACTGAATCAAACAGTCAAGGACAAGGTCCAAGTTTAGCACACTTAAAAGGTGTAATCGACAAAGAAAACACCAGATTTGTTTGCAATTTGACAAATATAATCGAAAGTATAGCTACTGAAAATTACAAGCTAACTAGATTTATTCAATACGTCAAGGATTACATCATTGTAGTCAATTCAAAGTTGTTGCATTTGAAAGATACTGGCGCGGATGTGGAAATGCCAAACCCTTCAGATTTGATTGATTTGCAAAATATAAATAAAGTCGAAAAATCAACAATGAGTCATTATTATAACGAAATTGAGAGTTCAGAAACCATTGAAAGACCAGTTCTCAATGAGATATACAAGATGTATCATAATCTAGGTGATATAGTTGAGCTATTGAATAACCCCAATTTCAATAGAAGCTCAGAACTGACCATAAAGAGTCTACAAAATGATTTAAAAACAATGGAAACCAACTGGAAAGATGCTTTAAAAACATCTGAAATTTGGAAAAATCTAGCGAAAGAAAACCAAAAGGAAAAAAGATAATGATGGCAGTGATGATATCAATAAAAATACTACCAATAGTAATAACTACTATTACTACTACTACTACTACTACTACTACTAACAAAAACAATAAATATCAATATTTTATCATCTCAAGGAAATAGAAAATTTTGTTCCCCCCTGTGGAGTTTTCGGGTCAAGAGTCTTATTCAACGTTATGACACATAAAGGGAAATCCTTTACATCATCAACTTCGGATTTCTCTTGCTCCACCTTTTGCTTGCGAACCAAGTCTGCACTCAGCGGTGTAGAATCTAGAAAGAAATTGAGCAATTTCCCAGAACAGAAAACTTTTTTATACCAAATATGCAGTTTGGTAATAAATACTTCTTTTGCATTTGTGTTATTATCAACCTTATTCGAATCACTACTTTTATCGAGAAGCAATAGCGTTGTATCTTTGTTGATTGCCAAATCAGTTTGCCCTAGCTTTCTTTTTAGTTTTATAACTCTTTCGTGCGTAAACAAGTCGTCTTCCTCATCAAATAAGTAAAAATAATTTATACGAATGAGATCGCCAGGCTGTAACATGTTGAACTCTGTGGATCGCGTGCCATGAAATGGCTTAACGACAACCACTGTTTCGCCAACACTAATAGACTCGTTGGAATAAGGGTCAGTTACTTCTCGAATTACAATCTCTGCACTATCACTTTTCATTGGATCTTTTTGAGTTACTGTAGGCGCATCTTTGTAAACATTTGCGCTCAATGGTTGTCCTACGATTGTTGGCTCAAATTCCTCAGTGTTTTTATCGTTCTCATCATCATCATCATCATTATTGTTGTTGTTGTCCTCTGCTGCTGCGTCATGGAATACGGGACCATTTATGGACAGGCAAAGAGTATTAAACTTTTTCATAAACTGCCTTTTCGTACAAATTGACTCAAAGGTTTCATCAGCACTCTTGTATTCCAGATTTTCGCCAATGCTTGTGTTTGAAATTGCAGAAACTTGGTTTGAGGGTAAAGGTTGAGCTTTCAACAGGGGTTGTCGACGAGTTTCAAACAAGCTCTCATTGTTTTGAGGTGGAATTGACGAGTTGGCAAGCAGTTTGTTGACGGAGTTTAAAGGGAAACTATTTAGGGCAAATTTTGAACATTGGTCAGTTGCCATATGCTTTGGCAGGTTTTGGTTTGTGTCCATTGACTGCTGCTCCAAATCTGGAAGTGAGCCTTGAATGGGAGAATGGTTTAAAGATTCCACAGACGGGGATGGGAATAGTCTATTCAAATGAGTTTCTAGCTGCGCTCGTTTTCTTGGGTAAAACAAGAATGGCCAGCATGGCTTCATGCAATAGCCAATAAGCATTATAATGACCAAAATCGTAGCGTAGGATAAGATAAGAATTACTAGCAAGCTTACATTTGTGATACTCATACTTTGTAAAAAAGTAACCCTCTAAACCTGACCTATGAGCCTGAACCTGAGCTACGAGCCTGAGCCTAAACCTGAGCTATGAGCCTAAACCTGAACCTGACCTATGAGCCTGAACCTGAGCTTGCAACCTATATTTGAGCTATGAGCCTAAATCTGAGTTTGCAACCTAGATTTGAGGTATGAATCTCTGAATTTAACCCTCGAGTCTCTTGGACTGAGTTTGACCCCTAAACCTAACCTTCCAACTAACTTTTATTCTTAAAGGTGATATATAAAGAGATTTATTTTTGGTTGCAAAAAATTACCCAAAAAAAAATACTCTTGAATTTGCACACTATGAGAAACATGGAAAAAAAGTATTAGGTGCGACACTATTAAGCGAAGCGAGATGGTGAAGCAGCACATAAAACACTAAAGAGTAAAGCAGCACTTGAAACACTGGGCCCTAAAGAGTAAAGCAGCACTTAAAACACTGGGCCCTAAAGAGTAAAGTAGCACATAAAACATTGGACCCTTGTAAAGAGTAAAGCATGAGTAATGTTCTACCTGGGCTTAATTGTATAAAGCATCAAAGCATAAAGTAGTAAAGTATAAAGCAGTAAAGTATAAAGCATTAAGTAGTAAGTAGTAAGTATAAAGTAGTAAGTAGTAAGTATAAAGTAGTAAGTAGTAAGTATAAACTATTAAGTAATAGTGTAATAAAGTATAAAAGTACACTATAAAGAATAAAAGTATTGAATATAGAATTACTATAAAAGATTAAAAGCATATAGATACACACTATAAAGATAATAATATATAAAGATATAAAAGTATACTATATTATATAAAAGTACACTATATTATATAAAGTATATAATAGATAGTAGAATATAGTAGAATATTGTGAATAGTAGATAGCACATAATAATAGTATCACAGTATACAATCGTTTTTATAGTAATCTACTTTATAGGGAGGGAAGCGAGCTAGTGGAACAGAAATGACTAGTTACGACACTATCGAGCAAAGCGAGATAGTGGAAAAGCAGTAACTAGTTACGACACTATTTTGCCTTGCTCGATAGTGTCGATAGTGGAGCACCAATGATTAGTTACGACGCTATCTCGCTTTGCTCGATAGTGTCGATAGTGTCGATAGTGGAGCGGCAATGACTAGTTATGACACCATCTCGCTTTGCTCGATAGTGTCGATAGTGTCGATAGTGGAGCAGCAATGACTAGTTACGATATTATCTCGCTTTGCTCGATAGTGTCGATAGTGTTAGTGTCCTCAAATATCAATCTTTGCATTTTTGATAAATTTGTCAAATTCCTCCTCGTCATCATTTTCAAACTCTTGCAACAAAAGTTTTTCCCTCTCCATCTCCTCCAATTTCGCCTTTTCGCTCTCCTCATTTAACTGCTTGTATTTCCTTTTCGATTTTTTCATCTTGTTTGCTTTAACTTTCTGAGCTCTATCATGAAGAATAGCATTTCTACTTGTCGTGGGGTTATATAAATCGTCCAATTTCAAAGCCAAAATCTCCCTTGCTTTCTTCCTATTCTGTTCCTGTGACCTAGAAGCTTGGCAGGTGACTACAATACCCGTTGGAATATGGGTTAATTGCACTTTTGAATTCGTCTTGTTGATTTTCTGCCCCCCTGGTCCACTTCCCCCCTTTAAAAACTTTTCCTTAAGTTCTTCTTCCTTTATGAGCCATTTTGGACGCGGCGGTAGTCTATTCTTTTTGGGAAGAGCATATACTAGAGAGGAAAAAGATATCTGTCTCTTAATAAAGCGTAGCATTTAAATCCACAAAACAAATCACTTACAAATCATACAAATCCTATCAAGACGCCAAAGGGGGGGAGGGGCCTAAGGGCCCAAAGGGTCGTCCCCCCTCCCCACCACCAAAAAAAAAAAAAAAAAAAAGAAAAGCCCATCTCTGCTAGTCTGGTTTCTTTTAACATTTGGTAGCGATTTAGAAAACTTTTACACGCCCTCTCTCTCTCTCTCTCACAAAAATAAACACGTTAGACGCGTTTGTCATTTTAACCCAATTGGGAATTGTAATTGGGAAACGGGCCATCGCCGCCTTGATTAAACAGCGATAACTGAGCTGAGCTTACATAATTGTTTTTAATGTTTTTTCGCTCTCACTCTCTCACTCTCTTACTCTTACTCTTCTTTTCTTCAACTTGCTAATCACTTCTTCTTCTTCTTCTTCTCTTATAAGTATATCAGAAGCTGTAAAGGTTAACAAGGATTAGTTATGTCGTTTGATGGGCCAAGTGTCTATTCGGCACATGTTTTGCCAGGACAAGAACCTGATGACAACTCTTTCAACGAGATTACAAAAGCGTTTCGTTCATTCATTTTAGAGTTTAGATTGGACTCGCAGTTCATATATAGAGATCAATTGCGAGAGAATTTATTAATTGACAATTACTTTCTCAAAGTCGATAGCGAACACCTTATTAATTTCAATGAGGAGTTGAATAAAAAATTGACCGATGATCCGGTAGAGATGATTCCCCTTTTTGAAAGCGCTATAGCCGATATTGCAAAAAGAATTGCATACTTGTCCAAAGACGAAATACCAGCCAATTTCCAAACTTGCCAATTGATTCTATATTCACAAGCAAACAAAGTTTCAATTAGAGATTTGGACTCGAAACATATCGCGAAAATCGTTAGGATCAAGGGTGTTGTTATATCCGCGTCTATGCTATCGTCAAGAGCCACTCAAGTTCAATTGATTTGTCGTCAATGTAAACACACAATGCAGTTGAAAATCAGGTCAGGGTTTGGGCAAATCCAATTACCAAATTGCCAAAGTCCACATAATATCGATTCAAACTCAGCTCAAGAAAAATGCCCTCCCGACTCTTATGTTATCGACCATGACAAATCCACATTTGTTGATCAACAAGTATTGAAACTACAAGAGAGTCCTGATATGGTCCCTGTTGGTGAAATGCCCAGGCATATTTTGTTGCAAACTGATAGATACTTGACAAATCAAGCGGTGCCAGGAACAAGAATTACAATCGTTGGTATATACTCCATTTTTCAATCGAAGCAGAAAACCAGCAACTCGGGTAATGGTGGTGGTGGCGCAAGTGGTATTGCAATTCGTAACCCGTATTTAAAAGTACTCGGTATTCAAACCGATATTGATAATGGTGCTAACGGACATGGAATTACTTTTAGCGAAGAAGAGGAAGAGGAATTTTTGAAATTGTCGAGAATGCCCAACTTGTACGAAGTGTTTTCAAATTCAATTGCACCTTCAATTTACGGAAATAGGGATATCAAAAAGGCAATCACTTGTTTGCTAATGGGTGGATCAAAGAAAATCTTGCCAGATGGTATGCGTTTGAGAGGTGATATCAATGTACTTTTATTGGGTGATCCAGGTACGGCCAAGTCTCAGTTACTAAAGTTTGTTGAGAAAATTGCTCCGATTTCAGTTTATACCTCAGGTAAAGGTTCCTCTGCTGCGGGATTAACTGCTTCTGTCCAAAGGGATCCACAGACTAGAGATTTTTATTTAGAAGGAGGTGCTATGGTCTTGGCAGATGGTGGTGTTGTTTGTATTGATGAGTTTGATAAAATGAGGGAAGAAGATAGAGTGGCAATCCACGAAGCTATGGAACAGCAAACGATTTCAATTGCCAAAGCCGGTATTACAACCATGTTGAATTCGAGAACATCAGTATTGGCAGCAGCAAATCCTGTATTTGGAAGGTATGATGAGTTCAAAAGTCCCGGAGAGAATATCGATTTCCAAAGTACAATCTTGTCTAGATTTGATATGATTTTCATCGTGAAAGATAACAGTAACGAGAGCAGGGATATTTCAATAGCACAGCATGTTATGAATGTACACGCTGGTGGTAAGACCCAGGAACTACAGCAAGAAGGTGAAATACCAATTGAAACAATGAAAAGATATATACAATATGTCAAGCTTCGATGCGCACCACGTTTAAGTCCAGAAGCATCTGAAAGATTATCGTCACACTTTGTTTCCATTAGAAGAAGACTACAGATTAATGAAAATGAAATGAATGAGAGATCTTCAATACCCATTACTGTACGTCAACTAGAAGCTATTATTCGTATAACTGAATCCCTAGCCAAATTGAGGTTAAGTCCAATTGCAACTGAGGAGCATGTCGAAGAGGCAATCAGATTATTCACCGCCTCGACTATGGACGCTGTTGACCAGGGAGTAGGGAACAGTACAAACGTGCTGCTCAATGCCGAGATCAAGAAAGTTGAACAAGAGTTAAGGAGAAGGTTACCCATTGGCTGGTCAACTGCATACAGGACATTGCAAAGGGAATTCGTTGACTCAGGACGGGCCAGTCGTTCAGCATTGGAAAAGGCTTTGTATATTTTGGAAAGGCACAATGTCATCAAATTTAGACACCAAGGTCAAAATATTCTACGTGTGGGAGTATAATTGTTGTATATTAAACTGTATTGATAAAAATAAAAGCAAAAAAAAAAAAAAAAGAAAACAAGAAAGAACCAAAACTATTTGATCATACCGCTGGTGGGTCTTTTAGACAGTTTTTACTCATCATCTTCATTGACGGCTTAACAATGTACATCTCAAATTTGAGGCTTGTTGCAACTTTGAACCGATTATGTAATTCCTCTTGCTTTGCTATCCTTTTTTTTGCCTAACCTTCACCACCTTTAAGCTTTCAATACAATAATAACCGAGTCTCCTCTCAAAAACATCTTACTGATAAACCTTTCTCTTGATACATTCTTAGCATTGCCAAATTCATTAACAATTTTTTCTGTCCATAACTCTTTGACATTTTCCAAAACCAAATTACAGTGTCTATCAAAGGCACGGACTTTTCCCACTAGCTTGTGATTGTTCCTACACGAAATGACTATCGGCAGGTTTTCCTTTTGAGCTTGATGTATTAGAGACATTGGACCATGTAGGAATTCAAATTCTTCTAGTTTTGCTAGTTCTTTTTCTGTTAGTTCCGAGCGTGGACGATCTATATATTCACTAAGAAAAAAAAAAAAAAAAAGGAAGGAAAACAAGTTAGTATGAGTGGCTGGTCGTAATAGTAGCGAGGATATAGTCACATACCTCATTGTAGCTTTCCAGTTTGCGTCAAGGGGAGGTATTGAGCTAAAAAAAAATTGATGTATGTTTTAGAGAGATGTAAGTTTAAAAGGGTTAGTTCTTGAAATATTTTTCATTACAGAAAGGTAGCCGCACATCGCACCAAACAATCAACAATATATTACATCTCTATATTTATGAGCGTCTACTTTATTTTAGAGGGTATCGACAATGGAGCACTTAGCAAGCAACCTCTTTTGATAATGTTTTCAATCCGATCTTTCAACACCTTTGAAGAACATTCGACTTGCAAATTTCTGTAATTAATGTGTGCAACGTTTTTGCCAATAGTTATTGTAGAAGAATAATCAGGTAAGTTGTTGAGAGCATCTCCAAACTGTGCTTTCAATAACAACAGAACCTTTTTGATTCTTGCTTCTATATCGTCGTCTGTGGTATACGTTTCTTCTTCCTTGGCATGGTGGTGGTGATGCGCTGACGTTAACTTAACTGACGCAGGAGAAGAGTCTATTGAATAGAGTATAGCGATAATACTGTCGGCAAGTGAGTCTGCCACTAGATTATCATTGATCCATTCGACAACTATATGTAATCCAGGACCTTTGGATTTGTCAATAAAAACATCCACAGAGTCCATGATTATGCATTCCCATTCCTCGTCATCGTCATTAATTATGTTGATGTAGCCAAACATCTGTTCGAGATGCCATATCATTAGGGAAATGTCAGCGTAAATTTTCAAGTTGATCTTGGACTTTACAATCGAGGTAGATAACTGAGAAAACTCATTCAAGTCTTGTAATTGCACAAGATTGAGGTCAAAATCTTTTGATACCAAGACCCCAGAAACTATTTGGCCTGGCTTAAATGTATCAACAGAAACGTTGTCTTTCTTTTGTTCCCCTTCTTCCACATTCATTTCCTCATCTTCATCCTCTACTTCCGTAATCTTTTCTTCCTCCAGATTTATATGCAGCTGTATCTCAGCCTTAAGCATCAGTAGCTGTTCTTCGGCTAAGGAACCTAGTATTTTTGCAATTTTCAATCCCTTGAAAGCTATGCGTAGTTCCTCGCAGTTCCTAGGATTATACACCTTGACTTCTTTATCGGTCCCCTTCTTTAAGGAATATTTACTCAACAAGGCGGACTTAAGTCTTCCCATTGGAACAGAGTCACCGTGAACCAAAATTATCTTTGAAGGGGAAACCTTGTCAATAAACTCTGAATTTTGTTGAAAATCAACGTGTGCTGCAAATGAAATTTCTTCAACTCCTATCCGTCGAGGTATACTCAAGTCTGGGTTCGTTGATGATTGTATTACTTGTGGTTCTTTGAGTATTTCCTTTGCCATCGTGCCTTCCACCGAGTATCCTGTCATAATAACTAAATTCTTTTGTTCTGGCGCCCATTTTTCCAACAACTGCCTAGAAACACCGGCTTGCAACATACCGGGAGTAGCTACAACCACTGATGGGCCAAGGTCCGAAAATTTCGACAAATTCTTTATCGATTTAATGTATTTAAATTCAAATGGATTAGATTTCTTGGAATTTCCAGAAGACGAAAGTCGTATGTTGTCGTTCATAATACCGGTATAGGTTTCATAAACAGCCATACATTTTCTAGCTAAATCAGAGCAGTAATAAACACTGACATTGTGCAAATCCTCATTCTTTTCCCAGTATTCCTCAAGAATTAATAAAAGTTCCTGGGCGTTACCTAGGGCAAAAACCGGTAGTAATACGCGGCCTCCCCTTGTAACTGTTGCATGTATGTGGCTTGTTAATTTTTTCTCCAACTCCGCCTTTGGCTCCAATGTTCCTGTTCCAAATGTAGACTCGATAACTAGAATATCCGGTCTTACTGGAGGAACTTCTGCTGCTTGCAAGTGTCTATTCTCTTCTCTTGAATAATCACCAGTAAACAAGATTTTCAAACCTCCAATTTCTATAAAGTACATACATGCACCAAGAACGTGACCAGCGTGGTATGCCGTGAATCTAATTCCATCGATTTCCATGGTTGAGTGATAATCAATAGTCTCTATGCGATCAAAGGACTTGAAAATGTCATCATCGGTATACAAGTTGCCTCCTTCATCGCTGCCACTGCCTCCGCTTTCATTTCTTGAGTTTCCAATTGAAGTTACTCGAACAAAATCTTGCATTAACCACCTATAAATGGCTTTAGTGGCATGTGTCATAAACACTTTCCCCTTAAAATTCGACTGCTGCATCACATATGGAAGTGATGCCGAGTGGTCGACATGGAAGTGACTAATCAACAAAATATCGACTTTGGAAAGATCGTACTCGTCGAAAAACGGGAACGATGCATGTCCGCTCAATGCTGGATGCATACCGCAGTCCAACATAATTACCTTATTCTTATACTCCAATATGTGACATGAGCGTCCAACCTCATTACAGCCTCCAAGGCCAAAAAACTTGAATTCCTCTTCATTGGATTCGTTTTGCTCGGACATGGTAATATGAAACTAGCAGAGTTTACTTGCTCTTTACTCTTGCTCTTTACTCTTGCTCTTCACTCTTGCTCTTCACTCTTGCTCTTCACTCTTGCTCTTCACTCTTACTCTTCACTCTTACTCTTCACTCTTACTCTTCACTCTTGCTCATTAATTGAAGTTTTTTTTTTTTTTCTCTTTAATGAATAAATAAATTTGTTCATCAAAGATAATGAGATTACATGTTTGGAGGAGGGCGGTGGAATAGTTTATTAAGGCGAAAGAGAGAGTAGAAAGCTAGTGTTATTGATATTGCGGTACTTGTTTAGGATCTACAAATTGCAGCGATGAAATTGAAGCTAATGACAAGAAGTACTGAGAAACTTAAAGAGACTTTATTGCTAATTACACATCTTCGAAAGTTTGTCATACTAAAGTTTAGTCCCGAAGAGCTTAGTATTATTCTGGTTAATGGTGGTTCTATTAACCTGGAACCTCAAGTCTGGTGCAAGCTTCCAGCTCATAGTCATTTTGAAGTAGTAGATGTTCAAAGTATGAGGGATAATATTATTCTGATGGAGATAAATATCGATCTTTTACTTCAAACTTTGAGAAATTTCGATAAGGCAAATAGTGAAGGGTTGAACATTAGGCTACAAAGAACAGATACTAGTGGCGAGCCAAGCACTGCCACGAAAAACGGAAGGACGGCGTCGTTGGCTCTTTTTTATTCCAATACCAATGTCAATTGCAATATAATCAACCATACGTTTAGGATCCCCGTTAAGATTTTACGAGAGGCCCAAGAGATTCTCAATGAACCGGTGCACCGAGATCATGGATTAATCATGCGGTTGCCTAGCCAGTTTGTCACTATGTTTAAGAGATTGGAAAAGTTTAAAAGGACAAATTTTAACGATAGAATGGTGATACAGGCTAGTAGAAGCAACGGCGGGCTGTTACGGTTTATTTTAGAAGAGGATGGCAAATTCAAAGTTACTATAAGTTGGAATGACCAATTGGAGGTGCATAAAACGACAAGCAGTAACGCAGATTCGATGAGAGAATCGTTGCATAATGGTAATGTCCACTCGGATGATGAGTCTAGTGCGGACAATCTTGAGGAATTGGAACTTGGAGTGAAATTGAAGGACTGGCAACAAGCTTCAAGGATAGTAGGGAGATGCCGCACAGTCATTCTATACATTGCCCAGCGTCAATGCAGTTTACATTGTTTATTGGATGATACCGATGATGTGGAATTGATATACTTTATTAATGGCGTAAGAAGCATACCTTTATAGATGAAAGGCCACCACTTCATTATCCCAGTAACCAATTATAGCTCGATGGTGTCGTGTGCTCCACTTGCTGGCTCTGCTCGATAGTGTCGATAGTGTCGGTGGCAGCTAGTGTTGCTCCACTATCGAGCAGTGACACTATCGAGCAATGACACTATCGAGCAGAGCGAGATAGTGTTGTAGCAAGCTACTGTCAGTGTGCTCCACTATCGAGCAGTGACACTATCGAGCAGAGCGAGATAGTGTTGTAACAAGCTACTGTCAGTGTGCTCCACTATCTTGCTCCACTATCTCGCTTTGCTCGATAGTGTTGCTCGATAGTGTCGCTCAATAGTGCCGATATGGGTTTCCTTACTACAACTTGTATTATTCAAAGTAGAGCACAAATACGTCAGAGAGCGAGATAGTGGAGCATACTGACCGACACTATCTCGCTCTGCTCGATAGTGATCTTAACCATTTTACGTTAACTAACTGTCTAATGCTCCAAGAAGAAGAGATGAGTCAGAAAGTTTGAACATGAACTTAGTTTAATTTTTTTTTTCTTTTGCTCATTGCATTGAAAAAAAAAATTAAAATGTTGCACTTCTCAATTTTTCAACATCAGTTGAGCTTGAATTTTCTTTTCAAAGTTAAACCCATTGTCAAAGCCTGTAATTTCTTTTTGAGATGTCTACACTGAGGGCGCTAGAGAGAGAAGAGCCAAGTTATTTTGGGGCTGGGCCTGCACTTTTACCAACAAGCGTATTACAGCAAGCGGCTTATGACTTGATTTCATATGAGAACGACTCTATTGGGATTGGTGAAATATCCCATCGTTCTAAGCCTGCTACTAAAGTAATTGACGATACCAAAGATAATTTGAAAACCTTGTTGAACATTCCAGACAACTATGAGGTTTTTTTCCTTCAAGGTGGTGGTACTGGTGGGTTTTCGTCTATTGCTTATAACATGATGGCTCATTATGCTAAAAGAACAGGTAAAAAAGGGAAAGCGGCATATGCCATTACTGGATCGTGGTCGGCAAAAGCACTCGAAGAGGCTCAAAGATTGGGGTTTGATTCCTACACTGTTGTCAATACAAAAGGTGACAATTATAGTGATATTCCTGCTTTTTCCAGATGGCAACCAATTCAAGAGGATACTGCGTATTTGTGGGTTTGTGACAATGAAACAGTATATGGTATTGAGTTCAACGACGTGCCGGGTGCAGACTATTTGCCTGCAGATGTTCCATTGGTCGCGGACATGTCTTCAAATATTTTGTCGAAAAAGATTGATGTTAGCAAGTATGGTGTAATAATGGCTGGAGCACAAAAAAATATTGGTATTGCCGGGTTGACAATTTACATTGTTCGAAAAGATTTATTGGACCAGGCTACCGATGCCGAATTGAGAAAGCTAGATATCCCATTGCTGCCTATCTGCTTCAACTTTCCAATAGTTGTTAAAAACAACTCTGCTTATAACACTATACCATTGTTCACCTGTCAAATCTTGAAGCTTGTAACTGAAAAATTAATCCAAGACAAGGGAATTGACGCAATTGAAAAGATCAACATCAAGAAGGCAGAGGTGTTGTATGAAGCATTGGAATCGTATCCAAATTTCTACAAATTGCCACTGACAAACGCAAAAGTAAGATCGAAAATGAACGTTGTGTTTAAAACCCCAAGTGAAGACTTGGACTCCAAGTTTGTTGAGGAGGCAAATGCAAAAGGGTTGAAAGGTTTAAAGGGACACAGATCCGTTGGCGGTAATAGGGCCTCTATATACAATGCGGTCTCGCTTGCTAGTGTAGAGAAACTCTCAAAATTTGTAAAAGAGTTTGCCGAGGCAAACTCTTGATCATAGCTCAACATTCATTTAACTTTAACTTGCTTTTACTTTCTTCTTGATTGATTCAATTGTCAATGTAGCAGATTTTCAATTTTCATTTTCTAAGCGCGCGCGTTTAAAGAGATGCCCATCGGTCTTTGTTCTTTTTTCATACTCGATAAGGAAATAGGTATTTAAGAAGTTGAACTATACCTTGCCCTTTTGTTAAAGAAATGCGACGACCAATTCTCCGGAGCTTGTCGTTTTTTCCAAAATGTCATTGGATGAAGACTAGTCGGTGCTATGCTACACTTAATTCTCCTAGGTTACCTGGAGCAGGAGGAGGAGGAGGAGCAGAAAAGAAACCAAAAGTTGGTACAGAACAATTTCGAAAAGAACTTGAGGAAAGGATATCCAATATACCTATTGAGAACTATAGAAACTTTAGTATTGTTGCACATGTTGACCATGGTAAGTCCACCCTATCTGATCGACTTTTGGAGCTAACGGGTGTGATAGAACCTGGGTGTAGGTCTCAGGTGCTTGACAGGTTGGACGTGGAGAGAGAACGAGGTATCACCGTTAAGGCCCAAACGGTTTCAATGATTTACAAAGATCCTAGTTCGGAAAGGGACTTTTTATTGCATTTGGTGGATACTCCGGGTCATGTAGATTTTAGGGCCGAAGTATCCAGAAGTTATGCTTCGTGTGGCGGTGCATTACTTTTAGTTGATGCATCTCAAGGTGTTCAAGCTCAAACAGTGGCCAATTTTTATTTAGCTTACAGCATGAACCTCAAATTAATACCTATCATTAACAAGATTGATCTTGGTCTGGCAAATGTACCATTGGCTATGGAACAAGTGGAGTCGACATTTGAACTTGATCCAAAAGATTGTATTGCAGTTAGTGCTAAAACAGGTTTAAATGTCGAAAATATTATTCCCGCAATTATCGAAAGAATACCTCCGCCCGTTGGTGATGAAAACAAACCATTGAAAGCTTTGTTGGTGGACTCGTGGCATGACCCTTATGTTGGTGTAGTAATGTTGGTACACATTGTAAATGGGAAATTGAAAAAGGGAACAAAGGTTGTTTCGGCACATTCTAGTAAGTCTTACGACGTGAAGGAAGTGGGTATATCCTATCCAGATAGAACCCCGATTCTGTGCATCAAAGCTGGACAAGTGGGGTACGTGATTCCTGGAATGAAGGATCCACGTGAGGCGCTTGTTGGAGACACATTTTTCGAATTGGGAAAAAACAAAGGATTGGAGCCATTGCCTGGATTTGAGGAACCAAAACCTATGGTTTTTGTTGGAGCCTTCCCAGCAGATGGTAAAGATTTCAAGGCGATGGATGATCAAATGCAAAACTTAGTGTTGAATGACAGATCTGTGAGCTTGGAGAAGGAAACCTCAAATGCTTTGGGCTTAGGTTGGAGGCTTGGATTCTTGGGCTCTTTACATGCTTCTGTTTTCAAAGAACGGTTGGAAAAGGAGTATGGGGCCAAAATCATTCTCACAGCACCCACGGTTCCTTATAAGATTATTTACAAAAACGGAAAAGAGAAAGTGATTACCAATCCAGATGAATTTCCGTCGAACAAGGTAACCGATCAAGTAAAGTGCTACATGGAGCCATACGTTGAGGCGATCATGACATTACCGAATGAGTATGTCGGGACTGTGATGACCCTTTGTTTGAATAATCGGGGTATACAGAAGGCAGTTGAATATTTGAATACAGGGCAGACGTTGTTGAAGTACGAAATTCCATTATCGCAATTGGTGGAAGATTTTTTCGGTAAGCTCAAAGGTTGTACAAAGGGTTACGCGTCGTTAGATTATGAGGAAGCTGGGTATAGAGATTCGGATATTGTGAAAATGGAACTATGTGTTAATGGAGAACCACAAGATGCGTTAACGACTATTGTCCACAGGTCGCAAGCTCAAGCCAGAGGGAAGGAATATGTGTCAAGGTTTAAAAAGTATTTACGTTATCAATTATTTGAAGTTGCAATTCAAGCCAAAATCAATAATAAAGCTATAGCTAGAGAAACAATCAAGGCTAAGCGCAAGGATGTTACTCAAAAATTGCATGCTGCAGATATCTCACGATATAAAAAGTTACTAGAAAGGCAAAAAGAAGGTAAAAAGCAGATGAAAGCTACAGGGCATATTAGTATTGGAAATGACGCGTACCAAGCTTTCTTACGACGAGATGATTAGAGTTAGACACTTGTATATATATATATATTAATAAGATACTTTAATTTTTTAAAAACTTTTTATAAAACACATTGTCAGTTTCCTCGGTGTAAGTGTAGCCGATATTCTTCAAAAACTCCTTGAAATCCTCTTCACTTCCAGAAGGTAAAATAAATCCACACAATACTTTGCCTATATCATGGCCATGGTTTCTATAGTTGAATAGACTTATATCCCAATCGATTTTCAATGCTTGTAAAAAGTTGAACAATGCATTTGGCTTTTCAGGGAATTCAAATTGGTACAACTTTTCATTCTCAGTTCTTACCAGATGTGATTTGCCACCAACAAGGTAACGACCATGAGATTTGGCCAATTCGTTATCTGACATATCAGTCACTTCGAACCCTGCATTTCTCATTGCTTCCATTATTTTTGGTTGTTCTGCATTTCTGTCAACAACATTGAACGAGACAAAAATGTTTGCTGTGTCCTTGCCGCTACACCTGTAAGAGAATTCAGTAATGGATCTTGGGTTAATGATTTTCTGTAGTCTTGAAAATTCGCCCGGTTTTTCGGGGATATTGACAGCTAAAGAAACCTCCTTTCCTTCACCTAAAACGGCTCTTTCACTAACAAACCTCAATCTGTCAAAATTCATATTTGCTCCCGATAATATAGGCACATAAGTTTTGTCTGTGTGGTCAATTTCTGGATGCTGCTCAATATATTTCTTCAATCCGGCAACAGACAATGCACCTGACGGTTCAGTTATGGATCTTGTATCCTCAAAAATATCCTTAATAGCTGCACAAATCTCATCGGTATCAACAAGAACTACTTCATCAACCAAATCCTTACATATTCTCCATGTCTCATCTCCAAGAACTTTGACAGCAGTGCCATCGGCAAACTGTCCAACTTTATTCAAATGCACTGGTTTTTCTTGTTTTAAAGATTGGTACAAGGCATTGGCATCGTATGTTTCAACGCCAATAATTTTCACATGTGGCGCAATCTGCTTCAAATAAACCGCAACACCCGAGATCAACCCACCTCCACCTACAGGTACAAACAATGCACTCAACTTGTCTAACCTAAGCTGTCTTGTTATCTCTAATGCAATTGTTCCTTGACCAGCAATTACATAAGGGTGATCAAAAGGAGGGATATTGATCAAATTGTACTCTTTACTTAATCTCGCACATTCTTGCTTTGCGGAATCAAAATCATCGCCGTACAAAACCACTTGTGAGCCTAATCTCGAAACATTCAAATACTTTATTGATGGAGTTGGAGTGGGCATAACAATGGTAGCAGGGATGTTCAATTTGTTTGCAGAATACGCGACACCCTGTGCGTGATTACCAGCGGAACAAGCAATGACACCAGATATTGGTTGCTTTGCATTGGAATTCAAATGTGCAATCATGTTATAGGCGCCCCTCAATTTGAAGGAAAAAACCGGTAAAAGATCTTCACGCTTCAAGTAGATTCTCGACCCACACCTATGGGATAAATTGACAGCATGAGTTAGCGGAGTACCTGCTTCCGGAACAACATCGTAAACCCTTGATGTTAAGATCAATTTGACATAGTCTGGCTGTGGTTGTTGCTGTTGATGCAGATGCTGCAGATGCAGATTCTGCCTCTGCTTCAAAGCACATTTACTCACGTCTTGCACAAAATCCGACTTTAATAGCTCGGGCCATTGCTGTTGAGAAGATGATGAAACATTTGTCTTGTTTCTAACAAAGACTCTGCTGCTATGATGTAGACCTGAGAGTGACAATAATGGGTATGGCCATGGTTGTTGTTTCCGTACTGCTCTTAATACGGAAGTTTTCATTTTCCCTATACTACCTGCCTGGCAAAGAAAACAACTCAAAATGCAAAAAATGAATGAATAAGAACAATTTCCTCTCTTTATGCCTCTATTAGAACAATTTCCTTTCTTTATGCCTGGAATTAGAACAATTTCCTCTCTTTCCGCCTCGAATTAAGGAAGCGTCAAGACTTTCACGTCAAGAAGAAAGTGGTGCAAAATATACTTTATGTATTGAACTCTTATTACCATACAGAAATCAATTTTTTTTTTTCTTTTTTTTCTTTGACTCACTCAAATTTTTCATCAACATTGCACGACCTATATATTTGAACGCATAATAGTGCGTGATGAGGCAAAGACGGCATTAGCTACAACACAATCTACTATCGTTTCCTAATTAAAGAGCAATGAGATTAATACTAAAAATTGGATCTTGCTAGTTTGGTTTAGCCATTGCTCTATCCGGTTTGCTCCTACATGCTTTAAGGAAGAAAAGAAGAAAAAAAAAACAAACTTGTTTGACTGGACCAATTTCAATTGACTCACCCGATAACAATATAGTTTCTAATGTTGAAATAAAATGTTCCACTTCACTTGAAAAGAAAAGTACAGCGTAATTAGAAGTCAAAAAATTGCAACTAAGGGGGTCTCGAATAAATTACCCTTAAGACAAATAATATAGCTAAACGAGAATTACAGAAGGCATATTTTATTTTATTTTTTTTTTTTTCTCAAAAAAAGGAAAAAGGAAAAAGTTAATGGCTGCAAAATGAAAATATAAAACTACACAAATCAAGTTATGGCTCACAAAACAACATCGTTTCCCTTGCCCCACCACGACTCCAATTTCGAGTCTATTTCAAGCAATCATTGAGTTGGGAGTCTGCAGGTACATCCTACACGAACTCGACATTAAGTTAAAAAAAAAAAAAGTTGTTTTGTGTCCTAGTTTACTTGTTTTTACACAAAAAGCCAGTTTTTTTTTTTTTTATTTAGCTAATGTTTGCAACCCCCTTCTCTTTGACACTTTTCTCCGTATATATGACACAATTGGATCAACATATCATAAAAAGAGTTTGTAAAGTAGCTCATTCTTTTTCTTTGTATCTTCAAGTAGATTGGGGTAATCCGAATCTACCTCGAGGGTCAAATAACTAGGTTTTAATTAATCGTTTCCCGGTGTTTTTCTTTGTTCGTTTTTTTTTTTTTTTTTTTTGATATTTCTGTCAATCGTTTCAACGTTTGAATAGGTTTTGGACTTACTGCCTTTACACTAGACAGGTTGTTGTTTTTTTTTTCAAGTTGATTACTACAAGCGTTTTCCATCAACATTATTACAATTACTTACATTTTTTATAGTTGTCTAGTCGATGGTGTATTGAGTACCATTTTCAGTTGATAGACAAAATTTTGGACGCTGTGTTTTAACCTACTATGATTGAGAGCTATGAGGAGAATTTCAGTTATTCAGACGATATAGAAGTGGAGGAAAGTCGAAATTGTCAGATTGAAGATGACAATATAGACAGAGAGGTAGATCTGTCTTTTACTATGGAAGAACATCACAGCATTGACTTTACATCAGCAGAGTGGGATTACTTGAGAGTTGCCCAACATACTATGCATAATCATCAACAACAACAACAACAACAGCAGCAGCAGCAGCAGCAGCAGCAACAACAACAACAACATACTTTGGAGAATAATACTACCACCAATAATAATACTAATAATAGCAGCAATGAGATTGAAATATCTCCATCGATATCAAACCATACTTTGCAGCTGTTGCGCGCGGCATTCTCTTCTGAATACGATACCGATACCACTGATTTTGTTGGATTCACTGATGGGCACAACCTGACTGCAGCACAAGTTGCCGAAGTTGGCGATGTCTTTAATAATAAAGAACATAGATCAAGTTATAAAATCAGTCAGGATCTTGGCTTTTCTCACCATTTAGACGCCAATTATTGGGACTACATGATGGAGAAGGAGATTAGCATGGCACAACTGGAAATAGAAGCAAACAGTTTTAACCATAATAATATAGACATTGAAGAGCTGAATCAAGGGGAGGAAGAAGCAACAGTAGGAGCAACTGAAGCAGTTACTGCTGAGAATGAAGCTGAAGCTGTAGGTGTCAAATCTTTTAAAGAGAAGAATGCAATAGAATCAAGTAGCGGGAAAGGCTATAGTGAGGAATTGCAAATGTACCAACTCAACAACTCAAACGTGTGTGACGATTTATCATATAAAAGATTTGTTACTTCTCAATTTATAGAGAGTTCATCACTGAATGATCGACTACCGCAACAAAAGGAGGTGTTAAATTTCCCCAACACTGCATTTAATCATTCTGTGGACCTGCTTGCTTCGACGCTGGCGAACTCCAACACAACTTCCACCTCCACCATCTCCTCTTCACAAGTGCAATTGGTTGTTGACTTTGAAAAGTTTGTCACTTCTCCGATATACGAGTGGCCCGAGGATGAAACAACAGGGTATGTCAAGTTTGTCAATAAGATCAAAGTACGATTAGCGAATTTGGAGCCAAAAACAATCAGCGAGTCGGTGCTCAAGACTGTTCGTCAAGAGTTTGTCATTCAAGATTTGTTTCTTAGTGGGAAATCGCCGCCCCCACCAGAAGTGCCCAAGCTGATACGCAATAGATCCGACCGCGACGTTGAATGGACGCCGTTATCAGTTTACAAGGCATATACTAATATCAAGTCCCCTACAAATGGTAAGGAGTCGTATAATCGGTTAGTGCCGTATACTTCTTGTATAGGGACTTTGAACTACCGGCCAAAAGACCATGCAGCTTGGAAAAGATCACCCAATAGGCGACAAGAACAATGAAAAACGAGCGACACTACACTATCGAGCAGAGCGAGATAGTGGAGCACACTAGCTGCCACCGACGCTATCGTCACTATCGTCACTATCGAGCAGAGCGAGATAGTGGAGCACACTAGCTGCCATCGACGCTATCGACACTATCGTCACTATCGGGCAGAGCGAGATAGTGGAGCACACTAGCTGTCACCGACACTAGTTGCCATCGACACTAACTGCCATTGACACTGACTATGGTAACTATGACACTATCGAGCGACACTATCGAGCGACACTATCGAGCAGAGCGAGATAGTGGAGCAACACTCAGTAGTTTATTAAAGCACTATCGAGCGACACTATCGAGCAACACTCAGTAGCTTATTAAAACACTATCGAGCAGAGCGAGATAGTGTTGATAGTGTTGATAATGACACTCGGGAGCTATTACAACACTATCTCGCTTTGCTCGATAGTGTTGATAGTGACACTCGGGAGCTATTACAACACTATCTCGCTTTGCTCGATAGTGTTGATAGTGTTGATAGTGAACACCCAGTATCTTAATACAACACTATCTCGCTTTGCTCGATAGTGTTCAGTGTTCACTGTTCACTGTTCAATAAATAATAATTAATAACATTCATAAAGAGTTTACAAACTTTTTTCCCTCCCCGCTTCTATCTTATCTTTTCCCATCCGCCATTCAGCCGTTTTCTCAGCTACCACCCCCGAGGCTTTTAAAATTCAATGTGTTTAAATAAGATGGGGGTGGTAGCTGAAGAGAGGAAAAAAAAAAACTGCCATTGCACGTGCCGTAGAGTAATCGGTAATAATACTGCATACTAGGTCCCTATTTTTGATTAAGCGCTATTCATTTGGCAGCTTTAGATTTTCTAGTATTGCAAAAAATTTGGCTATTAATATGAAATTGTTAGCATATAAAAAGGCTCTTATTTTTACTTACTCAAGAGAGAAAGAGATAAAGAGAGAAGGAGAGAAAGAGAGAAACAAGGTAAGGTTGGGATAAAGGTTTTTTTGGTAATTTAAGTAAGAACCCCTTTTTTTTTCTTCTTTTTCTTTTGGCTGATTTGAGGAGAAGCTACAAGTTTGTTTAAGGAGAAGCTACAAGTTTGTTTAAGGAGAAGCTACAAGTTTGTTTAAGGAGAAGCTACAAGTTTGTTTAAGGAGAAGCTACAAGTTTGTTTAAGGAGAAGCTACAAGTTTGTTTAAGGAGAAGCTATAAGTTTGTTTAAGGATTGTGTGTGTTTTTTCTTTTTTTTATGAGTTTGAGTCAGGAGGAAATTATTGCTAAAACGATAGGTATTATCGATGGTATACTATTTGTAACTCAGCCAGCTAAATCCGTAAACTCGTTATTCACAAAGTTTGTAAAAGATGCTAATATCTTGTTAGACGCTAATGATCCTTACGCCGTAGTGCAAAACTATTTGGCTGATAGAAACAACAAGAATAAAGAGTTGGATTTGGATTTGGATTTGGATTTTGTTACTGTTACTACAAATAGTTGCACTTTGTTCAAAAACTTGCCCTTTTTATCCAGTTCAGCTTTCAAAAACAATAAAGTTGTAAACCACGTTGAAATTGTAAACCTGGAGTTCAATATAGTCACCAGTTTGAGAGATTTGCAATTTCCAGTATTGATATCTCAAAATCCACAAGAGGCATATCGGTTGGCTAATTTGGCATACAACTTGTCACAAAAGTTGAAAACTTCAGTTTTCCATTTCTATTCTCCAAATAGCCTGTACAATGCAAAACAACAATCAAAATTTGCTGAGGGTGTTTTATTGAAAGATTTGGATAATTTATCGTTGGAAAAGATTATTCGTGACTTTGAAGTTGAACCATTTGAGATTGTAAATCAAAAACAACAGCAAAAGCAAAAGCAAAAAAATGCAATTTTGTATTTGGGGCAGCTAAGTGATGAGTTGATAGATGCAGCAAATAAGGAAAATGTATTGCTTATTAGCATTAAAATCTACCAGCCTTTCCATTTAAATCGTTTGCTTGAACTCATACCTGCCCAAATTGAAACTCTTTCTATTGTCGAACAATCCAGCACGCCTTTTTTCAATTTTTCCCCATTGTTACTCGATTTTTTTGCACTGTATTACCGATATCAAAGTTTGAAAAACTTTACTAGAATCGTATCTGCAACGTTTGGAAATGACATTGACTACCCTAAAGCTTTATCACATTTGGTTTCCAATATAGAATCCGAGAACCCTGTTCAAAATTTGCACTTTGGGAACAATTTATCAGAGACGTCTGCTTTGGAGGACAGGAAAAGGGATCAAGAATACTCAAATGCCCTTTCTGAAGCTTACAACTTGGAACAAGCTTATTTAAAAGTTTTACAGCAAGTTAGTGGAAGCAATTTGAACATTCTTAATGCATATAATACCGAAAATGTTGGGTTGGAAACAAATCCTGAATTTGGATTCGGGTCGTATTTGCACGATGAAGAAGAACAAGAAAATTTGATCAAATTGGTCCGTAATGCTTTAAAGGAGAACAAGTTTGAATCTCAGGACAATAGCAGGTTAATCAATTTACTTTCAAGCTGGTTGCTGACGTTGGAACAAAGGGGACAGGTTGAACATGCAACCTCACTTGAGATTATTGATTTGTTAAAAAGCGACAAGTCTTCAGTTTCGGCTCGTGAATTATTGGCATTGTCAAAATACTTTAGCACACAACTGAACTGGCTTATTGGTTCTGATGCATGGTCTTACGATTTGGGCTCTTCGGGTGTCCATAATGTCATAACGTCAAACAAAAACATCAATATGTTGATTATAGACTCTGAACCATATCAAGAAAAGAAGAACAATGACAAAACAGTCAATGGTTTCAGAAAAAAGGATGTTGGTTTGTATGCAATGAACCATGGTGACTGTTATGTTGCCTCAGTTGCAGTGTACTCGTCATATACTCAAGTTTTACAAGCATTTATTGAAGCAGAGAAGTTTACTGGACCATCGATTGTTTTGGCGTACTTGCCATATCATAAGGAGTCTGACAACACTTTGTCTATTTTGCAAGAAACCAAAAGGGCTGTTGATAACGGATATTGGCCTTTATATAGGTACGATCCATATGCAGCAAATGAAGAAGATGTTTTCAAATTGGACTCATCCAATCTTCGAAAACAGCTTCAGGACTTTTTAGAACAGGAAAATAGATTGACTATGCTTGCTAGAAAAGACCCTTTGTTATCTAGAAACTTAACCAACAATGCATCTAGCGAAGTCAAAGCCAAACAAGCTCAAATAGCAGATGAAGCATATGCTTTATTATTGCAGGGATTGTCTGGACCGCCTTTGACAGTTGCATATGCATCTGATGGTGGTAACGCCGAAGGATTGGCAAAGAAGATTAACAGACAAGCTTTAGGTAGAGGTTTGAAATCTGTTGTTTTGCAAATGGACGATGTTAGTATTGAAGATTTACCAAATGAAACAAATATCATATTTGTGACGTCGACATCTGGTCAAGGTGAGTTTCCTACAAATGGTAAGCAGTTCTGGGATGCGATTAAGAACTCAAATGATTTGGACTTGTCATCTATCAAGTTTTCCGTTTTTGGTTTGGGTGATTCTCAATACTGGCCAAGAAAAGAAGATAAGCATTATTATAATAAACCAGGTAAAGACTTGTTTGGAAAATTGAAATTGTATGGTGGTGTTGAGTTGGCTGAGCTTGGATTGGGTGATGACCAGGATGCCGACGGATTCTCTACTGGCTTTGACGAATGGATACTTAAGATTTGGACGGCTTTGGGAGTTGATAATGTAGAAGGAGTAGAGGAACCCAAACCAATAACAAATGAAGATATGAAACTCGGATCTGATTATCTTAGGGGTACGATTGCGGAAGCATTACAAGATCAGTCCACGGGATCTATAGGTGCTGTTGATCAGCAATTGACCAAGTTTCATGGTATTTATATGCAAGATGATCGTGATCTAAGAGAAGAGCGTAAAGCTCAAGGTTTAGAGCCTGCCTACGCATTTATGGTCCGTGTAAGGCTTCCTGGTGGTGTTGCTACACCAAAACAGTATTTGAAAATGGATGAGTTGGCTGATGAAAGGGGAAATGGTACATTGAAATTAACCACCCGAGCAACTTTTCAGTTGCACGGTGTAGTTAAACACGATTTGAAACCTGCAATACGGGGTATGAATGCTACATTGATGGACACTTTGGCAGCATGTGGTGATGTTAACAGAAATGTTATGGTGTCGGCCTTGCCAAGTAATGCTAAAATTCATGGTCAAGTTTCGGCCATTGGAACGTTGATTTCCAATTTTTTGTTACCTAATACTACTGCTTACCACGAGATTTGGCTAGAGGGTGAATTGCCATCAGACAAACCAGGAGACAGAGATGCTTGGGAAAATCGTAAGGATGGGCCCCAAAAGAAGAAAACATTGATTGCGGGAAATGTGTTGGCCGACGTTGAACCACAGTATGGTGCAACATATTTACCAAGAAAGTTCAAAATTGTTATTACTGTTCCGCCATATAATGATGTTGACGTGTATGCTCATGACATTGGATTGATTGCTATTGTCAAAGATAACGAGGTGATTGGATTTAATGTCTTAGCCGGTGGTGGTATGGGAACAACTCATAATAACAAAAAGACATATCCTAGAACTGGTTCAATGTTAGGTTATATCAAGAGAGATTTAGTACACTTTGCATGCGAGAAGATTATGTTGGTGCAAAAAGAATTTGGTGATAGAACCAATAGAAAACACGCAAGGTTGAAGTATACGATTGATGATCTCGGAGTTGATGTGTTCAAGGCGAAAGTCGAAGACTTGTTGGGTACCCAATTTGAGGAACCAAAACCTTTCAAGATTGAGAACAATGTGGACCATTTTGGTTGGTGCAAAGATGAATTGGGATACAATCATTTCACAGCTTTTATAGAGAATGGTCGCATTGAAGATACACCCGAATTACCTCAAAAGACTGGGTTGCGTAAGATTGCCCAGTTTTTACAGGACAATAAAAAGTCAGGGGAATTTAGACTTACCGGTAACCAGCATCTTCTTATTTCTAATATTAAAGATTGCGATTTAGAAGAGATCAAAAAATTGTTAGCCGAGTACAAACTAGACAATACCAAATTCTCAGGGTTGAGATTGTCATCAGCTGCTTGTGTTGCTTTCCCAACATGTGGTTTGGCCATGGCCGAATCCGAGCGTTACTTACCTCAATTGATAACCAAATTGGAGGAGCGCTTGGAAGGCTATGGATTAAGACACGACTCAATTGTCATGCGGATGACTGGTTGCCCCAATGGTTGTTCTAGACCATGGGTAGCTGAAGTTGCTTTAGTTGGTAAGGCATTTGGCGCATATAATTTGATGTTGGGTGGTGGGCATCACGGACAAAGACTTAACAAGATCTACAGGTATTCCATTAAGGAAGATGAGATTCTTGAAATTTTGTCAAGATTATTTGAGAGATGGAGCAAGGAAAGAAACGATGGTGAACCTTTTGGAGATTGGTGTATAAGAGCCGGTGTTATCAAGGAAACTACGGAAGGCAAATACTTTCATGATGATATACCTGAGGATGCATAATCATTCTTTGTCTTTGCCGCCTTTTTCCTCCCTTTATTATATAATAGATATTTATTAAATTTAGACAACTATAAAATGATGAAAAAAGGCGACACTATCGAGCTCTACTATCGAGCTCTACTATCGAGCGAAGCGAGATAGTGGGGCAGCTCTGACTGTCACCGACACTAGCTCCACTAGCTCCAGTCTGCTCGATAGTGGAGCACACTAGCTGCTATTGACACTAGCTGCAAATGACACTAGTTGCCACCAACACTAGCTGGTATTGACACTGTTGCCATTGACCCTTTTTTTTTGCCATTAACACTATCTTGCTCTGCTCGATAGTGGAGCAACACTTTGTACCTTGTGTAAGAGGATATGCGCATATATCACTGCTCTGTGTTTTGAGTTTGCTTATGAACTGTTCTTTTATGTAAATTCTGAATGTCCAGTATCAAAGTACGGATTTTCAATTTCTTTTCTCTCTCAACTTCAAGCACATCTTTCAACTTAACATCCCATAATGTGACGTTTACAGCGTTTAGACGTCTCATGATTTTTTGATAGATAAGTTGCGATCTTTTTTGTAAAAGCTCTTCATTCTTTTTAGCCACTGCCTCTCTCTCAGCTTTCAAACGACTTATTAAAGCTTGCCTCTTCTGCCTTGTATAGCCCATTCTCTCATACCATGGCCAATCAAGCTACTACTATATACTCTTCTACACTCTACACTCTACTCTTTTACTCTTTTACTCTTTTACTCTTTTACTCTTTTAGTTGAAAAAAAAAAAGTACTTTGATTTTGTAGTGGCAATGGAACAAAAAAACTGGAAGAAAAAAAAAAAGGGCCACTAGTATAATCCCAGTTGTCTTTCTTTACTTAATCACCTAAACAAGTTAGCAAAGAAACAGGCACCATGGTTCTTGAGGCTACTATGATAGCGATTGACAATTCTGAGTATATGAGAAACGGCGATTATCTTACGTCGAGATATGACGCCCAGCTAACAGCCACGGAATTTATTTTCCAGAATAAAGTCAATTCGAATCCTGAAAATACAGTGGGGTTATTAGCTTATGGCGGAGTTGGACCTCAGGTCTTGAGTACGTTAACCACGGATTTTGGAAAAATCTTGTCTGGAGTCCACGAAACAAAGATAGAAGGCAAAAACAATTTCAGTAATGGTGTACAGGTGGCGGCTTTGGCATTGAAACATCGTCAAAACAAAGTCCAGCAGCAAAGGATTGTAATATTTGTTGGTTCCCCCATAGAAGACCTGGATAAGGAATTAGAGAAATTGGCCAAAAAGATGAAGAAGAATAATGTAGCTGTGGATATTATCAATTTTGGAGAAGAGGCTGTGAACACGAGTAAGTTGGAAAAGTTTCACTCTCTTATAAATAATCATGACAATTCACATTTGGTAACAGTACCACCAGGGCCACGTTTGCTTTATGAGGTTATTGCTTCTTCGCCAATTTTGGTAGAAGATGGAGCAGCTGGTGCTACTGGTGGTGCTGGTGGTGCTGGTGGCGAGAATCTGAACTTTTTCGATGGTGCTGGAGTCGCTGGAGCTGGAGATATTATTGACCTTAATATGGATCCGGATTTGGCATTAGCATTGAGGTTATCGCTAGAGGAGGAGAAAGCAAGACAGGAGAGGGAAGCTGCACAAAAAGAAAAGGAGGCAGCGAAGGAAGCAGAAAAAGCGGTAGAGAATGTAGATGAAAAGGCAGCAGAGGAGAATGCGTCAAAAGGATTGGAAACAGGTGATGGTCAGGGGAGTGATAAAAAAGAAGACAGTGGCAATGGCAATGGCAATGGCAATGGCAATGGCAATGAGAATGAGAATGAGGATAAGAATGAAAAAGGTGACACAGATGTCAAAATGGATGACGTTAAATAGAGTCTTTTACTTTACCTTGTGCATTGGAATCATTTACTAAGTTAAGCTGCCTATTTTGTCTCTGAAAAAAAGTGAAAGCGTTGCAACGGTTTCATCGAATCTATCTCGTTTCCATCTTTTTGTATTCTTCTTCTTGTCTTTCTTTGGTCCAAAATTTTAGTCAGTCAAACGTTAATGGCCAAAAATGGAATTATCTTTTTATAACACAAAACCGTTTTTCGTTTTAGCTGCAAAAAAAAAAGAAAAAAAAAAAAAAAAGAAAACGATTTATGGTACGGTACAAATTCAAACTTGTTACCCTCAAATACTCCTGACTTTTCTAAGAACTTGATCTGATATTTGGTCGGACCTGGTAATAATTATGATCAAAAATAGACCATTGCAAAAGAATAGAAATGTTGTCAACAGCAGCCCACCTATCCTGCCTCAAATTTTGCTTCCGTCGTTATCATCAAATCCAATAGACCTACTTCCATACCAAAAAAAACGAGAGGTAATACAAACAAAACAACCTGTTTGGCTTCCTTCGGGGAAGGAACTCATCTTGACACCAATTCAGCTGACCAAAGCTCATTTCATTGATGCTTATGCAAAAGTATGTATTTATAAGCTGGTTTAATAGTATCTTTAAAAAGAAAAAACACTAACTGAATCAACTTGAATTGATAAAATTTCAGGGAAAATGGAATCTTTCTAAAGTCCCATGTCCTCCGTTTATGATGAATGTCGGTTACATGAAACCGCCAGAAAGCTATAATGAGATATCGCGTTTAGACGCGGTCTCCAAGTACATAAACCTTCCACACTGGAAACACACCCAGTTTTTTACAAAAGCAACTACTAAATTGAAAAAAAACTTTAAAGTTTGTGGTGTTTCTATATCATTGATTGACAATTACAAGTGTCATTTCAAAGTTGAAACCTTACTCGACACAAGCAGTGTTCCAAGATGCGTTGCTATAGACTCTCATGCAATTTTATCCAATGGTTACTTTGTGCTACTAGATGCCTCGCAGGACTGGAGAACAAGTTCAAACCCTTTGGTTACCGGTGCCCCATACATCAAGTTTTATTGCGGTGTTCCGCTTGCCGCCAAAAACAATGAAATAATTGGTATATTAGCGATATTTGATAAAAAGCCAAGAAATTCATTTGGCGACGAGGCACGTAAAGCTTTAAAAGTGGTTAGTGAGGAAATCATGGATTGGTTAAATACGCCGCTTGATACTATACACCGCCCGAAATATTTTGACCACGTAAGCGATTCGTTCTTACCATATGGTAACAAGGACAAGAAAAAGGCACTTTTGGAGTTGAAGAATGAGATTGGTAGACCCACAAGTGGTAGATCTTCGTTGATATTTGAAAAGGATGGTTCGGGAGGACCCTATAACCAAAACCAAAACTTTAGGTTTATTAAATTTGACAAGGGGGACAAGGTTGACCCTGCAATGACACTGCATCTGAGATGCTCACCTAAGCTTCCATTACAAAGTCAGCTGCCTCCGTCGCAACTTACTGACAAAGAATTGTGGCAGTTTTTATTTTCTGTGGGAACTTTGAAAAAGGCAGCAACGGCATTGGCAAAGATCCTTGCCACCACTTATAAGTTTGACTTTGTATACATTTTAGAAATTAGAGTTGCGGAACCATGCTGTATTGTTAAAGAGTTTTTTCCAGCCAATGAAGAAAAGATTGACTTTGAACTGTTTGCTTACTCAACCAAAGTTACAAAGTCAAAAGATTTACAAGATGAGTTCATGACTAGAGAAATCGGAGCATATTTGGCCAAGTCCAATAATATCACCGAACAACAGCAGCTGCTGCTGCAACAACAACAACAACAACAACAACCTGCTGGTAGTAACGGAACGACAATGAATCGTTTTTTCGAAAACTCTATACATTACAAAGCCTTTATATCAGAATTTGGGCTCGAGATTAAAAATCCCAAAGCAAACACTGTTTACAATCATGGTTTGTTGATGCCATTTTTCCGGCACGACGCAAAATTAGTACGCAGAAACGCTACTGTTTCTGCAAAGGATAGCAAAAAGAATGTTGTTGACTTGTACTTGAGAAGTGGCGGATTCTTGATTGCATTATTCTCGGAAAAGACAAGAGAGTTTGACGTCGACTTAGTATCTGAAATCTTTAATCATTCTTGCATTTTCAGAAAGATATACATTGCCACGCAATAAGAACAACACTATGGATTTGTTTTATCTTAATTTTTTTTTTTTTTTTTTTGAAATTCTTTTCTTGACTTCAAGGATCGTGCTGTCGCATTAATTCCATTGCAAGATCATTCTCTTCTTCATTTTCAAGCTCCTCTGTTTCTACAATCTGGTTTCTCCTTTTATTTGCATTTGATACATTTACCATTGATTCTGCTTGGCTTCCAACGAAAAGGGCTTCATCTTCGCTGGGAAATTCGTCTGACTCTAAGCACGAGCTTTTTGCACCTTTATTGAAATACCTCGTTTCTCTGATTGTACCATCGTCTCCATTATTACCTGCGACATCGTCACCATTCTTATCTGCAACATTTGCGACATCGTTACCATTCTTATCTACAACATTTGCGACATTTGCGACACTTTTCCCCGTGTCCATGAAACTCCAATTGTCGTCTTCCTCTAAAGATCGAACATTGTTGTTGTCGTTGTCGTCATTGTCATCGTTGTCGTCATTATCGTTGCTTTGCCTTGTTGCGAATATTATTGCATCCTCGTCAATATCAGATGCTACATCATTGGCCTTATTCTCATCAATGATTCCTCGTGCAACTTTTAATTTGAAAATTTCCTTCTCAATCAATTCACGCCTATATATTCTCAACTGGGATGATTTATGACCCAATGTTCTTACCATGTAGGCACAGTCTTTAAAGTTTGCTTTTGGAAACATCCCATGACACCATAATTGGTAAAATTGTAAAACCGACTCTAAATTGTTACACTCATGATCGTACTTGAGCTGCCGAAACGTCTTACGACTAACTTGATGGCCTGGATCTAGTTGCTGTTTCTGTTGCTCCCTAAAAAATTTTCTGTCCCTTTTTTCAATATTGCGAATCAACCTATGGTGGTTTTTAATCAAGTACGGTAAGCCACGAGCATTAACTAATACTCTTTCATTATCGATTTTAGAAATCTTCTTTTTAGTTTTAAGCTTTAAAGGCTCATCGATCCCTAGAACATTGGCATCTTCAATTGGATCATTGTTTCCCGTGCTATTTTGGATATTGCCACCTACCAAATTAGACATTATACCAGCTCCAAAGGTTTAATATTCCAATTCAAAAGTTAACTAACCTATGGGCTTTGAAACGCGTATAGATTACCAAATTGTAAATTCTCTCCTTCTTGTTTTTATTCAACACTTGGTAGCACCCAGTTGGCATCTTTTGTTTGCGATGCTCATCGCAAACAAGAGAGAGATGAGATGAGATATATAGTCATTGAGGTTGTCATTTCTTCCTTAGGAGATGCGTTATGCGGAGTATTTACCGTGGTTGAAGCAGATTTCTCTATCTATTGATGTTGGTGTAGACTTTAAAGTTGACGGGTTAGGGGGAATTGACCTTGTGTCAAGCAATAAACTCATAATTCGAAGTAGTAGTAGTAGTAGTAGTAGTAGTTTTAGTAGTAGCAGTGATAGAGATAATGGTGCTCCATTTCAAATTTTGTTACCAATCGATATAAAGAGCTTCGATATCGTGAGTGTTAAGTTGAAAGATTCAAGATTGGGTATCTCATTAGCTGTTCAAGTAGTAGAAACAAGTACAGAGCGTATGGACGAGGTATGGTCCTGTAAGTGGTTAAGCAAAATGACTCCCAAGCTCAATAACCAAAATGAGTTTTGTTTCAAGTGTCGCAACTGTGGACTTTTATTGATTGAATCTGAAAACCATCTTTTCAAAGATATGCCAAGTGAGTACTGGTACGAACTCATGGATTTCTGGCATTGCCATAAACCTGAAAATAATCAGCTCAATGACAAGGACTATGGGATTCTCAAACCAACAAACAATAGGACAATTATTATCGGATCTTACTATTTGCTACAATTACACAACAACAATCTAATGCTGTCCAAGGGCATCAACAAGAACTTATTATGCTGTAAGAAATGTCAATGTGTTTTAGGTGAGCAATATCAAAACGTTGCTCGGCTATTAAAGTGGAAAATCACTTTACAATATAAGAACCAGAACCAGAACCAGAACCAAAACCAAAACCAAAACCAAACGGTAGACTCCAATTACAACTCCTTATGGTATGTGGCAGGTATGCTCGATAGCAAAATCAAATCCCTGGCTATTCGCAAGTTTCGAATAAAGCTCGAATACGGGAGCTGGTTGTATCTTTGGGTAATGAACTCCAACGTGGAAATTGCAATTGATGATCGAGTTTTAAAGAACTCGTTAAAGGTATGGTATACAACTGACATAGTAGCAGAGAAGGAGGAGGAGTGCAAAAAATACGAGGAGATAGAGTTGGGGTATCTTGACGTGGTTAACGATCTCTTGAAGTCTTTGCACCAGAATACAATAGAGTCTGAGTTAATGATTGGTGCTACAAAGTATTCAGTTGGTTTTATCCTCGGATCTTAACCATGCATCATTTTCATTCAAGAAGAAATAGAGAACAAAGTTTACTCAGTTGATCTTTCTTCTGAAATAACGTCTATTATATCTATGAATTAAAAAGAACATGTTATATATGTACATATATATATATATATATGGCTAGTGCTCTTCAATGGCTTCTTTAACTATAGGAACAACCTGTTTTCTAGAAGCACGAATGTTTTGCTGGTTATATATTTCGAGGTGATCTCTTTTATCATTGTTAACAAAGTCAACTAGCAGCTTTATATCGACGCCCCCATAAAGATCATCATTCAATTGTAATTGAGTTGAAATCAACAGACTCAACTGTGCAAACTTTGCATTTTCACCCTCATAATAATAGCAAAACTCTCTAGTGTACTTATTGTTTTCTTTTTGGGTGTAAGAAGATGTCACCACTAACAAGTCAATGTTATTAATCTTCAAGCTATTCAACAATGCGGATTTGATATCTGTTTTTGAAAAATTTGAGCAAATCCACCATAAAGATTTTCCTATTGAACTGAATCCAACGTTTATCCCATTTGCAAACTTAAACTGCTTGTAATCTTTGCGTAAGATGTCACCAAACTCGAAACCTGACAAATCCTTCTTTGCCGTCTTTAAAGTCTTGTAAAAGTTATTTAAATACGAATCTATATTTGATACCTTGACTGTGTTTGTTGCCAATATCTCTTTGTACCTATGAAAAGCTTTTGTATCAAGATCCTCTACTTTCTGTGTCATATTGCTAGTGTCTATCAATAATGGGCCCAATAACAATTCAACAAGCTCGCTAGTGTTATTCCAGAACTCCTCATTATCACTGGAAATGCCATAAAAATAATCAAATACCATACTTGAATTAGAACCGCAAGTTTTAATAATCCGGGGATTTGCATCCAAAAACTTATTTTCATCAGCGTGATGGTCAATGATCCCAACAACATTGACGAGTCCCTTGTCAAAACTTTGTATTATTTCGTTCCCCTGTAGTCCGTTATGATCAACCAAATTTAGCTTAATAGGCCTGTTGTTGTTGTTGTTGTTGTTATTGCCTTCACTTTGAGTTCCCTTCTTTTCCCTGTAATCTTCAATAAATTCACTGTAATCTTCAATAAAATATAATAGATCCTCGGTGATGTTATGGAAACTCAAAAGCTTGCTTATATCTCTTCGCAACTTGAAATCGGCTTTGGGGATATTTATGATAGGTATCATAACATTTTCGGGGCTAACTAACGAATGTGCCAAGTATGCATATGTGATTGATGAAATCACTGAGTCCATATCAGCAGATTGATTGCCAGTCACAAAATAGTAAGGGAGCTTCACAGCATTTTGAGCAACTTTTTGCTTCAAGCTCACTAAATATGCTCTAACAGACATTAATTGTACTTACTACCGCTTCTCCAATGTATTAATCTTGGTGGAATTTATGTTTGCGCATAAACTTTTCTGAAAAGAAAACTTGCTAGTTGATTTGCGATGCCATGTTTTAACTAAGAATCCACAATTTACAGTATAGGGGTTCGAGCTACCCGTGTGTAGAGGGACCAGAGAGATATCAAGAGGGCTATTTCAAACCTGTGTGTAATTTAAACAAGAACAACATCTCATGACACCATCGAGCAGAGCAAGATAGTTGGTGAACACTGACTAGCTGTAGTGGAGTAACCCTGACTAGCTGTAGTGGAGTAACACTATCTCGCTCTGCTAGATAGTCACATTACCTATTTACTTTGCGTAATGTAATTTAATGTCTAACCATTGTCTGGCCTTGACTTCTTCCGGTGTCATGGACACATCACCATAAGTTGTTGGTCTGAAATAGAAAAAGAACCAAACAATTGCAATTGAAGCAGACCCAACTATTAATATTGTCTTGACTTTTTTAGACCTGGGATTTTTCAAGCTAGTAGCATCTCTCGAGTTGTTGGAGCAAATGAAATCAACCAATCCGCCAGAAAACAAAGCTGCAATCAAATGTGCTGGTAAATAATGATGCAAGAATTTCTGACGATTCATCAAGTAAAACGGAAAATAATGCGCAGCCCATCCAATGAACAAGAACCCCAAAGTATTGTACAATCTTGATCTTGCTCTATCATTCAACAAATTGTAATTACGACGAAGTGTTATTTGATCAGCCAAAATGATTCCAATGTATATCGATAAAAAGCACACTTCCAACCAAAAGCCAACAATGTTACCAATGAAAAAAATTTGTTTCCTTGATTCATTGTTATTGTAAAATGAAACACCATTCAACGCAAGTGGCCAAGAATCAGGTTGCGAAGCAAACGGATGTGAAGCACTCAACTGATTATTATGGTGAAACATCAACCCTTGCAACTCCCACCATTTCTTCAAAAATGGCATTGTTTTAACCTTTTTAGGCACGTATTTACTTCTTGGATCCAAGTCTGATAAATTAATAATTGTGTCAAATGTCCATATATTATCCTTATCCTGCACTTTTTTATTTCCGCTCACTTCCTGTTGTTTGAATGCCCATTCTGGTAACAACTCGTCATCGTGAGTCCACATTGCCACAACAGTATCCACATGTAGAATACGCAACTCTGTTGCCATGGTTTTGATCTCCTTTCTTTGATTCTGTTTCTTAGGTGATGATCCAGGAACACTTAATCTCAATTTGAATAAGGTTTCGTTATACTTCTTAACTGCAGCATCATCAAAAACAACCGTAAACTCTTCATTTGTGGGTTTCAAAGGAGATGCAACATCATGTGTTAAAAGGTATCCTCCAGTTCCAACATGTCTCAACCTTACAATATCGTTTGTAAATACCTTCTTGCCTTTTAGACCATCATCATTCTCAGTAATGGGGACAATTTCCCATTGGTTGTTTGGATCGTTTGCTGCATCATCTTCCACCACACATGTCACTTGTTGTTGATTTGATGAAATTCTTCCGTCTTCATAACGCAAAGGATATTTGTGCAGGTGTGAGTGCAAAAATGCACCGGTATCCTTATGCTTGATGGTTATTTGGTCATAATATTGAACTTGTTTTGAGTGCTGTGCTAATGGTGACTCGAGCAAAGTTTCCTGAAATTCCGAGGACATAAAAGTATCTCCTGGGCCTGACTTTTTCAATATTGCAAAATGTATATAAAACCAATACAAATAAATAATAAATGGTACAATGATCAATGCCCAAAGTCTTGCAAAAAAGTGTTTACTGAATTCCCGTAAAGTCAACCCTTTTCTGTAGTCCAACAAGAGCCACAATTCATGACAAACGGCAATACCAATGGTGAAGTAAGTAAATACACCAACGTACTTTGTTGATATAACACACGATAATGCCACACCCGTGCTCAAGAGCCAGGTCCACCACATCTTTGTAAATGGTTGTTTCCTGTAGATTGAAAACTTGGAATAGCAAAAGATGGTCAACGCAACACTCAAAATCAAAGTAGCATCCAAAAGAATTAACCGACTGTCAATAACTTGAGCATTATCGAAACAAACAATAACACTTGAAAACAAGCATGCTGCAACACTAAAACCTAGAGTTTTCATGGTCAAAAATACAACAGGAACAACTGCAGTCCCTTGAATGGCCAGCAAACTTCTATAAGCGATATATGGCACACTATTTTCAATATAAGAGTCGCCAATTGCATCAAATTTGAACTTTCCATCGTACCCAATAAGCCAACCTCCCAAAGCAATCAATAGTTTGGCAAATGGAGGATGCAAATCAAAGAAATATGTTCCTTCCAAATAATACGATGCAAATTTCCCAAAATGAACCTCATCAAAAACCACTTCATTTGGCGTTCCTAATTTGATAAATCTAGTGCAAATGGCCAAACTAGTAATAAAGAAAAGAGCAATCCAGTACTTGTATTCGGGATCACTCTGTAAATCTTGTTGACCTAATTGAGCATCTTTATCAGTTCCGTTCAAATTTAGTTTTCCTCTCTTTTTGCTGTCCTCTGAAGCACCGGAAAATATTCCGAAAGTCGACAAATTGGAGGACTTCTTACCACCATTTGTTCTCTTTCTTATTGACTGAGACATGCAATCGCTAAATAGTCCTTTTCTTCTTTTATACAACAAACAAACCAAAAATATACCGTTAGCCGCCCAAAAGCAAAAATTGAAAAGCCAATTAGATTACAACCTCCTATATCCTTTCTTAGGGATATTCAAAAATAAGTCTTCTTCGACACCAAGAGTATCCTGAGTCTTTTTATATACTTGAAAAAGAATTAAGAAGCTGGCAATACACGTTTGTTTTTTTTTTTTCAGTGTTGGCCATTTAGAATTTTTCATCGACTGCGAAAAGAAAATTGAGGAGCAGATACAAGTAACACTTGGAGGGGATATGATATCCTCGCCACTATCGAGCAGAGCGAGATAGTGTCGATAGTGTAGGTGAAATCAGTACTGCTCCACTATCTCGCTCTGCTCGATAGTGTCACTCGATAGTGTCTATAGTGTAGGTGAAATCAGTACTGCTCCACTATCTCACTCTGCTCGATAGTGTCACTCGATAGTAACCAAAACTTTCTCTTGAAAAGTAGTAATTAAGAACATATTTGTAAAAGTATAAAAAAATAAATGTAAAGAACCAGATTGCTACAGATGGTGTCCAGAAATGAAGGTCAAGCTATAAAATTAATTGTATATACAAGTAATGAACTATTGAATACTAAGAAAATATGTAAGGTGTAGAGGTGTAGTGTAGAGGTGTAGTGTAGAGGTGTAGTGTAGAGGTGTAGTGTAGAGGTGTATCAAAATTAGGTGTAGTGTACAAGTGTATTAGTTTTAGGTAGTGGGGTGTATCGGTATAGATAGTGTCGCTCGATAGTGTCGGTGGCAGCTAGTGTGCTCCACTGTCGAGCAGAGCGAGATAGGGTTGAGGATTGAGAGTAGTCAGTGCTGCTCCACTATCTCGCTCTGCTCGATAGTGTCGATAGTGTCGATAGTGTCGGTGAAATCAGTACTGCTCCACTATCTCGCTC